AAACTGGCAAACTCATCGCTTCTGCGCCGCGGCGTCCCTCGGTAATTGGCCAAGGAGGGCGTCGCTTGTGTACACCGTGTGCGTGTCTCGTTTCGCGACGCCGCCCCGCCGTCCGATCGTATCGGCAAAATAACACGGCTGGGCGCCGACGTCTTAGTTTGCGCGCGGCGAGCGTCGATCGGGCTCGCAACGATCAATCGATCACGGGGCCAGTAACTGCTGGGCCGAGTGGACTCGGCCTGCGGATTTGATCGAATTCCGAGCGCGCGTCCGTGCGCCTCGCGAGGGAGGGAGTCGGCGCGGCGCAGCCGAACTTTCTCGATTACGCGGCCGGGGCGTGTACTTTGCAAGATGCCGCCGCGCGATAAGCGATCCCTCAATTAAGAAGTTTCAGCCTCTCTCTCGCGCGCGCACACTCATGAGCTCGGCTCGACGCATATAATTTCCCAAGTTCGGGCGCGCGCCGATTTTTCCGCCGCGACGGTGCGCGCAGCCCCCGTCCAGCAGAGCCGTTCATCGAGCCTGCGGGGAATTGCCGAGTGGGCGGCAGATATGAAATCCCAAGGCGGTTTGTTTTTCGGGAGCGCGCGTCGGCGCCACTCGCGCGGCAAGTTTATAGACGGCGTTATTGATTCAAAACCGTTCGTTCGAATTATCGCAACGGATGTTCGCGCACGACGCTGGAAAAATAAAAAGCTCGCCCGGCGGCGGGGGGAGTTGCGCGTATCGCGCAAAATAATGAACGAAGCCCGACAATCTCGCCGACGGCTGCTGGCTAGAGCTCAAAGTACAGAGCTTCAAATCCCAGGTGGGATCCCTTCAGGATATACATCTGCAAGCGCGTATAGTTTTCCAAGCGCCGGCTAAAATGTCTCTCCGAGGAGAGAGCGGAAAAAAAGAAATTGCCGACTCGCAGAAAATCAGGCGCTTGTGTGCGCGTATCTACAGTCGGCGCCGCCCCTCCCACCCCCGAAATAAATGTAGGCGAGCACGGCGTCGGTCGAAAGGGTGAGCCAACTAGAACCTCGCTGCTTCTGCTGCTGCTACCCTCCTCGTTTTACATTTCATTTGACGCGCGCGAGGAAACTCGAAAGTAGCACTTCCTCGTCCGCGCGCGCACGAGCGTGCGCGTACTTTGAGGGCAGGGGGGGGGGGCTGTCGGGCGAGACAGCGCGCGCTTCGAATACAAATGCACCGCAGACAGCAGTCGAATTTGATCGAATCTGCTTCTGCTAGGATTGTCAGGCTAGCGAACTCACTTCGCGAGAGAGAGAGAGATATATAAATTGATCGCCGTCAAGGAGGCTATAAGACGAAAAAAAGGAGATTACGTGGCTACCGCCAAGTTGAGGGCCAATTTTCGATTTATTGTGTCGGCGGCGATATTTCTCCGAGTGGATTATACGCCTGACTTGCAGAGAGCGGCCTTCTTCTCGCACTCCGCTAGGCGCCTCCGAAAAACGACCCGCTGTATTTTTCTCGATACGCTCGCGCGCATAAATCTCCATCGGGCAAAGAGAGCTGCTCCCACGTCCGACGTAAGCGCGCACTCGGCTAATTTTCCGACCTGCTGATATTAGCGTGGCGTCGCGGCCCGAGAGGAGATAGGCGCGTGGAATTTATGACGGGCGCAAGGGGGAAAACCTTACTTTCCACAAACAAGAACCGAGCGAGAGAAGCTTTTATTGCGCCGGCGGATAAGATAGGCATCACCCCCTCCTAATTAAATGCCGGAATAAACGTGACCTGGCCGACGCTGGGCCCACGCAACGAGGAGGCGCGTAGTCGCCAGTGGCCTATGTACGCGACGCCGCCCGATAAGGAAGTCGAGAAAGCCGGTTCGACCCTGTCCTCTCGCGCGGCCAATCCCCGCGAGCGCGCGGACCTTATTTGTCAATATTTCACCAATTTTCAACTTTCCGCTTTTCGTCCCCCGACCGCCATCAATTCTATTTTCCTTTCTCTCCCCTGCCGCGGCGCGCAGCTCCTCGCCAAGCGGCCCGTCTAGACTTATGAAGATGCCTTATCGCCCAGCCAGTTTCCTGTTTGGCTATTCGATTTCAACGCGCAGCGCGATAAGCCGTTCCACGGCATCGTTTTACCGAAAAGTAAACGCGAGTGAAAAAATATGCAACACGCCCAGAGAAAGAAAGAAAGAGAAAGAGAGAGAGAGAGAGAATAGGGGGTCTGGCTGCGGGAGAATTCCAATAAAGCATTTGGCTTTTCTTTGCCGCGCGGCTAAAAAACATTCCAAGGCGCGCGCGCTCTCTTTCGAAACGTTCAATTTGGAGGGAAAAAAACATAAAATAAAAGACTCATCGAAATAAGACGATCGATCGGCACCGTAAAATGCTTTTCCAATCGGCGCCGAAATTACAGTCGGCGCGGCGCGATCAAAGAGAGCTAGCTCTGGCCGCGTCCGGCGAATTCCGCTTGACACAGACATTACGCGCCGACGCTCGGATGGACACGCGCGAGCCTTTCTTCGAGCTAATCGCCAAAGCCCAAGCTCGACTCGCGAGGTCGTTAGGAGAGAGCGGCTCTCGGGCTCACCTGTCGCGAGCAATCGAATTTTCGCGGCCGCGCGACAGCGCTGTACCCGTGTCGCAGCGCCGAGAGGAGCACGGGCAATTTCGATAAAAGGCTTTCGGCGCCAAGCGCACCTGTCCCCCGCCCGTAAAAGCTCGCCGCGTCCTAGGCTATAAATAAAACCGAGTAATTTCTAATTCCAGGCCGACCAAACTGTCTCTCCCTCTCGTTTTTCGTTCAAAGAGAGAGAGAGAGAGTAATCCTTTTTCGCAGTGCACATTCGGCGAGCCGGCAATCAAGCGTTGGATTCCAGTGCGCGTCCGTTTTGTATTGTGCGAGGCGCCCTCGCGGCACGTACACCCTCGCACTCCATTATCTCGCGCGCTCTTTTGTGAGCGCTCGCGCTCGCGCAGCTATTATTCGTCGAAAATCCCTCAATCATGTTTCACTTCATAACTCTCTCCCTCTCTCTCTCTCTCTCGGCGATCGATCGGCTTTGTGTTTATATCGAGACTCGCCGACCGACCGACTGCGCGAATAAAAACGTCAGGAGAGCAAATAAAAAGCCAGAGCCGGCTTTCCCACGTAGCGCGTGCACGCGGAAGCCACGCTTAATTGGACGTGCGACCAAGCGCCCGGCTAATGCATGCACGCTCCGCGCGATTCAATTAATAAACCAGCTCTTAATTCGCGCTTCCGCTCGGACCTCTCGCAGCGCCAGCGACTGTCCTTCCCTCTTTCCCTCCTTTTTTTTCGCATCTTTCCAACTCTTTGTTGTTCGCGCCAACGGCGAGGATCACTTTTAACGGCCAGATTCTTTGCTCTCTCGAGTGCGATGAACTTGTCGGGAATGCGCGCGTTTTATGAGTTGCGCTCGGCTTCGGCTGTTGCTCTTTATTTCCGACGCCTAGCTGAATGTATTAATTCGTAGAGTTGCTCTCTGTGGAAACGAAATTCCGAAAAGAAATTCCTTTGTTGGAGCAATCAAGCCCGAAAATGAGTGAGCCGTTTTTTTTGAGAGAGAGAAACTGTGACTCGGAGGCTCGAAGAATCGCAAAGCGCACTCGCGCGTGTGCCGAGGAGCCTGTGGGTTTCTTTGATTTTCAGATTTTACGAGCTCCGGCCCTCGCTCGACTCGCACCACCGAGGCGTTAAAGGACGTCGGCCCTCCCACGATACTTTTTATGAGCTCAACAGCCGCCTTGTTACAGTTTATAGTTTTTAGAAAATTTTCCAGAGCCAGAAGACATTTATTGATTTTCTTTCACACGGCTGACTCACATGTGTGTCAAGTGGAATATTATTCATGAATCCGCTTGGAAGAACGAAGCAAATAAGACTCGAGCGGACCTCATTATTGAAATTTGCAATTCATCGATCATCATTCTTTCTCGATCGTAACATTAGAGTTATAACGAGCCTTATCTCATTTGCACATTTGTCGACGAAGTCAGAGCTGGCTTGCCGTTTATGACGTAATAATGACCAATCGAATTGAAATTCAGGAAAATAGCGATATTTCGAGTATTGTTGCTATGAACATTGCGCTAACGGCACGTGCGCTATCAGGGAAAAAGAAAATCAGTTTGACTAGCAAGAGTTGAATTGAGTGTGGTGAGAACGGCAAATATTGATCGATGATAAAACGCTGAATTAATAGCATGCGGCAGAGGTGAGCGATGGCTCATACCGGATTATTTCTCAACGGTTTTTCTACGCTCCAGTTTTGAAAACCGAAGTGTGCTTTGCAATTGAGGTCATGAATAATTCAACAACGTCTGCCAGCGAACAGGCGTGAAGAAAACACGTATGTTCCTGCGTACGCGCAACGGCGCGAAGATAACCAGCTCCGTGGAAAAAGAGACGGGCGACGAGCGACGAGCGACGAGCTGGTAGCGAAGTCGAATGGTCCAACTTGAAAAGAAACAATGCCAGAGCTCGTGGGTGTAAAGTTGGGCCTCGGAGGCATCGTGCGATCCGCAAACACGTTCGAAAGTTGAGCCCGACCGAGAATGCCAAAAGTTAGGGGGAAACTTGGGTTCGGGGCGCGCGCTTTAATTAACTCGGATAACTGCATCTTCGCGGGCGAGCCTCCCGAAGACACGTAGCGTCGCGGAAATTCCGAATGTAGCGCCGACGCCGCGCGTTATTTTATTACCGCAGTGAAAAACTCGACGTAACCTGCGTACCTCACCTGTTGAAGCGCTTAATTATTCGCAGGCACGCGCGCGCCGGCAGCGGCTGGATCCGCTTTCCCCGTCGGGAATTCGGGGAGCGACGGACTGCACGTGGAGCGGAAATCGCACGCTCCGCGGGGCTCCAACTGGTCGCCGGCAACGCGATCGCCCGCCGGACTCGCGCGCGAACCGACACTGATTGCTCGCTCGACAGAGCTGCACCCACCAGCAAACGAGGAGTAGAAGACGGCCGTGGCTGCGCTCAGATCGTGATTCACTTTTGCGTGTTCACAGCGGCGCAAGACTACCAGAAGAACTCGCTGGAGATCCTGCCGGCCGGCGAGGTGCAGACCAAGGCGATAGGCTCCAAGATTCTGCTGACGTGCAAGCCGAAGGTTGCCGACTCGCGGCTGATCTCGGAAATCCAATGGATCGACCCCTACAACCGCGTGATCGACAGCTTGAGGTTGGTATCCGTTCGCTCGCTCCTCTCTCTCTCTCTCTCTCTCTCTCTCTCTCTCTCTCTCTCTCTCTCTCTCTCTCTCTCTCTGCGCGGTGCTATCTAACCTGCCTTTACTCTGGCTTTCGTACCGCACTTTATTCGATCGCCGATTCGATAGCGTTAATGCATCTACACGCTTTGAGACCCGTAGAATAGCAGACGCGAGACTTTGTCGTTGGCTACGAACACTAATCGACAGCGTTCTCTGACTTTCTCTTTCTGCACACAGACTCTACGTGATGCCGCTCGACAGGCGAGTACTCACCACACGCAGACTGTAACGCACAACTCGATGCAGAGAAGTTCTTTCTCAATTTTGACATCTCAGTATCCCTATACTACTTACGTCATCACCTCAGTCCAAGCACATCACGCTTGTAGATTTTTGCTCGTTTTGCTCTTGTTTTGCCACCAACTGCTTTCATTTGCATGCTTTCATTTACACCCACACACTCGGGAACAAGCGAGCGAGCTTCGCGGTAATCCTCGAGTGTGTGTGTTTTCCTCTGCCCTTTCTCTTACTCTCCCTCTCGTTTTGGATCATTCAGTTACTCAAAAGGACAATTAATTATCTCTGGTCTGGCCTACAATTACGCATTCGCAGTTTATTTCATTAAAAGTCCCAACCACGACGTCGACGGCAGCGGCGCGCTCGCGACGATGTCACGCAGTCCCTCGGTCTCTATTCATCGTCGTCGTCAAGCGCTCGTCGTTATCGCCCCCGCCTCTCTCTCCTTCTCTCATCGTTTGCAATTATTTTTCTCTCTGTTCTCACGACATTTGCGCTCTCTCGCCAGCGCGGATCACACAATAGACCCTCCATTTGTTTTCTTGCTTTTCATCAATCTATTTTGCATCCACCTCATTCTCTGGATCATCATCCGTCTTACCCATCAACTCATTCGCGTAGCACTCGAAGCGTATATTCAGCGTGCGATCGTTGCGTTAACTTTCGTCCCTCTCTGTGCAGCATGTCGCCCGGCTATTCCAAGCCGATGATGTACACAGAGGTGCACCCGGATAACAGCATCTCGCTGTTCTTCAACAATCTGAATGAAGAGCAAGCCGGCAAGTACATCTGCAAGGCCAAGTACGCCAACAACGAGCTGCTCACCAAGCACGTGACTATCGAAACCATAGGTAGGTAGCAGCAATCTCCCCTTCTTACGCGTCTGACTAACGAACACGATCGCCGCTCGCCTCTTCCCGCGTAGTGGCGCTCACGTGGGTGGACGCCCCGGAAAATCAGTACCCCATTCTCGGCAAGGAGTTCAAGATCAAGTGCGAGGTGCGCGCCAGACCCGCGCCCACCGTCGACTGGATCTTCCGCGACGAGAACATCAAGACCAACGATCATTACGTGATAGAGACGCACGCTCTCAAGATCAAGAGCGTCAAGCTGGACGACGAAGGCGTGTACACCTGTCGCGCTTCCGTCACCGACACCGGCGAGCTCGAGGAGCGTGCCATTCGCGTCGAGGTCAGTTGGAAGCCGCGTCGCCTCGCCCGGCTCCCCGCATCTCCGACTAACGATGTTGCGCGTTTCGTCGACAGGTGCACGTTCTGCCGAAAATCGAGGAGTTCCAGGACACGGTGGTGGAGGTGATCGAGGGCGAAACCGCCAACATCGTGTGCAAAGGCCAAGGTAAGCCGGCACCCAAGTACACCTGGGTGAAGAGCCTGACCAAGGAGAACTTGGCCACGGCCGACCGCTTCGGCGTGAACGAGGACACGGGCGCGCTGACGATCAGCAACGTGCTCCGCGAGGACACCGGCGAGTACCAGTGCACGGCCACCAACTTGGCCGGCTCCGACACCATGAACATCCAGGTGAACGTGATCGTCAAGCCCAAGATCATGGAGTTCCTCAACCAGACGATGCCGCAGCTGAACCAGGTGACGATGGGCTGCCGCGCCTTCGGGCGGCCGCCGCCGAGCATCACCTTCCGCAAGCACACCTCGGAGAAGCCCTTCCTGATCGGCGGCCAACCCGGCGACGACCGGATCAAGCTGGTCAACAAGGTCGACGATCAGAAGGGCGAGACTCTGGCCGAGCTGACGATCGACTCGGTGCACAGGTACGTATCACGGGCGCCGGTCGGCCTCCACTCCCCGGTCCACTACTACATCGCTGGCTGTGCGCGCGCGCAGGGAGGACGACGGCCTGTACGAGTGCATAGCCAACAACAAGGGCGGCATGGCTTTCAAGAACGGCCACCTGACCGTGGAGTTCCCACCGTCGTTCGCGTCGATGAGCAACCGCACGATCTGGTCGTGGGACGCGCGCCCAGTCAATTTGACCTGCATCGCCGAGAGCATACCCAACGCGACTATCCGCTGGACCTACTACGGCGAGCGCCACGTGGAGGGCGACCCGTACATCCAGGTCATAGGCAACGTCGCGATCTCCACGCTGCAGATCAAGCCAATCGACAGGCGCTACTACACCTCGTACCTCTGCATCGCCACCAACCCGCACGGCGAGCGCACGCACCGCATGGAGCTGCGCGAGGCGCCCAAGCCCGCCGACGTGCCGCAGGTCACCATGACCGAGGCCACCGCCACCACGATGGCCTTCAGCATCGTGCCGCCGACCGCCCCCGACGACCTGCCCATCAGGACGATCACCGTGCAGTACCGCAAGCAGGAGACGCCCTGGGACTTTGCGCGCAACCGCACCTGGACCGTCGGTAAGTCCGCGGCAGCGCGGCCCGCGAGCGGCCCTCGAGACAGACTGACGTTTCGGTGGCGCGGCAGGCTCGCAGACCGGCTACGTGGTCGAGAACCTGGAGCCGCAGACCAACTACGAGTTCCGCTTCGCGGCCTCGAACGACGCGGGCCGCGGCCACTGGGCGATGAACAAGGTCTTCACCACGACGATGCGCAACGTGCCGGGTCTGGTGCGCTTCTACCCGCTGCCCGACGAGAGCGGCTACGTCAAGGGCGACCTCGCCAACAGGTACTGGCTCAAGTGGTCCGCGGCGCCGGACAACGGCGAGCGAGTTCTGTCCTACCTCGTGCGCTGGTGCGAGGTCAAGCGGTACAGCGGCAACCAGTTTGTCGTGCAGGACTCCTCGTGCTCGAGCAGCACTGAAACCACCGCCCGCGATTACTGGATCGAGCACCTCTCGCCGGACACCTACTACAGAGCCGAGGTCAGGGCTCGCAACATTCTCGGAGACGGGCCCGTCGCTAACGTCACCTTCAGAACCAACAGAGGTGAGTTTCCTTTTTTCTGTCCCCCGATTCTTACACTTCTGCTCGTTCACTAATGTTGACGCGCTCTTTTTTGTACTATTATTTTCGCGTCACTTTTTTTCAACGTCGTCCGTTTGACGATTCAGCGTGTATTCTCTATAACTGTGATATTTTACGTACACTACTTCGCAACACTTTTTTTTTTCTTAACTACTGTATAGTGTAACTGTGTATTAAAACCAGCCCGCGACAGCTTGACTTTAACAACGTAAAATGTGGGAGCTATGACAAGTCACGGCAATTAGTCGCTTTGGTCGAGCTTGTTCAAGCGTCGTAGGTGTGTAGTTCGTTATTTGGACGAGACATACTCGTGCGAATGAAAATCAACCATACACGATGGCCAAGCCTTTCAAACACAAGCTTTTTATTATTGTTCAGAGACTGAGGGCTATGTAGTGGACAAACGGATGATTGCATCTGGCGGAGTCGCCATCCAGCTCGCCGTGAACGTCTTTGCCGCAACACTTACGATCCTATCTCTTGCCGCTTAAAGAAAAGCACCGAGAATGGCAGATCATATTTATGTGTATTTGCGTATGTGTGCGTGCGAGCGTTCCGTTGTCCGTGTCCCGTGTGTGCGCAATCGCCATTGTCACTGCCCAGAAAGGAAGGTCAGCGCGCCTCGAAAAACGTACCCGAAAGAGACAACAATAGACTATTCTGAGCGCGCTTCTAACGCATTTCTCGTTACAACGATAGCGCCCGTGCGCCGGGCTCTCGGCCGCGGAGATCGGCGATCGCGGCCGTCCTCTTCTCCGCGAGCGCGCAGCCCACGAAAAAGCGGGCGAGATCGCGGCGAAGAGTCGCGCGCTCGAAGGACCGGAGGGGGACACACGCTCGAAGCGCTCTCGGCCGCGTTCCCGCGTCGACAATGCGCGCGGCGCGCACTCAATTACCATTCGTCGATTACTTTAGCGTGTAAGCTCGGCGTCAAAGATTTACGGTATACATTCCGACGCGAGAATAATGTATTCTCCTTGAAAGACATCGTCGAGGAGAAAGGAACGCTCAGAGCCGTCGATGTTTCGAACGGCGTATTTATAGTTTTTCGCGCCTGCCCGCTCATTGTTGACAAGCCCTGCTGCCGGTACGTTCCTTTGATTCGTCCGTTTCTTTCCCCCAACGCGCGAAACGCTCGAAAGTACAGGAGCTTGAATTTTGTCTGCGAGCGCGCATTTTCTACAATCTGTACCGATGAGCCTAATACGCACGATATGAGAGTCGCGATGCCTTGTATTGCCAAATTGTTAGTGTTCACGAGTAGTTTTCCATAAGTCAGATTATCGATCGGAGGCTCCAATCATATTTTTAGAGACTTTTTAAGTAGCGCTCAGATTATACCTAAGCAATCGATATAATTTATTTGCCTCGTAAACACTGTCATTTACAATAAGATGAAACTATAATGAATACATCTTCATCGCTGTTTGTCTTTTCCTTTAGCCAGATTATGTATTTAGTCGCGAAGACGATGCGGTCCAAAAATCAATGTAAACACTTTCACGTACTTGTACACTTATCTCGAAAAGAAGAAAGATCGCACTTTACAAAATCGCGTTCTCAACGCACAACATTATCAATAAATTTTCTTTTGTGCATTTAATTCTTTGTCTAAAAAAAGCCTTTCATTTTGTTTTTCTTCTTTTTGATCAAATCAGTTGACATAGTTTTCCGCTTGTTCCGAATTATTATTCCGCCGAGGCACGCTGTTTCTTTCAAAGCGCATCATCTGTGAATTTACTTTCAATTAATTTAGGGATGTGTAGTCAACTGCTCTACATGATTACGTTGGCAAATGTCATTAGCGTTACTGTTACTGTGTACGTCGTCATCCATTTGACGATTTATCAATAAGTTAGGTAACATTATTATAATAAGGGTAAAGTTTCATCAATTACCAACTAGTTCTAGTTAGATTAATCATTATTTGTCCGCTGTGCGTTCGGTTTAATTGACTGCTAGCGAAGGCAAATCAATCGCGTCGAAATTAGACCGCGAGCGTGGTCTGGCTGCAGTTTAGTCGCATTCGATCAGAAAAGGATCGCGAAGCAACGTCTGGGAATGCCGAAAAAAGCTCGGGGCGACGATCATCGGTCGTAGCATTCGACTTTTACGCGCGCGACACTCTCGTGCAACGCGATGCATGCCGTGCATTTTTATCATTTGCATTTCGTTTGGCTCTGTTGCCCCGCCCCCTCCTCTATCTCGCTACCGCGCTCTTTTCATCGGCTCCCTGAAAAGCCCGCCGATCGACCTTTTATTCGCGCTCTTTTTCGATTTCTCAGCTCTGTTCTTGTTCGCGGAACACGTTTGCAACGCATCTCAAAGAGAACACAATCGAATCCAAGGTGCGACGGTGGCGTTAATCGGCGGCTGCTCGAGCGAGCAGCCTCGTCAACGGAAATAAGCCGAGCGAGCGAGCGAGAGACGGCGGGAATTCCTCGATTTCCGCCTCGTCGAGGCGCGATTCCGACGCGAACAACGACGGGCTCTGGTTTTACGGGGCTCGAGCTCGTTTCCGCAAATAGAACAGCTACTCGGTGAGCCACAGCCAGCGAAAGGGCTATACATTGTGCATCGGCGATTGGCGGCGGCGCGCTGCAGCCATTACCCGATTTCGGTTACGACTTTCTCAGCCGAGTCTTCGCTGACTCGCTTGTTTGACTCGAAGAAAGAAAGAGGGAGGCTTAGGCGGCTTGGATCAGCTGCGGACAACTGCTCGAATGCCGATTATTATGATAGTCGTGCCGACGAGCTTGAGGCGCTGGAAGGAGCTACGCGACGGCGAGTGGCGTTGGTAGAAAGAAAGGCCGCGCAAAAGCGACAAACCGACATACGCGCACACGGCCACCCTCCTAATTGTATGTCTCGAGCGTGTAGACCGCGTAGAGCTAGCGGCCGTGCGCTTGTGTGAGAGAGCGTACACGTATAATTAAAGCTATATACATATAAGTAAGCGCCTGTGCGTCGCCGACTCTAGCCGCAGCAACGTACACGTCTATGCATTAGATTATACTATAGTTTTATTTCGAAGCATTTATTATCATTATATTGTAAATAACACACGAAAACAACAGCAAATGAGAAATATACGAGATACGTATGTATCTCAAACGAACATCAGTACAGCACTTGCGAGGTCCCGGCGATCAAGTCAATTTCAAACGCTTCGTGTTGCTTTTTGGTTTTTCTTTTTATTTTTACATTCCACTTTGTTTACTCGGTCCCTCAAATGATTATGGGCCTTTCTCACACGACGAGCAATAACATTTTTAAAAAGTAAAAATGAGCAATCTGTTTTGTCACACACGAGCGACACGAGAATTTGCATTGGCTTTTTCGGCGAGTCCGCAAATCAATGATTTCATTTCTCACGCACACTCTCAACTACCAAGTGAGCAAGTACAGTAAAGAGTAGCCGAAAAATCCACCAATGCAAATCCTGTCGCGCGCAGGGGTCTCGACTATGAGGAGACACTCTCTGTCTGTGCAAATTCGAACAATGGTAATTATGAACATTGACAAATCAGCATTTCTAAAAGAACGATTAACCTAACATCAACAACGACAATCGCTCACTCTCTTGTCTAACAAAAAGGTTCTGTCTCTCACGGGCGGCAAGCACATTATTGTACATCTCTTTAGCAAAAGTAGTGGCTGTCTATATATATCTCTCTGTCTGTCTGTCTGTCTCTCTCTCTCTCTCTCTCTCTCTCTCTCTCTCTCTCTCTGTCTCTCTGGTGCCTGAGCTGCAGTGTAATTACGTAGAGTAGCCGAGTAGTAGATAGACTAACACGCGGCCCCCTTTCCCTTCCCTTTTTTACACTTTCACGCTATTTACCTGCAACGGCGTCTTTTTCGCGCGTCTTCCATCCCATGTACACGCGAAAAGAGGCAAAGTCCCTCTCATCCCTTGTCCGTCGTCGTTTTATCGCCAGCTGCATCTTCCTTTCCCAATGGCCTCGCGCGCAATTGCCAAGCTGCTGCTTTTCAAGCTTCCGCCGCAGCAGAACTATCAACGCTTCAGCATCCCTCCTCTCGCATCTCATTCATTTGCCAGCTCGCTCATTCATTCGGCCGCTCATTCGTTCATTAGTGTGCGCTACTTCGCTGAGATTAGCACGTTTAAATTGAACCAAAATCAGCCTTTTACCTTTCCCTCCTGTTTTTCTCGCTATGCCGTCTTTTCCGGATTTCGGACGCGGAACACTCGAACAATACACCGACACTGTCACTTGCCATACACCAACTTCAATTTGGACGTGCTCACCTAAGAAGCTATACTTGTGTATTGATACACGTGTTTGCGACATAGGCTTGCCATTCTTGTGTGTATACTGTCCGCGCAGGTAGATAAAAAAGCAAAGCCAAGAAAAGAACGAGAAAACGAAACTCGATAAGAAACAAAAGCAATGTAGTAAAAGAACGAGCGATTGGCTATTAACGCACATTGCGATATGTATTTTGTCCTCTTTCTTTTTATTTTCTGCTCTTTTTAATTTTCTCACTCTCTGTCTCTTTACGATTACCATTATAACATTATAAATACCATTATCTGTGTAAAATATGTAAGAGTGCATTGACGCGCGGCTCTCACGCGGCACGTGTTTGGTGATGTACGCTCTGCTTATTGTTTCTTTCGTAACGATCGAACGTCAAGAGCGCCAGTATGTTTTCAAATCATCGGATACGCCGTGGTGCGCGCGCTCGACAGGTGGTACTCCTCTTGGTCTTTTGATTCTAAAGTTTTTTCATGCGGGGCCCATATACGCGTTAGTATCCGCTGCGCCATTCATTGCGTTGAGTCTTTCTCTTTCCTTTCTCTCTCTCTCTCTCTCTCTCTCTCTCTCTCTCTCTCTCTCTCTCTCTCTCTCTCTCTCTCTCTCTCTCTTTCTTTCTTTCTCTCGCTCTATCTCTTCATTGAGGCAAGCGAGAAAATTCTGCGATTATTCGATCGATTGCTTCCCAAGAGCGAATGCTTTTTGCGCGCGGATATCTCATTGATGCTTTTAATTTGTCTGAAAAGAAAGAAACGACCATTACAGGATTAACAGGCCTCACTGACATTTCATCACCAAGCATCGGCCGTTGTTTTTTAGCTTTTTGCACTAACATTATTACGGCACATCGGTGTCGGACGCACGAGTGACGCATGTCAATTCTCGATTATAGGCAACACGCACGCAGCTATGCTACCACCGAAGAGCATCGACAGTTTGGTCATCATCCTCACCGTCGTCGCCGTGCTCGTCGTCATCCTGCTGATAATGGATGGCGTGCTTTTCTGCGTTTGCAAGTCAGGTACAAGTGCCGACCAAAGTAGTCGCGCAACAGTCGCGACAGATTCGCATCACTAATCGATGATTGCTCGCTTCGCAGGAATGATTTACTACCTAAGGGAGAGATCGCGAAGGAAACCAGTCGACGAAGAAGACGCCAAGTTGGGCAGGTACGTACAGACGACGATAAAAACTTGTCGCTACACCATCATTTGTAATCAATACGTATCTTCTTTTCGGTGTATCTCTCTTTTGTCGATATATAATATATTTATAAATGTACATCTACATACAACTATTTTTTTTTATAGCCACGACACGTCGCGCGCATTAACCATTCGGACATGCAAACGAAGATCACTCGCAAACATTCATACTCACACTGTACAGACGATCGTTCGCGCTCATTGACAATGAAACTCGACGCACACACACACACACACAACACAGACGCGCACGCACACCCAATACGTTACCATCTGTGCTTTGGCAAGTTTGGCGCTGTCATGTCATCGAATTTTTCACGCGCTATTCTTGCCGATAATAATTACTTGTCGGTTCATTGACTCTTGCATTCTTGTCATTCTCCCTTTTCATCCAATCACATTAACATGTATCTGACCGTTGCCAAACGCATTCTCATTAAATGTCATTGTGATACTAACTCTTACTTTAATTGTCTATTTTTATGTTGTTCACTCTCATAACATCAGCCTTCTGAATGAAATTTTTTTTTTGTTTTAATGTCAAAATTGTGTGTAATACTGACGTTCTGTTTTTTCTCACCGTGCCAAATATAGTCTTTACGGTTGGCGATTCCCATTGCCATATTGCGACCAAAAAATGGCCAATGTCGCCGGGGTGACGGCCATACAAGAATCGGGTAGCGGCAAAAGTACCATAACCCTGGTCAAGCACACTGCCATGTAAGGGCGCCTATCTATCAAAAAAAAAAAAATTTTCTTTTATTTATTTTTTTTTCTTACATGATCTAGAGAAGGTTTTCCTCGACGAACTATGCATGAGGCAGTAAACCCCGCTGATTATTTAATTTTTTTATTTTCTCTCTTTCTCTCTCTCTCTATCTTTCGCATGTAGTTCGAAATTTTCTTTGAGCGCAAATCTGTCTTTTATTGGTTGTGAGCGTGTCTTTGGTAGTTTATCGACTGCACAAACTTGTTGCTCTCCTGGTCGCTCGGGCAAATGTCGCATATGTATGTAAAAATACAGCTATCTATCGAGCGAGTGTGTGCGTGTACGGCACCGAGCGGATAAGAGAGTGCGTATAACGAGAATTTCTTTTGTATACGACTTTAGTCAGGCCTATTGTACGGCCCCCGCCGACCACTTTTTCTCGCGTATGTCTTTCTACTTTTTTCCATTCTCGACTGGCTCGCGCGCGACGACCACTTCATTCCGCATTGCCACGCGTGCGCTCACGAGTGAAAACCTTGCCTCTATAAGCAGCTTTTGTACATGTCTGTCGACGTATATTGTAGAACCACGTTGAAACTTGATTTTCTTTTGTTGCTCTCCTCCATCGTTTTAGGTATATATTGAGCACATTTGATTTTCCGATTGGTTGTTCTATTGCCCCTTCCTGTTTCTTTTATTTTATTTTATTTTTTTTGTTATTCACGTCAATTGACCCCGTGCTTGATTGAATCGAGTGAGAAGTATTAGAACGTCTGTGATTAAAAAAACATGGTGCGGAGTAGCAAACGCACAGCGAGCTGCTCCGAGAATAATTTGAGCGGCCGTTCAAATATGGCACTTGAGTTACATTTCCGATTTGTGTTCTGTCATCCATCCACGTCCTTCATAATTAATCATATCATTGTACATTTGACCACTGGTATTCTAAGCTTTGACTATGTTGCACGTTCTATACTACACACTACGAGCTTAGTCATTATCCCCTAGTTATTCCCCACTTTTCAGCGCATCCACTCGTCACAAATTACGAATAAAGCTCCATTTCCTCTGATAGTCTACTTAAAAGTCCATCAATTGATAAAACCATGGCATGACTCTTGAGTATCCGTAATCGATGTAACGTATTTGCCAGCGAGAACAACTTTTCCTAGCTATTATTGATATCCGCGACCAATTGTTCTGTTGCACAGAGACGAGAAGGAACCGCTGAAGGAGGAGAAGAAGATCACGCCGATCATCGACTCAGGATTACCGCGAGACACATCGGTGCACTTCGACGGCAAGAACTCCATCTCGAAGACGGGCTTCGTGGCTAAGGACTCGGCCGTCTAGATATTCTTCCGGCGTACTAGATTGTAAATCCTCTCTTTCTCCGAGCGATAACGAAGCGGAGCGCGCTCACACACAATGTCATCTATGTACACCAGCCATTGCCACGAACAAACATGCCCGAGCTTACGCAAGCTCACCAACTCGAAACGACCTGTAATCCCGGTAAATCCCCTCACACACACACACACACACACACACACACACACACACACACACACACACACGCGCGCGCGCACGCACGCACGCACGCACACTCACTCGCTCCCGCTACGAAGTATCGCTGATGTCGTTTCGAGTTGCTGGCACGGCCACTTCGAGAAGGGTAATGACACATGCGATGCACACGAGCTTAAACCAAGCGAATATTCAGTCAATGTGTGGATATAACTATGTATTTTTTGATGTCCCTTTCTCGACGACGAGACACAATGACAATATGCTATCAACTCTTGAGTTTTTATGAGCAAGAGCGAACAAATTAGCAAAGACAAAAAATTTAATGTCGTTTGAAAAAATAAAAAAAGGAAGAAGAAATTGTAAACAGAACGTGCCGACAGAGCGCATCGACTTCATTTACGTTATTATGTATGGTGTGTGTTTATTTATACTCACACTTATGCACACTTGGAGAAGACGGATATCCTACGTTCGCAGTCTAGTACGTCGGCTTGAATCCGATCTCTCGTTACGACCATTTATTCCTACTCTTTTTAAATGTAAATACGTTTTTCCTTGGATAGTATTATATCGTATTAATCCCCCTTTTATCCTATTCAAGCTGTTTTCCTTACGTACTAGAACTTGACTAAAACAAAGAAAAGAAGAAAAAATAAACAAATTTTTCTTTGAGGAAAAATAAATGCGCTTTAGCGTGATTTGTCGTTCATGGCAAGTTCAATCATTAATACGTGTTTCTACTTACTTCGTTAAAGACTGAGTCATGTCTACTAAATTCTCATGATTGCATAACAATCGGTATTTATTAATTGCAAATGATGCATTTTCTTTTTATAATTATAACAAGCGAGTTCTGGACAAAACCACGTATGTTCATCTCTCGGAAACTCCATGACAGCCAAGTTCTCACAGAATTACTTAATTTTTTAAAAGGTATTTAAGCCATGCGTATTGTATTGAATTTTACAACTTGAATATGTAACTGTTGCTTCTATGCCATTTGTTCGTTTTTATCGTATATAAGATTTGTATTTTTTAAAGAAGAGCGCGGACATGCCAGAAAATCCGGAACATGCGCGCCTGTGTGTATGTGTGTTTAATCTGTATTCTCAAACTGAAACGTTTTTGCTGGCAGTCAATTTTATGATTTGAATTTGAAAACAACGGTAAAAAAGTCAGCTATTCATATAGAAGTTAAGATATTGCTTAAAAGTGGCAAAAAAAAAAAAAAAAACAGTTAAAATTGTGATAAGTCTTTTGTAAATGCTTGTAAACGTTATTCCCTAGTCTTAGAAAGATGTTTGACAAAAATCTGGACAAGACGAGAGAAAAATAACACTATTGACAAATGTAGTCGTCTCGGTCGAGGCAGAATAGCGTTGTACTCGCGACGAGTAGAAGACGATCGCCATTTTTTGCGATCGCTTCTCCCTACAAACGTAGCTTTTTTACACAGAAAATAAAAACGACATTGCGGAATTTTTGGCCAAATATATAAATATATAGATTATAGTACTTACTAGCTCAATAAGTCATATAAAAACTGTTGATTTGCGCAAAGCGTTTTCTGTAAATTGGTAAAAACTGTAAGCAGTTGAAAATTAAAGGACGAGTCTCCAAGAGAGTTGACAATTAGACTTGTACTTTTTAATAGTGCTGATTCTTTTTTATTTTTCAACTGCGGCATAGATGTGGTGAAATGTATAAGATCGTCGTATTCTGCACTCATTCACTGTCGATATAAATATATATAAATTAAAGTTGTGCAGAAAATAACGATTAATAATCTAGTACACACAGCAAAGATAGGCTTTTTACAGAAATATTAGAGACCCACAACTTCCAGTTTTTTCCAAACTCTACAATTAGCTTTAAGCCAATTAGATTTAAGCATATTTTTTATGTACTATGCTTTATTTGTATGCCACAATGACAAAAGACGTTAATAAAGGAAAAATAAACATTGTCGAAGGTCAAAGCCACAAAAAAAAAAATAAGTTTTATTCTATTGCATCTAGTTTCATCAAATTTTATTAAATAGTTACAACAGAACAGCCTTACGCGTAATATGGCATCGGTATTTACAACCGTTGAGGAACACGAACCCGTCGTACCTCATCTACTGCGTCACAACTTGTTTATCTCCCTCTCTAAACGTCCTTGTTACATTTAATGCCACAAACACGTAAAGCGAGAACTTGCACACCTGAACTCAGCTTCAGCTCAAGTCTATTTATTCATTGCCCCATCAGAAGGGCGGCACTTTTATTGTTCATAAATGGTTATTTGTTCGTGTCGAATTACTCGAAGAATACTTGCGTTCACCCTAGAACAGTAGATAAGTGCTGTCGCAGCTAATGACGCCGACGGTACTATACGCATACCTAAGCAGCACGAATCTTGACAAAGCGTGTATTTCTGTTTTCTTCCGGCGAATGTGCTTTGGAGAAAAGAGATTTAGAACACTGGCACTGCGCGTCTAATCTATTGGATATGTTATGACAAATTTCAAAGACACAAACGCACGAATCAGTACATATAATTCCATCGAAATTAATTGTGGACGGAACTATTTGTCATTATCATACTTCGATTCCTTCGTTGGACGTTTTGCCTCTTTTACTCAATATGGTTTCACTATTTAACACAGGTGCAGCTGTCCGCGTGTGCCAAACGTACACCTGAAATTATATGCAAATTTTAATTGGTACTTGCTTGTATGAAAGCGAGTACGCCATCTACTACGAGCGATTCTAGCATGAGTATAAATTATTGTGGAGAGCATTAAGAAAGTCCATTTTTATCTCGTAAAATGTTTAAAATAAATTTTAATCAAATTTAATCAGCAGTTATCTTTGTACCGGTATATGCATACACTTAGATACCTACTTTACCGGCAAAAGATAATTAACTTTGATTTACTTCGTTTTTAGCAGTAACATTTATAGAAATTATATGACTAAACTATTTCACAGTGAACTATAATTACCTTAGTGCAACCATCAGCTAGACCTTCCAGCTCATCTCTTCGTGTAACCTTTTTCAGGATTTCGCTCTCCTGAAATCCACTTTGAATATTGTATGCAAAGAGAGCATGCTTTTTTTCTAGAATTACTTTTAAATTTATTCCAAAGCCAGCCATATCAATAGGGAAAGGCCTATCAGGTTTCCACACTGCATTAAAACCTGTGACTTTTTGCGTTGCTTTATCACAGATAGGTCTTTCCACCATTAAGCCACCAACAAGACCAACTGGCCAAACGCCTACTCTTTTCACTTTTGCAATCTATAATTTTATAACAACTTAACATCAGCTCATGTGATAGGTATTTCATCGAGAGTTAATTATTATGCTTACCTCTTTGAACAAATGCCGTGAGTATGTATTATCATCATCAGCAAAATATATTACACCATTGTGGCTCTCATTAAGATTGCTCCTAATCCACAATAGAGCAGCATTTCTCTGCTCAACACCTCTAGGCTTCTTCCAATTCTGATCATTCTTTTGGAGTTTATACTGAGGTGGTGTAGGTGCATGAAGGTGCGTATAAGTAAGGCCGCTTGAAGCAAGGAAATTTGTAACTAGTGGGGTTTTGTGAGGGGAATCTTCTATAACTATCCAATGAAAATTTGGTACAAGCAGAAAAGTTTGTGATAATCTAGTGAGTTCAGCTTTCTGTACAGGCCTTGTAAAAGTAGGTGTTATAGCGTAGATAGTAGGGCCATCGTTTGGTTTGCCAATGTCATTGTACTCTATTACAGCATCACATATCTTTGCACTTGTAGGCATTGGCATATGTACTGGCTCATTAATATTTTTGCAGGCTATCGATGCTGCCCTTATTGCTTCTAAAGAGTCCCTGGTCATCTTACATAATTCTTCTTGAGCTTTACAGTCTAAAAAGCAGGACAAGTAAGAATTAAAAATAAAAATTAATCGAGTTTGTCTTTACTGCATTCATGTCAAAACTAAGTATTCTCATGTTTGACTCATCGTATGGTAGATTGATGTTATCACAAAAATATTCTATCTTAGCCATTGGCTACTTTAGTCAAGGCCACAACATTGTAGATGAGGCTAGATAAAAGTAGCAGAAAACCTTTTGAAACATTTGATTTATTATTTTCAAGATTAGAACAAAGTTCCAAAATATTATGAAGGCTTATTTCAAATGACATGCATGTAAGCCACGTAAACGCTACAAATATGACAATGTAAACACGAGCCTCAAAATAAAAATTAAAAAATAATGATATTGTATTGGAAAAATGTCTTGGAGAAAATCTCAGCGATTCGTGATGTTTATTTTTTATATATTTTCGCGCGCGCCGAAGATACGTTGACATGTCACAACATGGAAAACAAGCACGCGGACAGTATAAGGCGCATCTTGAGATACGCAGATAGGCGGCGCACGTAAGGTAACATGCGTAAGTAAATGGGAGGAGGAGGAGTAGGACAAGGAGAAGGGCGTGGGGAGGGTCAACTACGGGTGTGTTGAGTCAAGAGGGAAAAAATCGAAGTATTAGCGCATGCACTCACTGTTGTAACTTTGCCAAACGACAAAGAGGAAGCCAAGAACGAGGATGGTTCTGCTGAGGAACATGAGGTAGAGCGGCCTGAAGCAGCGGCCGGTTTTGTGGAGCACCATGCTGGAAGCGCTCGCGGCGCCTTGTTCCAAACTGCTCGCGCTGCTGCTGCTACGCAAGCTGGCACTCTCTTTCTTCATCCTCACGAGTGGCCGACGCAGCGAATTGCTGGCACTCGCAGCCTCAAAGCCGCCGTGGCCGCTAGTAGCGAACGCCATAGTGACGCTGCTGCTGCTGCTGCTGCTGCTCCCGCCACCACCGCTTCATGCCAGCGCTCGCACTGCCGTTGTCGCTTGACCGAGCCATTACCCGAAGCGCTGGTCTGCTCTGCACATGTGCACCGGCGTACCGCGGAAATTCACCGCCGCACGGCTGCTTTTCAATAGACCCGCGCACTCGAGCCCACTTGGCTTTGCTTTTGATCGTCCTTCTTTTTATTCTGCTGGCACTGTCTCGAGGATATAACAAGCGCAGATTAGATTGCTTGTTCCGAGTCTGTTCGAGCCTTTTTCATTTGTCAAACGGTCGCCAAGTGGGGAAAAAAAATCGAAGCGCTCGATTATTTATATTAGTATCTGATAGCTACGTGCCACGAATCCGATAACGTGCGATAACGATACGTCTCTATTGAATTCAATCGTTCGGTTTTGTCTCTAATTTTTCGTCTATCCTCATTTCTCAGCCGCCGAACCATTCAAAAATAAAAATAATTAGGTCAGTCGCATTCGCAAACTCTCACGAGATGCGTACTCAAGGGTCCCGTGAAAAACCCATACTCTCCGTTCTATTGCCGCGAAGAAATTCTTCACACTTCCCTCGCAGTCTCGGCCTAACGAATCTTAGATTCACGCACTTCGTAGCAATTAGCAAAGGAATAAAGCGTCAGACGTGAATCGCAGATCGTCGACGTATAGATGAGATAATCCCATTGGCCGATAATTATGAGTCTTGGTTTGAGACGCTTTCGCTATAATTAGATTACGAGGAATAACGATCGATGTATTCCAAATAAATCCTTCGCTGTTCGAGCAAAACTAAGTCTTGGCGGTCGGTGCGGTGTCGCGCTCGCGGTCGCTGAGCGTCTCATGAAATTTCCGCCATGCACATCCGCTCCGATTGCCAAATGTTCATCGCACAGCGGCACCGCGTAATCCGCGACTACTCTCCAGCTAGCGATCGCATTGACTGGACAATGGAATTGGCTCGAGTCGATCGGTTGCGACGAGGCCTAGGCATTGGCAGGTGCAACGAGCGCGCGAAGCTTCGCGTTACGTAAAAGAAACGGAGTAGCAGCCTCGCGGATAATCAACTGTTTGTATAGCTCGATTGCGCAAACATGGTGTTTGTCTTTGAAGCGCGTAACGCCGGCGCGCGCCTGCGAAAGCGCTACCTGGCATCGAAAGTGAATCATCGTCTGTAATTAATAATCTCACTTGCAACAGACAGTGGCTGTCGGTCCATATCAGCGGATGATTGCGCGGGCCAGAGGATCGATCTCGAGAGGCACCGGGCTCGCAGCCACGGGCGCGACAGTGCGGCTGCAAAAAATTAAGCTCGCACGAGCAAGCGCAGATCGGAGGAGTCGCGCGTCCGGGGCTGAAGAATCGCGCGGGCGCGGAACTGGATATCCGGCCGAGATAAGCTGATAAGCTTTGGCTACGGTTGGCCGAGCAACGCGTGCACGTAGACTGTACTCGGGTGTAGACTGCGAGAGAAGCCGCGCTGCAGGAAGGTCGTTAACTCTTTGCCGAGCCCGGGCCGCGCGGATGCCCGCGGAGAGGAGCGCAGCTGCCCGAGGGCGCGGGCGCGGCGGAATATCGATCGCGCTGCGCGTCTGGGCGGTGCAGAGGTGCCGCAGCGCCGCCGATTCCCCCCCTCCCCCCCCCCCCCCCCCGGCCCCGGCCCGAAAATCCGCGCGCACGGCCGCGTCGCGCAAGTTTTCCAGCTCGGCCCGAGCCGCGCGCACGTGCGAACGGCTGCGGCACACGCCCGAGATAAGATAAGCAGCGATAAGCAACGCGTGGCACACATTCGCGTAGGCTTGGCAGGCGCGCGACGCCAATTTACTTGACAGCGATGTGCCGCCTCGACCCGTTGTATTGATTCCCGCGTTATAAACGCATCGATCGCTCCTTCGTCAATTTGCAACTCGGCTTTCCAACGATCATAATAATTATAGGTAGTTGAAGCCTAATTACTTTCACTGCGTATTCATACTGAGCTTTTTCAAAGATGTAATGAGAGAAAGTCGTTGATCCAACGAACAAAATGAAATTTGCTGCGAAATTGATAATTACATTTTTGAGTCGTTTTCGACCGAATACTCTATTATTTCGTGCGGTATTTTTAAATGATCTATACATAATTAGCGTTAGATTATAGAAATTGTATTGAACGTCTGTGCGCGGTAGATATGCCAGAAGCCTGTTTCATGCTGCTCTGTGAAAATTTCACAATTGTCCATAAGATGGAGGCAATGGGTTGGAAAACGTGGAAAGCATTTTCCGCGCGACGTGCAAGGACGTAAGTTCCATAGAGTAAACAAGGTTCTTCGGAGGTAATGCAGCCGTACGACTGGTTTGAAACTGAAGCTTGCTGCGTTCATCGCTGGCCAAACTGTCGGTCGGCCTACCAGCCGCGGGTACATCAGAGAACTTGGCGTCGACTTGCCGAAGAGCTTGCGAGGCCAGCGGCCAGATGGACGCAGCAGCAGCAGCAGCAGCACAAGTCCGAAAGCGCGTCGAGGGTTTCCCGCGTGCGCGTTTATCAGCCCTCTCGCGTAATAGTTCTCCGAGTGTGTCTCGTAGTTCCCGATCGCGGTACACGAGCGTACGTGCGACTCTCGGCGCATTGTGCAGGCCACGTGGTCGCGTTTATTGCGAGGCTGCCGTGCTCGATAAACCTCCCAGCGGCCGCGATAACTTTGAAAAGTGCAGTGCTTCCAGTAGCGTGCCGAGCTGGTTCCGATGAGAACTCGAGGAATCGCAGTTTGAGAAATCGGTTGCTGTCGACGCCCTCGGCAAGATCGATACGCGCAGGTACGTAGCGACAAGTGGCGTATAGAGTATATAATACGCCTCGCTTCCGATTGGCAATGCAGGTGCACGCTTTGATTCACGCTCTCTCGTACGACGCAGGTTGTAAAGTACGATCGATCGAGCGGCGAGTAATGCGACAAGTTGAAAAGTTGATCTCTGGCAAGCAGCGATCGACGACGATAAACTGGCTGGCACGGCAGTCGACTCAAACATGGCCAAAAGGAAGTTGGCGCGCGAGGACTCGGACGCGGCGTTTCCGCATCTCGGGCAGAAGGAGCTGCTCTTCAAGATACTCGTCGTTGGCGATTACGGAGTCGGTTAGTATATCGACGATTGCGCGCGCCTCCGAACGTACGTACGCGAGACGTCGCGAAGGGAACGGGCGACAGATAAGCAATGACAGATAAGACAACATAACGTTCGTTTGAGTTCGAGCACATCGTAGCTTCCACTCGACTTTTCTTTCTCATTTTTTTTCTTTCTTGCGTTTCTCATGAGAAAACTGTGGCGTACTTCGATAATTTCGACACTTTCATTCTGGAGCTGCGCTTAAAGTCCAACTGATTATGCTTAGGCAAAAGCTCGATGGTCAGGAGGTTTACCGAGGGCAAATTCTCGTCGAATTACAAAATTACCATTGGAGCAGATTTCGCCATCAAGACGCTGGATTGGGACCCAAACACCAAAATCAATCTGCAACTATGGTGAACGAACACACGCACACAAACACTTACAATCGAACTCAATCTTTTTCCAAAACACTGACTATTTATCAATGGTCTTTCAGGGATATTGCCGGCCACGAGAGATTCGGCTACATGACGAGGGTGTACTACAAATACGCGTAAATACGAATCGAACTATCTAATTGTACGATAGCCTCGATAAAAAGAACACTCAAATCAGGCCTGATACAAATAACGTATGATTCCAGGGTCGCCGCAGCCTTGGTGTTCGACATTACGCGAGTCATGACATTTCAATCTGTCAAAAAATGGTTGAGCGACCTCCGGGACAAAGTTCAACTGCCCGACGGCTCTAAAATTCCCGTCGTCTTGCTTGCCAACAAGTGCGACATTAATCAGCCGTCGGTGCCCAACGATCAGATTATCAAGTTTTGCAAGGAGAATGACATTGGCGCCTGGTTTCTCACTTCAGCAAAGGAAAACATAGGAGTTGGTAATTACCGGCTGAAATAGCGCGTTGTGCCTTCGAAGTGAGCACCCAGCCACTGCTCCTTCTATCTTTTGCAGATGAGTCGATGCATTACTTGGTTACAAGCGTACTGAAGTCGCGAATCAACGATGAGATACGAGAGTCGATCAAGCTGCAAGACGCTCCGTTACTACGGGACAAGCAAAGCTGCTGTAACTCAGGGAAATCCTAACTGGGGAGAAGTCAATTCTTTTTATATCTCTACTTTTACACGATTATCTTGTACGAACAACTCGTTTATTCATTTTCAAATCGTAACAACTTTTATTGCTTTACATATAACAATTTTTAACAATTTTTACGATGCCACGTCTTCGACATACGTAGCAAACAAAAGTTCCTTAACCACAAAATGTACTTGTGAGACGCTGCATTGCTGCGAAACAAGCAAAGCTGCTGTAATCTTAAGCGTTTAATCACAATTATTTTCGTACGTCTCCTTTGTCACGGTAATTTCGGACACGATTCGTTCCTTATACCTGAATCATAACAGTATTTATTGTTTTTTCCAAGATAATAATTTCAATTACTTTTTTCTTTCCAATAATCCGTTCTTCGCTGCAATTCGCGCACAATAACCTTAACTGAGTATCCTGTAAATGCATTTTACCTACATCGAGTCTTTGAAGCTTTTATAATAAAATTTTTTTTTCTATCTCCTATAAAAACGTATAAATAGCAGCCGTTATCGTGCCTTTTCTACACATACTATATTATACTAAAATGATATTTACAAATATTTCGTTGGCGCTCTTTGGTCATAGACTCATTAAACTTTTTTACATACACGCACGAGTATAAAACAATACAAACTACGACGTTGCCGTCGAGATGTCATGATACTATTATATAAATTATCTACATACAAAACGAAATATATCCTCTACGATGCGTTGGGGCACATTGTCAAAGCCCTCAAAGAGTCAACAAGATATTTAGTACAATAAATAACTTAATCGTCAGTACAATATTCGAGCATTTTACGCTTCTTGGTCCATTGTTCTCTCTTTTTCTTGCGTTATGGCTCTTGTTCACCTCCGTTCACAGCTCGTCATCTCGATGAGTATCTCTCACAGAGTTCATGGCGATCGATACGGTCGAGACCATCGTCTTGCTGTAGTCTTTGGAATAATCTAAAATGCAAGACGAGCTAAGTTACCCAACTTTACAATGTTAGATAGTTCCAAATGATTAATAAGCTGAAAACGGTTTTATTAGTTAATTGTAAGAAATATCCTTGTACAAAAAATACTTTTGTCTGTAAATTCGATTTTTTCTGTTTTAATGTTGTTTACTGATTTCTGCTGTTGGAAACAATTCTTATTGTCTACGATATTTTGAGTCTTTGAAAAATAAAATGCCAGTCTAAAATTGAAAATTATCCGGCACTGATTGAACCAAATGTCATTGATTATCGCGAGCATGATTAGTAATTAGAAGAAATGTTTTGCTACGGAAAACTACAATATTTTTCTGAACGATTGATTACTGATCTCATGCGTCACACTGTTACACTATTCCCAGATGTATCTTATAGACTAATTGTGAGTAAATACTGAAATGAGTTAATCCATTAGTTATATGGACTCTTGTAATTAGCAGGTACAGTGTTAATCAGGGGAGCAACAGTATTACCGAATTATGAGGACTGCGAGGATTAAGAAAAAGCTTCGTACGTTAATGTTGTTAATCGCAAGCAGTTCACCAAACGTCACGCTAATAATTTGGTTCTTCTGATATGTGCTACTCGCCTCTCGGTAACTGCGTTAGTACGTAGAAAATCGTATTGTGTGTGTGTGTGTGCAACGTTTAGCTGGGTTCGGCCAATCCTGGAAAAAAATCCGTGAAAGTAAATAGTCTCGAGCGTAGGTATGCTTCTTCGAATCACCAGAACCTCGATTAATCACCGGGGAAATGTTACAGGACAACTGCAATTTTCGAGAGAAGCGAGATACCGAGAGACAAAAAACAACCAAGACTTTGGCGCAACGCCGCGTCGTGTGAGTCGTTAATCACACACTTAATCGCCAAGCAAATTGAAGAGTCAAACGACCACTGAGATGGAGAGAACGAACAAAGAAGAGGAGGCAGCTTGATTCTCCAATTTGCGCGAAACCCAGGAGCTAAGAAGGTGAGAAGGGACGGGACGACGGACGGATGCATCTGATCAGACGGCTGTGGTTTTGTTCGCGTTGGATTTTTTTCTAGTAGGTCTTTTCACAGACTTACAAATGCGAGCAAAGTAGAGTTGCGAGGGGGTTTGTCAGAGTTTGGTGACCGTAACGAGCTGCTGGTCGTTACCTTGATGGCCGAAGTTGTGCTGCTGGCCCGGGGCACTGCTGCCGTGTGGCGTAAGCGTCGCCCTTATCCTCGAGCAGCTTATCACCCCTGCGTACGCCTGTCTGTACTGCTTATTCATTATCACGTAGATTATTGGATTGACGCACGAGGCGAAGTACAGCAAGAGGTAGCCCAAGACGTGGAACGCTGAAATCATAAGTTCGACCGCTCATTCTCCTACTCCCACTTTTTTCCTCTTACTTGTGTCCTCAGCCGACGCAAAGACTCTCGAGCCCTTGACCCCCCTTCCGCCCTCTTATCAGCGCGGCCGTTCCCACGGAACAATTATTTTCTTCATTTCCTCCGTGTCTCGCGAGCAAACGTGACCTGGTTTTTCGGCTCAGCTCGCTCCGTTGAAGAAAATCCGCTCTGCGCAATGAGCCCGCAGTCGTTCAATTGTTACGCGCGCTGGCGGAACGAACGCGTGGCGTTGCGCGCTGTGTTGTTAGCGAAAGAGAGAGAGAGAGAGAGAGAGGGGAATCTAGACTCGCGTCGACTCATCAGCGAAGAGTCTAAAAAAAGAAGCGAAGCGCGTCCGCGATATTCAAGGTTCATCCTTCTTACGTCGCTCGATTAGCGCCGATGCGAAGTAATTAAACATTCTCCGCCAACGCAGCCGCTTTGCCGCGTGTGCCAAAGACGCGCGCGTCTCCGTCGCGAGAGAACGCTCGGCAAATGCAAATGCCGACACACTCGCACGGGAGAGGCCGTGCGCGAAGAACGCAAACCGAGAAGCAGCAACTCACTACTCACCGGGAAAGCGGACTTCCGCGTCGGCGACCTTGACGATGGTGATGGGCAGATAGCAAGCGACGAAGCCCAGGAAAATGGCAAGCACCATCTTGGTGATCCTCCACTCGCTGCGCCTCTGCTTGATCTCGCGGGTGTCGCGTCCGGGGCTGTGGGGCGACTTGATCGCCGGTGGCGCGGTGTGCTTCCGCATTCTCGACTCGGATCTGCGCACACACGAGGGAGCGAAATTCCGGACATTGAAAGACCATTATCCGCACGGGGATTCCCCGCGGTGCTGAGCTGTCGTTAATTATTCAGGCCGCGGCGAGGAACTCGGCAGCGGCGCTGCCTCATTTCTCTCGCGTTAATCGAGAAAACGCGTCGTCATCATAACTCACTTGTGTACGACCCAGAAGATTTTGCTGTAGCAGGCGACGATGACGATGCACGGGATGACGAAGCCCATGATAAACAGGAAAGTTTTGGGCGAGCGGCCGTTCGCATCTCGCACGATCGAACAGGTTTCCAGGTTTGAGTCATAGGCGAAACTACCTGCGCACACAAGCGTATACGTTATCGCGAAGTGTCGAGGCCAATTTCACTCGCAAGTTCGCTTACCCCAAGAGCCGACCAACGCGGGTATCTGCATTCCGTAGGAGAACGCCCAGCAGAAAAATATCATCAGCGCGATCCACTGCTTCTTGTAGACCCGGCCGTAGAGTCCATGGTGGGCGATCATGATGTACCTGATCGAGAGCAGACGCACACTCAAGTTTGATTATCCGTTGGGAGGCCGTAGGACGCGTCGAAGGAAGGCCGACGAACGCCAAATATACGTCGTGTTTTTTACGCGTTCTCTGTCTCTCGGGTAGGTAGCAACGAGGTGACGCGTTATTTATTACCTGTTTATCGTTATGACGCCGACGGAGAGCAAACTCACTCCGACGTTTCCATATCTGAGGAAAGGCACGAGCACGCACAGAAAGCGCACGTTCGCCCAGCTCGCGTCGATAAATCTTATCGAGTCGAAGGGCAGCACCAGCAGGCAAAAAATGAAGTCGGCCGCGCACAGACTGAAACGAAACGAATTCGATTCCAATTGACTTATTCGTGCTCGTTCTCGCCTCTCTTAGCCGCAGCCTCGGGCCTACCTTATGATGAAAGCGGCGGCGACATTGCGAACTTTGGGGTACTTCAGGAGAGCGATGATGGTGAGCAGATTGCCCAGGAGACCGGTGATCATGATGAGTATGGAGACGGTCGCCGCGAAATTCCTGAGCGGCCTGGAGAACCTGCGAACACATGCGAGTGCGTGGTCGTCGCGAGATACATTGCCGCTCGCGACGCAATTGGCTGCGATTCCGAGCGAGCGGCTGCCCATTGACCCATTGACCGAAATTCACGATGGGCCGAGCCTCGCGCGGACTGAAGTGCACTAGGAAGCGATTCGCCCTGTCCCCCCCGCAATCGAGTGCGGGGAACAGGGCATTTGACAATCGAGTCTAGTTCAAGCGCTCAAAACCGCGAGCTTTTTTCTCTATCGCTCTCGACGCGAGCCACGGAAAAAATGGCGAATCACACTCCCTTCCCGCAAAGTGACCAAACTTGGCAACTCCGTTGTTTAATACGTATGCAACGAGGCGCGCGACAACACAATCGTCACAATGGTGCATTTGCCGCGAGCTCTGCGAAACGCCGGGGCACTTGTCCGCGAGCCTGCGCGAAGAAGAGAGCAAACGAACCTGGACTCCTGGTCGATAGAGTACGTGGCGTTGTAGGTGTCCATTATCGCCATCTGAAACGAGATCGAGACGAGGTTAGCCAATATAATGCAGCAAGCGGCGGCAGAAGCGACGATTGCACGCGCGTACGCCTCGCAAATTGCTTTGTTTCTCTCTAGGACGGAGGCTCGCATGCCGTACATCCACTCGGCTACCTCAATTGTGCTCCTGGCAGTGACCAAGACGAGCATTGTCGTATCACTCGTTGGCTCTTTGACCGATTATTAACTCTTATCAGCTCTCTCGCCACGCTCTCGGTATGCCTACGCTATTCGTCGCGTTTATAGATACGGTCAATTCGATGAATGGCAGTGCTGCTCCTCGTGCCGGATAAGGCGACAACGCGCGCAATTGCGAGTCCTTTAAAACGCAGGAAAGCTCTAATTGCGACAGCGATCCCTTAATCGCAATCTTGGGGGCCTTCTCGCTCGAATATTTCGCCGGCGGTGACGTCGCGCGAGAAACAGAGCAGCCACTTCGAGTTTCTTTGGCGCGGGCTAATAAAATAATTACCCCTAATAAGAAGATAATCAATTAAATTGCCGGTGTAATTAGACTCGTTGAGAGAGAAAAAAAGCGTCGAGCGCGCTTCCTCCGGGCAAGATTCGCCTTTTGTGCCACGCACGACCACGTCGAGCGAGTCCATTCAATTGGCGACTTCGCTTTTGAATTGCCGCAGTAGCGAGGCGTCGCGAGGCCGAGTGCGAAACCTATTCGCGATCGATTTGGCCAGCCGCGAGCGCTCAATGGAACATGCAGCTTTGATCTTTGCGTGGGTATTCAATCGCAGGAACCCCAATGTGTTGCGCAAGTCCGACGCTGTATAAAGGAGGTTAATTATGCGCGATCTTGCGTAAGTTCGCGAGCCGTTTCGCGCGCGCAACTTCCTTGGCCTCGCTGCAATTTTCAATCTGCAATTCAATCGCGCGTTTTCCGAGGAGCCGCTGCCTGCCGACGCCTGCCGCCGCCTGCCGCCGCCTGCCGCCGCCTGCCGCTTTATAATTTTCGTCGAGCAAAAGATGGAACACGAGGACCAAACCAGTTGCGACGGTCGCGGCATCGAGCCCGAGATTAAAACTAGTTTGAAAGAGCCCGTCGCATATTCCGTCGGCGATTCGAATGCGAATATAAAACATCGCTCGGCGAAAGCGAGTAGGAGCGCTCGTAAACACGAGATTATCAGGGCAGCAGCTACGAACCGTAAGATAAAGGCAGCGGCCTCAAAATTGAAAATGTCCGTCGATCAACGCCGCGCGAGCGACGTCTAATTGATTAACGCGGCTATCGTCGTTATTGAATACGAGCTCCCTCGCGCTCGCCGGCAATCAAATTAATAGCTTCGCGCTTATCGCGGCGCTTCTTCAATTTATCCGATTAACAGCCCGAACACGTAACGATTAACCGAATCGCGGCGAGGCGCGCGTCCGCGAGATAATCGGCCGCGGGTTCGGTCGTTACCGCGAGAAGATGACGGCAGCGAGAAGCTGCGTTCGCGAATCGATCCGCGGTTTAATTGCCGCGAGGAACGAGAGAGCGAGAGAGTCAGACGACGCGCGCGAATAAATTGGCCGTCTGACTTATCAATAAAAGTTTCGCTCGTCCGTGGGGAAATTGTTCCGAGAAGCCTCGCTCATTTAGTCACGCATACGAGGCATCAACGCTCGCTTTCTCTCTCTCGCATGATTCAGACTCAACGCAAAGAACATTAATCGTTGTGCACATCGCTCCGTCCCTTTAAATTGTTTTTAATGAGCTTGCTAACAACTACGCTCGATTTCGGTTCCGTAATGATCCGCTAGGAAATCTATTATAAATCACTTAATGTCGACTCGCAGTGTTAAAAGAAACAAGAAACGAATACCTAACGATTAGACAATATTGTGCTTGGAAATTTATCGGATTTCATGATTAACACTGCTCTCCAAATACAAAGAAAACCCCGCAAGTATCAGCATTTTATTGTGTTACGCGTACGTAGACCGATTCAATCGGTTGAATCATTAGAAAATTCAACAGTCGGTTTCCTATTGGATTCGCAGTGTACCGAACTCGCGGTTTCATCTATTGACCCGCTATAGTTTGAGCATTCAAATCGATGCTGGGCGTTGCATTGTAGCGTGCTTATTTTTAGAATATCGACTGCGCAACGTTTCTTTCCGGCATTTTACGAAAAGTACACGGAAAAAGTAAAGTGCGCGCGGGCCGTGGAAGTGTCGTTTTCGAATAACAGAAATTCCGCCTGTAGCATGTGCACGAGTACACGGAGAGCCGAGCGGAAGCCACAGATCGAAGAGCGTCCTTTTCCTCACACGTGCAAGCGAGGACCCTCATAGGGGTGCCACCGTTGCTGCCAGTCGTATTAGCCTCGATTGGGCTTAACTGGGAAAAATTGAACGCGCTCCCGCGCTTTCGACGAAAGTGACGCGCCGGCCAATTATAAAGAGAGGCGTCGCGGAAGCGAGGAGCGTTGTCGCGCAACGAGATTTCACCCGATAATCGATGAATGCTCTTTGCCCCGATGACTCAGCGCGGAAGCGTTCCCGTAACGTACGCGCGGCTTATCACCTGCGCGTCGGACAACCTTCGAAATAAATTTACTCGCGTTGCCAGGAGAATGCTCGTCGTAATTTCGGGCGCGCACGGATTCTCTCGCGATTCCACGCTGACGTCACGCCGATCGCGAGAGCGCGAGTGGCGAACGCTGAGTCAACGGGAGAAAGCGGCGCGGGAGACTCGATGCCGAGAACAACGGCGGGAATATCCGGCGACATATTCCTTTCGGATCGTCCCCGCTAGGCAGCGCCGGAGAAACAGAGGACGCCCACCGCCCGCGTAAATCCGTTAGCGAACCGCTCCGTTGTTCCGTGCGCTCGTCGCGCGATCGAGTTATCGCCCGAGTTTTAACGGGGCCCGCCGCACGGAGCAGATTAATGCGCGTCCATAAATAGCCCGCGCTATCGATACTCGGTGCGACCTGTTGTTCGGCGCCGCAGCCTCGCGCGCGTGGGACGGAAAATCTCGGACTATTAGAAAGCCGTCCGTGAGGCAGGTAGCGCGTGCACGCCGATTTCAAAAGGCAGCGCACGCGCCAACTGCTCGCTGTTACTTTATCTCTCCGGCGGCCGGAGGGGCGAGCGATCGAGTGGGCCCCGGCAACCGAGCGAGAACAGAAGAGCCGTCGGGACATTTTTTTCCCGAGATAAGGCGGCTGGCGCTGACATCTGCCCTCTGCGCCTCCCCGGTCGCGCGCGCTGCAGTCGAGTCCGATCGGCGCGGCCGCGCAGCTTTTCGACGGCAGCTGCCGGATAACGACCTCGACCGAAAGCGAGGACAATGTCGCGCGTTTTCTCACTCGTCCGTCTCGTGCCCGGGTGGAGAATCGAATCGGCGAGCGAGGGTGGAAGCGCATACCAACCTGGTGCGTGGGCGAGCGTGCGAAATTCAATGCTGGCTGCGAGGACACTGGGAGCCCACGGGCACCCTCATCACTGACACCACGGCGAGGCGATAACACGGAGCGAGCGGCCGAGCGAGCGAGCGAGCGGCCGAGTGTCGACAGTGTCGCGCGCGGCACCGGACTGCCTGTCAAAACCGCCGGGGACTCGACTCCCCGCTTCGAGCTCTCGCAGTGGGGGCCAGCAGCAGCAGCAGCAGCAGCAGCAGCAGCGGCGGCAGCGGCCGCGGCGACCTTCTGCTCTCGCGGCGTGCGCTTCGCGCTACCTGCACTTGCTCGCTCTTGCCCGCGCCTCTCTCCCGCCCGCGCGCACTTAGAGCGCTAGTTCAGTTACGCGCGCGCACGCACAATGCCGGGAGCGCGCTCCGCCGTGCGCACCTCGTCGGCAGCCAGAGCCAACGTCGCAGGCACCTGATGGGAATGGCTTTCGCCGGCGCGCGACGCACCATTGTGCGCCCGCGAGCTGACGGCTCGCTTTCGCCGAGTGCCCGAATCGAACGGCCTCGACTGCAGCTCACACATAGGTACATCTTAACATAGCGCTACGCGACTCGAGTGGACGCGACGCACGTGCGCGCCGCTTGCGCGATCGGCCTGTCCTGCCGGCGCGGCTCGCCTATGCAAAGTGGGCGCGCGCTGGCCGAGGCGAAAGTCGCTCGGCCGCGTCGCTTTTCCGCCTCCCACGCGCGTGCCGCCACTGCATTTTCGCGTCGGGCTGGGCGCGTCGAGCCGCCGCAGCTGCGTTCGTTATCCGGCCCTCGGCGCGGGCGCGACAGTTGCGAAACTCGATTATCGTGAGAGAGCGAAAGAGGCGCCTCTCGTGACGCAATCTCGCTGCGCCGCCGAGTCGCGTGAACCGGTCGAGAGCGAACGTCGATTATCGGCGCGCGTCGCGACGTACGAACGCGATTCGTCATGCACGCAAGGTGCGCGGCGCGCTGATTCAGCGGATGAATCAGTCGGCGCGCGGCACAGGTATCTCTGTCGCCGTGGCGCGCGCGCGCAACGAGCTGGAGTGATTCCAACGCTCCGACGCCGTTCGCCAATCCCGAGTCGATTTCATCCGGCGATCGGCCAGCAGCTGGAGGCGCGACGTTATCGACGGTGACGCCATCCGTTTCGTTTCATGGCTCGATCCGCGCGGATGCCGAGCAGTATTGCAGTGGTGACGCGTCCACGCCGCGCCGTTGGTTGAAACTCGACGCGAAACATTGGCGCGCGGCGCGATAAAAATTGGAGCCCCGAGCAACAGGAAACCGGCGGGAGCGAGCGCGCGGCCGAGGCAATGAAAAAACCGATCGGCTAATGTAGGCTTAGGCAATTGAGCTCGCGGGTGGGCTCGGTCCGCGCAAGACAAAAGAGCCGGGGGCCACGCGTCGATTAAGGCTGTGGCGGCCCTCCGGCTCGGGCAATAACGCGCTCGCCCCTCTCCGCCCGCCCAAATATTACGCGGAGCGCGCGCGGGGCCTGCTCTCCTTCCGCGCCATCAGCCCCGGCTTCTCTTTTACCCGACAGCCCAGCGAAATGCAATTACTCTTAAAGAGGATGTAAGGGCTTCTCGCTCTCTTTCTCCGTGCGTGGCCTCTACGTCACGCGCTCGTTATTTCTGCGCAGCGCGCCGACCTTTGCATACGATCGCGGGCTCCGGTTCGCGAGCAGCCCTCGCTCGCTCGCCCGTTCGATAAGACCGCTTTCATCAGGGCTGCTGCGAGCGCGTCCCGCGATGCGCTTGCTCGCCCAAATGTGCTCTCTGTACGGCTCGCCTCTCCGCGATGAATATTCATTGCTCATTTGTACGAGCGACCAATTTATACGGCGGCTCTGGCTCGCGTGCTCGCTCTCTCTCTCTCTCTCTCTCTCTCTCTCTCTGTCTCCGACGTAGATGCGGTGGCACGCGCAAGGGCTGCTTGGACAATTAACGGACGCGACGCTGTGAATGCAGGCACAGGGTTGTTCGCGCCTGAAAAATCGTGGAAGACTTAACGGTCGTTTCGAAGCTTTTTCACAATTTGGAGACAACGCTCTTACAGAGCGCCGACGAGAATTTACAGCATTGAAAGACTCTTGTTAACCGTTTAACGCGTCCGATACGTTCATCGTGTTGTTTGCACGCGTGCAAAAATGATTTTGCACAATCACTTGGTGAGACGAATGGATTTTATCCAACTAGAACAATACGTTTCTCGTTCTCAAGAACGAGAGGTAGTTGCTCATTCAAAAGTTAGGAGCCAGCGGAAACGTCGCAGCGCTTCGGCGAAGAGAAAAAAGAATCGAAAATCCTGCGCGCAGGACATTCCTGAGCGCTCCGGCAGCAGCAAAGTACGCGCCGCGAGCGGGAGAGGCGTGGCGGGGCGTCCCGCGCACGCAAACGGAATCGTCAAGCGAAACACACAAAGAGCTCATAAAAGTTTCCGCGCGACGATGGGCGCCGCGGCGAGCTTTTCGCGCGGGAGCGTTGATTTTGAAGCGGTCGCGCGAAACGCGAGACTCCGGCACATGCGAGCGAAGATTGCCTCGACATACGTACACGCGAGTATTTTCGCTGGCAACGAGGAAACTCGCGCGTGTGCGCTTTTATGATAAGCGGAGCCGGGATTTTCCGCAGACTGCTTACGTTCAAATAAAAGGCGCGACCGTGGTTTCGTTTGATCGATGAGCCGCTTTTCCACGGATGACTGTGTCGACGATTTATATATCTGCGAAGGGCTTTCTATACTTTTCCTCTTGAACTGCGTCGAGCCAATCGCGTCCTGCGGAATCGACGGACTTTATTGTGGCGAGAGGCGCACCGGCAAATTGCTTGATTCTTGGTAAATGCCATTTTGCTGATGCATAGGAAACATTTTTCTCGTAATCAGTTGACGTGACAATGCTGTAGTCATTAGACTTGTTTGATATTGAAGCAGCACCAAAATCAATAATTTACAGTAGGAACAAACCTTTACACGTGTGGAAAGTTCCATTTATCTCCTATGAATTTAGCCTTATCAAGTGTACATGATATTAAAGTGATCCACCTTTTCCAAATTGAAGTCATGTCTGTTTTGTGCGTTTATTATACCAAGCTTTCAACGAAAACTCCCTGAAGCTTATTATTTTCGAATGGGAAACTCTTGTTCATTATTCGATTGTAAAAATTCTTATACTTGATCTGCCTGAATCCCTATTGCGATTGCAAATATAAGATCAATTTCATTTTCCGTAGGGATTCGGCGCCACGTAATATAAACTTTCCATAATGCACTCTAAGACTGTACGAATCGAGTGTGAAGATATTCCGGAGAGCGCGCGGAGCAGCAGCGGCACGAAGCAATTTGCTGAAACTAAAAGTTTGCTCAGACAAACGCCATTTTCTCGTGCCCGTACAATGTACTCTCATAGCACGAGCACGGCACGTCTTAATTCACGAAAGTAGTCCTCAGCGAAGGCGAAAGATTTGGTGAGCATCTTGCAATGGGAAAAATATACAAGCAGTCGGTCGACGTCTCTACAAGCGTCTCCCCTCGCTGCCGCCAAGCTCATTCGGCAAAAATGTGCCCTGTCACGGTATCTTATCAATTCACCCCAAGAGAAAATTCAATACGAGGGGGAAGAGGAGCGCGATCGCACAGAAACGAATAGCGAGTGTCAGTGGACCGCAGACCTCGGCCACCCAAGCACGTCTCGAGGCGAAAGCTCCTGCGCACGCACTTTGGCTGTTGCCGGCGCGCAAGAGCGGTTCACCGATACGCAGGCGTCGCGAACCTGTTGAGCATCGGCCGAGCAGCCTTGCGCGAAAAATGTCCATCGAGGAGGACGTTGCCGTTCGAGCGTGGCAGCCGTCCGTTTGGCCAATCAAACGTCCAGCCGCACGCGGGAGAGGAAGACGGGAAAGCCGAGCGCGAGACGTCCCGACGGGGCGCAGGCGCGAGCTTCCGGTCCAGAGCAGCGCCGCGGCGCCTCGCGACGCCAGTCTATCGCCGTGGCTGCCGCGAGCAAGGACGTCGGCTTCTCTCCGTGCCGCGCGCTTAACACGTGATCGACGTACACGTCCAGCAGCCGAATAAAGGGACGAGGCCGCTTTTGCGCGCACTTCGTTGTGCTTGCGTCGTAAAAAGCTCTTATCGATGGGCCGAAGTCGAAGGGACAGAAGCGACGGACGCGCGAGAAATCCGCCTGCCCAGCTGGGAGAACAAGTCGACGAGCGGGTGAAGGGCTTCCGAGCAAGTTCGCGATCGCCTGTTTGTTGAATATGATTGCGTCGCGCCGAGGATGCGAAAAATTGTCGAGTCGCGCTTCTTACCAGCCTGCGCCACGAGTCAGACTCCGCGACGGATCATCCCACGACTTTGGCGCTAAGGGTTGTCCCGTCTGAAAACTCTTCCGTTGATCTTAAGGTATGGCTTGTTTTCAGACGTACTTTCATTGAATTATAAGTAACGATAATTTTTTCATACACTCGAAGATCTGACGATAACGTGATTTACGAAGGTAGGCCGAGTTCTAACAAATGTGTACCACGATTTTTTCTTTTCCCGAGCGAGATCATTCGGATGATAGATTACGTTTTACGCGAGGGGAATAATAGTGTACTTTGCAACTCTTGAATAAAACTGCAATTGTTCTCTACCGCGTGGTTATCATGAAAATTCATATAGCTTGCGAACGATCTCGTCAGATCGAGATATCTGGCATAAATTAGCTTGCTCCGAACCGCATTGTCGCTCTCTATATTTAGCAACGCTGTTTTCGGTATGACTGTTTACAAGTTTCTTGCGTAACTACACGTTGAACGCGGGTTTCTTCGGTCTGCAAAATCTGCAAGCGCAACGATCCCCGCAATAAACATTGGGAGTAAAGCTGCGATTGGACATGTAGCAAGTTGTAACAAGCGTCGACGCAGCACGCGAACGACGGGGACGAGAAAGAAAAACAATAATTCGCGCCACAGCGACATTATCGTTCGCTGACACAACAACAAGCCGATAGAGAAAGGGGGAAAAAAGGCACATTACGTGGGCGCAAAAGCTGCCGGGACCATCAATCGCCTCTACGAAAATATGTCCAATAAATATTGGAGCGACGACGCAAGGCGGGCGACGCGAAAATTGCAAGCGCGTATGTACCCTCGAATCGCGAAAATCCATTACTGCCCGATGTTTTTCGATTACAGGCGTATCGAACGATTCCGAAGGCGAGGTAGCGAGCATCAAAGCCACGCGAGAGCTTTGGGAGTGAAAAAGTTTGTTACTCCCGCGAAAATAGAGGCCGAGAGAGAAAGAACGGAAGAGGGAAGGAAGAGAGAAAGAGATGTTTGGCGCGCGCAGTCGTACGGGTGGAAGCAGCTAGCGGGCGTCACGAAAAACGAATCTATGCTCTCTAACTTTTTATCTTAGAGCGCGCGCTCGTGTGCGCGTGTGTGCGAAAGAGAGAGAGAGAGAGAGAGAGAGAGCGTGCGCGTATTTCCGAGGCGGCGGCGGCTAATATAGGTAACCCGTCAGCCAACCACGTTTCTCGATACGTCATACGTCAAACTCTCTTAGTCGTTATTAATGCGAACAAACGTGCAGAATACACGCGACCATTTATATTTTGGCAATCGGAGAAAACGGATAACAAGCTTCCCTCTACATCCATGACAATGTGATCCCACGTATTCACCTTGCCAGCATTTGTCTCTAGCAGCTGTCCTCGGAATCAGTGGGCACTTTTGGCCGGCCACGGAGTATGGTATTCCGTAGGCAACGGTTGTGCGCAGCCGCTCGTGTGCACGCACATGTCTAAATTCCGCTGCGAGGGAGCGCGAGCGAAGAGTCATTTTTATTCGACGAGCGCCGAGGCAAACAAACAGAAGGAGGCAAAAAAAAAAAATAAAAGAGCGGCCGTAACACGAGTGGAGTTCCGGTGAGAATCGCGTTAAAACTTTATTTTTCGAGACAGTGTCGCGTGCACGCGATCGCCGCTGCGAGCCCTCCGAACAGGAAAGCACGACACTTACTCGTGATCGATGCCTGCTTGTGACTTTTGAAAAATAAGGAGAGCTCTCGCAGTGAATGACCGTTTGTCGTTCGAGACAGCCCGAGTTTCTAATCGACCGCTCGACGGCAACTTTTGCAATTAATAACGACTGTTGTCGTCTCGTTGCTGCCGCTGGAAAACAAAGCTGCAGCGACGATTAGTCCGCAAGCTCGCTCGCGAGCTCAACTGTGCAACGAGCACGTGGAATACGATAGTTAAAGAGCCGTTCAGGGGCAGAGAAAGTAAGAGAAAGACTGGTCGCGTGGCTGCGCGTGAACGGGAAATAAAAAATACAAAGCAAATCGATAAAGTGGCCATTGTGATAATCCCGAAGCCGATAATACACCGAGTTACGTGTGCTCGTAAAGTGACATTCGCGCGAACGCGAGCCAAATCGATTCTTAAAGTCGCGCGCACCGAGGATGCTCTCCATCGCGACGCGCGAGACAAAAGCCCTCGCAGGCGCAGAGGGCAGAGGGCAGAGGGCCCCGAGGCTATAAGGCAAGCAACGTCGACGCCAGACCAGGCGCTCCGTGCCGGCAGGTCGTTAACGGGACGTCCGCGACTCGCCCTCGGATCATCGCGACTGAGCTTTCTTTACCGCCTCTCGTGCCCAATTTATAACGACGCCCTATGACCACTTCTCCCTCGGTCCGGATTCATTTTTTGCCAGCCCCTCGATTACTTTCGATACCATTAGGACTGAATATAGTCGAAGCGTCATCCGCGTTCCGGCGAGTGATCGATCAAGAGCGACGCCTCGGCACGATCTCTCTGGCGCATAATTACGCTCGGCGCTAGTTTTCGAGCGCCTCTTTGCCGGAAGTCCCACTAGGAGAAAATAAAAAGGAAAAGGAGAGAGCCGTATACGCGCGCGAGTTTATCACCGCCGTCCGCAAACTCGTAAATACAAGCGCCACGAGGGGGGTTCATAACGCGGAGATCCGTATGCAAAGATAGCGCTTTTTTTCGTTATTTAATAAAGCCGGCAGCGCAAGCTCGCTTGACCCTCGTAATTCGAAGCCGTTTATCGTGGAGGGCGCGTGGGTATGGGGGTTGGGGTTCGTCGGCTCGTCGACTCGGGGACCAATCGCGCCCATGGCAGTCTCGCTCGACAAAGGCGCCGGGGGCATCGGTGTCGCGACCCAATACGGAAGCTGCGTTCGTCGGCATTATCGGCGCAGCACGCGCAGGCTTCCCCCTTATTTCTCCTTCTTCCTCTCGGTTTTTCCGCTGCTGCCGGCGCGAGCTTTGTCCTTTCCACTCGCGACCAAGCGCGCGGACAAAGCACTTTTTTCAGCCGGCCAGATGGGGCCGAGGAAGCAGTTCTCGTGTCGTGAATTAACTTGTCCTTTTTCTCATCGCCGGCGCAAACGCGAGGACTTCCATCGGCGAAACGTGCTGTCTGGCGATGTTGTCTTTCCTTCCTGCCCGGCTTGTTTCAAGAATTAGTTTTAAAATTGGATTCTGATCCAGTCTTGAGTTTCCATTTGCACTTGCCTCGCGATATTGCGTCCCTCGTTCGACCGCGATTTAATTTTCTCTTTCCTCTCGCGTAGCCTGTACTACTTTTCGACTTCTCTTACGGCTATTAGCTACTCGGTATCCATAATAATCAATGCGTGGATTCAACTTCTTTATATTTTTAAGACCAGCGGGGCATTAAGAAGATCAACGTTTTCTAATAATAATACTTTATTTCCATTGGTCTAGTAGTAGCTTCAACAAATTACTTTTTCGATGTCAAGCTTTATTTTGTTCAACGCAAGAAATGGATATGTTCGAAAGAGCTTCTAGACCGAGATTCAGATCGATTCGTAAAAATTTCACGATTATTGAGACAAGTTCGAGATTAAAGGTGCAATGCTTTCCCGATAATTCCATTGAAGGCTCTGTGCTAGAAAGCTCAGATAAATGTGCAAGGAAAGCGCAAATCTAATGGCACATCCAACAGCAAAATAGTAGGAATACAGATTTGTTGAGCGAACGGAGCAAGCATTGTTGGTGAAGCGAGCAAGCGAGTCTAAGTGGCGTTTGTGATTGTTGTTGGCAGATGCTAGAGTACTGGATGGGGAGCAACGCAAGCGCCTTGAACGCGAGCGAGTACAAGATCCAGGAGGTGATCGAGGACCCGGCCTCGGCCAGTCTGTTCGCCGGCTACCCATACTGGCTGCTCTACTTCGCCGCCGGCTGCTGCCTGCTGTTCATGCTCATCGGCATACCCGGCAACCTCATCACCGTCGCTGCTTTGTTCCGCTCCAAGAAGGCAAGTTCGCGAGTCTCGCCTCGTCTTTCGATTGCGCCTGGCTGCAGCACCGCCATCAGGAAAAAGAGTCCCTGTAGAAAAATAATTGCTCGATATCTGCTTCGCTTTCCTCGTCGCTTATGCGCGTACGCGCGAGCCAGCTTGCTTCTCTCTCTCTCTCTCTCTCTCTCTCTACTCTCGAGCCAAGAATACAGATTTACATATATATATAAAATTTCGAGTTGGGCCACGCTTGCCTCGCGATGTTTGTTTGGTCTAAAGATCCCAAAGAGAAAAAAATAATTGATGCCGCGCGCTCTGACGTCTGATATCCAGCTTTATTATGTTCCATGGCTCGCCACGCGCGCCGCTCAATGTACGTATATTCTGCCCACCGTGTCTCTCGCTCGCGCGGAGAATTTTTTAAGCAGCCGAGTTTCATCCTCCTTCGTTTCCCGCAGTGGGTCGAGTCTGGTCCGACAGTTTGCTACAGATGCTCCACTTATTTCAATATAGAGAACTATGTCGTGTATTTCGTCCAGCCGTCCTCCAGATCGTTCGTGAATAATCAATTTGGACGTACCTCTGCCCAGATGCGAAGTTCGATGAAGAGTAATAATCTCTCACGGATAGAGCGCAGTATGTGGCTGCGATCGTATAAAAAACAAATTCATCGCTGCTCCCCGAAATGATCACATAAAGATCGATCATTAAGATTACAACTTGTCATAACCAAGGAGTAACATGTCGTTGTCGTGTCCCCTCTAAGCGGTGCTGGGTATAAGCGTGATTTAGTTTTTTATGCGAGACCGTTAGTTATTTGACGAGTCGAAAAAAAGATCAGTGTCCATGCTGACGCGCTGCCCACTTGAAAAGCCGTAATCTAGGCGTTAAAATGAGAGAGTTGGAGAGTGAAACGAGGGCGGTGATAAAGCTGATGAATAACGCGCGAGGCGCGTCAAAAACAATTGCCGTTTTTCGCTGGGAGTCAGCTGGGAGGGGGCAAAAAAGAAGAAGAAGAAGAAGAAGTACGCGGCGGGAGAGGGTCGCGACACTAAACGCAAATGAGGTCGCGCGGCGAGCGAGGGATAGATTCACTCGAAAGTCCACCCGCGGGCGTCGCGTCGCGCTTATCTCGAGGGCGTAAATCATCGGATCGGCATATTGCCCATCTCGTGAGGGCTTAATTGCCGCGGCGCGCAATCTCGGTGTGCACGACGAACGAGGCCGATCGCGGTGGCTCCTCGTTCGTCGACGTACAAGTCGCGAGGGCGCAGCCGGACGAGCGGAGCATCGTCCCGCGGACGATGCGCGACAGAAGAGGCAGATTAATAATAACGAGCGCGGGGAAGAGCGAGGCAGCGGCTAATTAACTGGGGCGTGGAGGGCGGGGCAGCTAGCGGCGCACTCCTTGTTGACAGCTTTAATGCAGGCGCACGGGGGCGCGGCGGACCGAGAGAGTGAGAGAGAGAGAGAGAGAGAGAGAGAGAGCCGATTAGCTACCCTTAATTAAACGCACTCTTGTAGCTGCCCACCGCAATTAGCCGCTGCAATTTTCGCGTGCAGCCCTGCCGCGAGCTCTGTTGATCGAGCCATACGCACTCGTTGTCTCCCGCGACGAATTTATGACCTGTTTGCGCGACGGCCTGCACACGCCGCAATTCGCTTGCTCCGCGCTCGAGCCGCCGTTCGCCTCTCCCTCGGACAAACATTTTCTTCTTATCGATCTCCTTCTTTTTTCCCTCTTCGGCCTCGAGGCCGCAAGCGCGTTATTTTCATTGCCATGTCCGCTCGCCACGAATTAGCCCGTATTAAAAATAATTTAGCGATTGCAAAAATCTAGCAATGGCCCAGCGGAGCCCGAGCGCTCAACTTTAATCACTTAGTCTTGACGAAGCCGTCGAACAAGCCTTTCGAGGAACAAATGGATTGCAACTAGGCTTGGATTTTCAGTGAATGCGTCGATGAAATGCCGAGAATAAAGCTACCGGTGCGTGTATTTGACCAAATTAATGGTCAACGAGAGAGTCGGTTATTTATACATTGGTAATTGGATTTTAGTGATAAGCTGGGGGAGCAAAAATAACGGTCCATTAATAGTCGCGTAGCCGCCAGTTCTCCGACAGTAGGAAACGAGATGAAGTCTCGATATAGCTGGATTAATAATCAAACTGGATTTCCATCGAGCAGTTGACATTAAGAGAAACGTACTTCGGTATATCCAGCTTCGATTTTCTACCTCTATTCACGTCAATCACGCTCTATAATTGGCATGCACTCCTCTCCCCGCCCCGGCGGCTTTTGCTTCTAAAACCGGCCGAATAACGAGTACCAATCCATCCGAGAATACCTACATGAGCGTCACACCCGCGCGATAATTGGCTTGAAAAAAGCCAGAGGAATTCCCGCAGCTCGTTACACTCGCTGCTCTCGCGGAAAATTTTCAAGGAAGAAGCGCGTTCACCGCGCGGATGCCGCGTGTCACCTCAGCTCCCAGGCAAACAACACACGCCGAGTGTCGCGACATTTCTCGGCCGACGAATTTCGTACTTTGCGAAATGGCCTTTTCCATCCTCATTTGCATCTCGGAATTGGCATATATCTCTCTCTCTCTGTCGTGTTGCACCAGCGCACGACTCTCGTCAACGGAAACGAAACGCAGAAGTTGAGCGGCGCGCTCGAAGTTACCGCGAGAGTCGATGCGGGGAGAAGAAAGTTTCGATCCGGAGGATGCGCGCTCGCGACAAGAACGAGATCATGGCGCTATCTCGGCGTCTCGTCAATCAGGCTTGCTTTGACGGTGACGAGGAATTTTACGCGAGGATTAGTTTATTGCCTGGGTCGCGACTCGACGTGCTGCAGCGGTATGTCAGACGCGGCGAACGACTGCAAATCCTTGTTGCTCGTTGGCCAACACTCGGTAGAAATTCCAGCGCAAAGTTGAGAAAGCCGACTTTGTCGCGCGCGCGTTCGCCAAGTTTCCAAGCAGCTGAGCCGCTGAGGCGCAATCGCTCTAAATCTCTATGGAAACTTGCGTCTCGTCCCCCTTTTTTTTCGGCGCGAGAGCTTTCTCGTAGGGGAGTCGTCGGCGCCGCAAGCGCCTCGTACGATAAGCCAGCATCACTTTTGCCAGCGAGCTTTCAACTTTCATCCCTCGGCGTCCAGCGCGAGTAACGAATTTCGATGCTCTTGCGGCAATCACGGGACAGATAATAGGCTTCTGATACGTGAAGCGCGATAAAAAAGGGGTGATGGTACGATTTTCGCGCCGAATGGGCGAGAAATCCTCGGAGATGGTTGCCGAACGTCGAAGGCCGTGATGGTTTTAGGTAGCCGATGGGCTGGTATCGAAGGGCGTGCGTCCGGAGGAGTTTTTCACGTGAGATTAGCCTTTGATAAATTTACTGATTTATTATTCCGTAGACGTTGCCCCGAGGGACATGGTGAGCATATATATCGACTATACTACAACGAGCAGTTAAACGATTACTCGTCTCTCTCTCGATCGATGCTAGTCGCTAAGATTTTATTATGTCGCGTCTGACTTTCTCAAGAAATAATAAAAAACAGAGAGCAAGATTTATTCGCTTGTAACGCTACCACTTGCTTATAGCTATACTGCTTAGGCTCACGAGCACTGGATAATTTTGTCTTTCTTCTGTTTATTAGCTGATCAATTAAATTGGCGCCCTTTGCAGCGAGAACATTCTACTGTAACGAGAGCAAATATTTTATCCGCGCGAAAAAATTAACGACTTTGAACGTATATACGCTTCATGCCTAGGTGTACCTCGGTTTGATTTAACGATGATTCACGAGTGTTTCGAATTTTAAATGGTTACATCTTTCTGCAGATAAATGAAAAACTTCATTTTTCAAGCTCTATTAAACCTTCCGCGTCAGGCTTTTGCAATTTGAGTACGAAATTGTGCTACGACGAGAAAAAAAAGACAACAGGGAAAGTCACAGCGGTAGCAAAGCAGTAACAGAATCCGTACGACAGAGACGTCCGAAAAATGTATCCATCAAGCGATCGACGCTCCGGAAAGGGTAGTCACCTCGCGCGACGTATCACGTCTTGCGTGTCCGCGAATCGGCGCCTCGGTCTCGCGCGCGCCCGGCGAGAGACAGGCATATCGCTATCTTATTCTGGTCGGGCAACGACGACACGAGCGATCTTTGCTCGCGATTGCTCCTCGTCATCCATCTGGCGAGCGCCAAGAACGAAGGGGAACGCACGGAGAAGGACTGTTTCCCTCGGGAGTGGCTTTGTCTCTCTGACCTATACCGTACGCGTCGCGTATACGGACGACAGCTTCCTTCTTTTTCCCCCATAAGCGTTTGCTTCTGTCGTGTTAGTTGCTCCGAGAGAGCTTGCATTTTATCGATAGGTCGATCAACGCGAGTGAGCGGGGCGAGAGAAACAATAACAAACGCGCGCGCAGGAGCGTCAGCCGGCGTGGCACTGCAAATAGGCAGCATCTAAATCGGCGCCGCGACTTGAAATAGCCGGAGCGAATGGCGCGGGACGCGGCAGCTATAGCGGGGCAGGCACTCGGGCCGATCGTCGTGCGCGGCTCTCTCCTTCGCTTGTCTCTTGCTGATTTCCGTCACGTACGCGCCTCTTTAACCGGCGGTCGGAGAGAGCGCGCGCCATCTTTAACCCGATTATTCCGACCGATTCGCCCCCCCCGCCGGCCGCTTTAACTTTCTTCCTCTCTCTCTCTCTCTCTCTCTCTTTCTCGCTCTTCGAGCTCTCCTCGCGTTCGCCTCTCGTGCTGTTTTGCTTTTCTTGCGCTCGACTTGCACGCGCGTCGCCCGAAAGTTTTTAAATTCCGGATATTGTGCTCTAGCTTTGTCGAATTTACAGGTGGCGCGCGCGCCTCATACGTTAGCCTCCGCGCGCGCTCGAAAAAAAAAGAAAATTCAATTTCCTCCTCCCTTTTTAAAAAACGCCCTGTCGGAGTAGATTGCACTCGCGAAAGCGATGCGCTTTCCGCGCGAGTGCGAGCGCGCGTAATATAGAACGAAGCTGGTGCTCGTTTTTTTGCAGCGTCGGACCCGTCTAGCATTCACTGGCGTGACAATTTGGCGCCTAACGCCAGCTTATAAACATTTATCAAGGGGGGGGGGGGGGAGCGACGAGGGGGCGCAATTCATATCTAAAATCTTCCGCGAGCCTCTTGTATCTTGTTGTTGAGTTCACGGATGGGATCGCTAAAATTATTCTTGAGTCGAAAGTAAAAGAGATTGGCGTCCCGGCGAACTTTATTTTTAGCGATACAAAAATTTTCATGGGACGGTATTTTTGAGCTTCGCGCTATCAATTTTGAAGGAGCTATTAGCCGGGTTTATAAATAAACTTCTGGAACGTCTTCCTGTTTCGCCTTTCTCCGTCGATAAAAACGAGACGCGACGAATTATCGGACGACAGTTCAATCGAGCTTCATATATCGACCTATCAGACTCGTCCTCGGTATGAAACGCGTCAGCTATAAAGCTATCCTTGCGAATGACGAGAGGGAGAAAAGTCGAAGAGCACGCTCATCGATTTGTCGGTCGGCGTCGCGTGGCGAGCCACCAGCAGATTTGTAAGCTCCTCCGGCAGCAGCCTAAGTGCTTGGAAAATGAGAGTGGCCGGGCGAGTGCGCCAAGATCGCGAAAGTTCAAAGGCCTGGCTACGAGGACTCGTAGCCGTTATGTGCGTTTCGGCTTTTGCGCGGCGAAAAACTTTTAGCCAATTCGTTGGGAGTTGCGATGGATCCGCGCGAGCATGCAAATGGTGTTTGGCTCTGCTGCGACAATTTTCGTCGTTAGATCGAGAGGACGCGACGCAGAAGGAAGAGAGGAAGTGGAGCAACTTGTTGCGCGCGATATTCGCAATGAATTGATGCAAAGTTTCGCGAAACTGAGAGTAGCATTGCCCAACGGTTTGCTCGCGTTACTCGTGCTCGCTGCGCCGTGCACCGTCTATTGTGCAGTGCACTCTTACGCGCGTGGAGTATATCGCCGCGCGCGTCAGTCGAGATCTACTAACATATAAATATATACACGTTGCATCTTGCTTTGTAGGGTCGCAGCTGGGTCATTTGAAAAGAACGGTCGATATACTGGCGGGTCGATTGAAAAATCGATGGGCGAGAATAGTTTCGTTCTCGTTGAGAGAGCTAAAAGAGCCTGTATGTGCACCCGCAATGATTCGCTTTTCGTGCCTTTCCCCAAGTATTTTTCGCTACTGATTCGGCGGCTCAAGCGCACGCGGAAGCTGACAGGTACGCGAGACGCCTCATACAACAAAGTGGCGCGTAATGCAGTGGTAGCGAGTGGATTGCGAGGTGCTGATTATTGATGTAGCTGTCGTGGCTCGAAAGATGAACCTTATCTCTTTCTTTTCGGCAAATTAATAAGAGTCCTCTTTCGCCGATGACACGGCGCAGCGGCGCGGCGGAAGGGCGTGCGATGTTATCGAGCTGGAAGGCGGCGCGTCAAAATTTTATTGCCGCGCTAAAAAGCACTCGCTCGCGCGCGAAAAAACCTTCCAGTTCCATCGTAAAAATAGCGAGTGCGACGGCAGCGCATTGGCTCGGATATATACTACCGTGGGAATTTCGAAAGAGAGAGAGCGAGAGAGGAAAAAGCGAAGAAAGGCGTCGGGAGCTTTGTCCCTTTCTTCGGTTCTCTCCAGACGAGAAAACCGACGCGCCGATAATAAATGGATACCTCGACCGGATAAAAAAAGATTGTCAAGGGTCGCTGGTGGCCCCCGAAAAAAACGACATGTGTCCTCCTCCTGCGTTCCCCGTGTCACGGGTCACGATTCTTCGCTCGAATATTAAAAAGCCCGCGAGTTTCGTGACCAGGTACTCGTAAACGCAGACGGCTTCGATGAGCGCGCGGCGACTCGGAAACGGCAGTACGTAAACACGCGGCGCGAAAATAAGCAGGCGTTATAGTCGGTCTCTCGCTATGGCGCTAAGTGCCGTTTAAGCGTCTATATTACTCTTATGAAAATTTGATCGCTGTTACGCTCGGCGACCCGCGGTAGCTAAAGAAGACATTACGGGCGCGGGAGATCGATCCGACGCGCGGACTACACCGCGCACATGCGTGGGTCTATATGTCGCGCCCCCTGCCTCCACCCGCCATCCGTGACCGCGCGCGTATCGTAAGATTTCCAGTTCGATGCCGGACCGTTCTCCCTCGTTCTTACTCGCACTGTCAGCGCGACGAACAAACCGAATCGAGTACCTTTTTGAGAGGACCGAACTCGCGACTGGGTGTACGAGGTGTGTGGCTCGACAACGGCGCCAGTGAGCGCGGTCCAAGCTCCATCGGAGTTCCCCCTTGAGATCCGAGAGGAAGGAAAGGAGCAAGGAAGCCCCCTCTCTCTTTTTCCATCGCATTACGTAGCCGAGGGCTGCAAATCGGACGCTGATCAGACTAATGCCCTTTTCCCTTGATTTGCCTCGTTTCGTTGTGCGCGTATGGATTTGAAATAGAAACCGAGCGCGTATACCTTTCCTCTTTCTCCGCAAGCCGGCAATAAATCTTTCTCTAGTGCGTTCACGCACAGCCGCTAGAGCGCCACGTACTTCGACCTCGAGCTTACGGCATTATTCATTAGTAATTCATTTTCGTCGGACGCCTGACTCACGCTGACTTGTTCTACTTGGCGCATTATGCAGGAGCATGAGTCGCAGGCCGAGAGCACAGCGAGTCGTTGCAATTAATAACGGAGAGGGCGTTATCTGGATATGACGAGGGAGCGCGCGTAAGCTTGAGTCCGATGCAGGCGTGCTACTGCCGCGCACACTTACGCAGTAGTGGCAGCAGCGAACGAGGCGAGGAGACAGTTGGCGGAACGACAGTTCGCGAATGGTCGTAACTGCATCGCGCTGCTCGTTTCTTCCGGGTCGCGGAGAAGCCGCTGAACTTTCAGCCGGGAATCTCGGACGACCTGTCGAGCCGTTTGTCCGGCTTTTACAGTACGGCAAACGCTTTGCTCTCGGTATTGCCGGCTAACGCTTTTACGAGCGCATCCCCGCGTGGATTGTCCCTTTGCACCTGACGATATCCGCGAGCAAAGCTCCTCCGCCCAGCCTATCCCCTACCTACTTGCCTCAAATCTCATCTGATGATTTTTATCGCCAGCGCGGTAGCTTCGAATAACCTCGGCGATGCTTGTCGCGCGATTTTCCTCGCCTGCGTTCGGTCGGTAATAACGCCGACAAGCACGTAATCATCAGCACTGTTGCCAGTAGCTCCGAAACGCCACGGCGGTCTTCATAATGAACCTGTCGATGTCGGACCTGATGTTCTGCTGCTTCAACCTGCCGCTGGCGACGTCGACTTTTTGGCACGGCGCCTGGCTCCACGGACCGCTGCTCTGCCGGCTGTTCCCGCTGCTCAGGTACGGCCTCGTGGCCGTCAGCCTGTTCACCGTGCTGGCCATCACCATTAACCGCTACGTCATGATCGGACACCCACGACTCTATCCCAAGTGAGTGCGCGTTCGATCGAGCACGGCCATCTCGCAGCGTTTACTTTTATTGCCCTGCAGTTCTGCCTGCGCGTGTCTGCTTGGCCGGCTCTCGCCGAGCCCGTAAAACGGTGCCGCCCAACCCCTAATCGCGCGCGAGCCGCCTGCTCTCGTAAAGCTCGCGCGCGGCTTCGGCGATCGTCGATGAAACGATAACGAGGCTTCGTGGTTGGCGCTGCAGACTGTACAAGCCGAATTATCTGATGCTGATGGTCGTGGCGACGTGGATCGGCGGCTTCGGCGCACTCGTGCCCACGTGGTTCGAGCAGTGGGGCCGCTTCGGCCTCGACCCGGCCATAGGCTCTTGCTCCATCCTGCCCGACCTGCACGGGCGCAGCCCCAAGGAATTCCTCTTCATCCTGGCCTTCCTCGCGCCCTGCATCGCGATCGTCGTCTGCTACGCTCGGATATTCTACATCGTGAGGAAGACGGCCCTGAAGAGCCGGCGCAGGGACGAGACCACGCGGGAGTTCGTACACACGGCCTTCGACGTGAGTAGCCGAGTGGGCGCGCGGCGCGCGGCGCTCGGCGGCTCGGCCGGGCGTCGTCAACCGCGCCCCGACTGCTTTCAGGGAAAGTGCTCGGCGAGGAACACGGAGGACTCGGCGATCGGCTCGATGAGCTGCCAGGCGACACACACGACGCTCAGCGAGAACGGCGGCTCACCGCTCAAGTGCGAGCAGCACGGCCTGGCGGTGCTGGGAGTGGGCGGCGCCCGCGCGCGCTCGCCCTCGCTGCGCCAGGTCTCGCTGCCCAAGGTTGTGCCCGAGCTGCGCGTCCAGGGCCTGGTCGCGCGCAGCCTCGACAGCCTGCCCCACGCCGACGTGGCCGTAGTCCACTGCGCCGCCGGCCACGGCCTGTCCGGCTCCGAGCAGATACTCGACACGCACTCGCTGCAGAAGGCCAGCGCCGACTCGAGGTTCCTCAGTCCGCCGGCCGTTTTCAGGTGCGTGTGCGCGTGCGTGTGCCGCCTCGACGCGTCGCTCCGTCCGACGAATGACCGCTGACGATCGGCAGGTACGACGAGGTCTCGGACGACTGCACGAGCTCCCGCTCGGACTCGCCGTCGGAGCGGCGTCGCGCCAGCAACGTGAGCAGCCGTCGGGGCGAGCTGACGCCGACGAGCGGCAGCCGCTCGCTGAGGCGCGAGTCGCGCTTCCGCAGCGTGCGCGGGCGCAGCTTCGAGACGGGCAAGATGACGGCCAAGGACAAGAAGCTGCTCAAGATGATCCTCGTGATTTTCTCCTCGTTCCTCGTCTGCTACCTGCCCATCACCATCACCAAGACCTTCAAGGGCGCCGTCGACTGGCGCGGACTCAACATCGCCGGCTACATACTCATCTACCTGACCACCTGCATCAACCCCGTGATCTACGTGGTCATGAGCTCGGAGTACCGCAGCGCCTACAAGAACGTGCTGCTGTGCAGGAGCGAGTCGGCCACCGGCAGTCTGGGCAACGAGCGCAAACGCCGCAGGCGCCGGACGCGTAGGAATTGAACGGCCAGCGGCCTCCGCAAGACTGACTCTCTCGCTTATCTCCTTGCCCGTCTCCTCGACGACGGTCCTTGCGAGGGAGCGCACAATGACTCCTTCTCTCCCTTGCACTGCTCCCTTGCTACGAGCGAGCGTGCCACCGTGCGATCCTCCGCAGGACCGCGGGCGTTTCATACGAGTCTGCGTCCGAAGGAGTGGCGAGGTTCGACGGAAAGAAAGATTAATGAATGCAATGTTTATTTGTACCCTCCTTTATGAACGGCTAGCCTGGCTTTTCTTAGCAATAACTTTTCTTCCGCCCACATTTTTCGTTCTCGATTGTCATCGTTGCCTTTTTTCTCGTAGAAAATCTTAATGTTACTTTTGCGGACGAAATTCCCTTTGGCATTCTAGCGTGATGCTGTTATATCGGTGTCTCCTTCGACGGAGCTGTGACGTGTACGAGATGAAACGTACGCGAGCACGAGGATGGAAGGTTTACTACGTAATTGTTTGTTTATGAACGCTTGACTCAGCTCTTGATGTACATATATAAAATCATCCTTTAGGAAATTATATACCTATCGTATGACGGAACATTTAAAATAAAATCTTCGTAAAATTAATTTCATTTGCAATTTTATTGTCTCTTATTTGATACATGTACATTGTACGATCTATACTATCTTTTTATAAGCCAGTAAATAGCTAATATTTTTTATCTCAACTACTAAAAAAATTGTTTACTTAAGATTACGTACTTGCCAGTCAAAATGTTTCTGTAAAGTGTTTTGTAACGAATCATCAAGGTACGTTTGTACAGTGTAATAAAAAGAAGTACTCTAAAGCCTCCAGTAGATTGTACAAAACTTACTACGAGCAGCCACCTCGTCAATGATGATTTCTCAGGATTTTGTTCTCACGTCTTGTTAAAGGTTTGTTCTTTGTTCTTTGGCGTAAGCTCCGTTGTTATGTTCAGCTGCTTCTCTCGTCTTAATTTGTACTGATGGTATCCGGCATAGGCACACATGCCTAATCCACCGAACATCAATATATAATTTAAGACACTGCGCAAATTATGCAAAAATATTGATAACGTGTAATGCCTCTGTTTCTAAAATGTCCATGTACTACTTTTACTTACATTGATATAATGACTGTCCTGTGACAAGCCTTAATTACTTTGATATAAGAATACGGCAAAACAGTTTGCTCGTTAAACCACGCTAAGGGTAATAAAACATCGGGAAATGACTCCATTAGCCGGTATTTTTTCAAAGGCATGATATTCAGGTTGACCTGGAAGCGCGTATTGATACGCACTGCATAACCAGTTAACGGGTCGATATCTATCATCATCATGTGCTTTTCCTCGAAAAATAAAATTACTCGTCGTAAGCCCAGCTCTCGTAGTGGATGAACAAGTGCTATTGAGAAGCAATACCTTAACTGGTTTGAGACCATCCAGCGAACGAACTAAATATGGATCAGCCTGATAAAAATGTGGACTTGATATAGCAAGAGGTACGTGTAAACATTTATATAAATCTAAAACTCCGATTGGAGGACACTGATTTGAATTCATACAGAAACATTGTTCTTCTGGCTTGTTTCGCCCGTCGACCCCTACGACCGTCGTATAACGAAGTAGTTCCAACCCTGCGAAATATCAATTGCAATGATCATCGTCTAATCCAAGAGTGCGTTTGTCAGCCTTGAACGTACCTTTGTAATGCACGGTTGAGTCGTAGGTATACTTGAAATTTCGACAAAGTACATTGTGAGTAGCAAAAAAACTTTGTTTTTTCTTTTTATTAGGTAACGGAGGGAAAATGGTGAAATCGCTACCAAGAAACGAGTCACAATGGTCTGCATTCCAAGCCGAAAAATTCTTTTTGTGGTTGCTTTCCTGGACTTTTCCAAGTTGCAGAATATTTTCGATGCCTCGCTTGATACGCAGTCGTTTGCCTGCTTTATCCGTACCATTAAACTTTTTCGACAAATTTAAATCAATGAGAAACCTATGAAGCTATAGTGGCATTAAAACTTTTACAATGCTAAAGAAAAAGTCTAAGCTTACCGGACCCCACAACGAGTTAGTGTAATTCAACTCTCCAACTTTTACTAACAAATAACTATCGTAGTTCTCGTGCAAATCGTTACACATCACTTTTCCATGGAAGTCTTCGATTCCTCGACATTCGATTAAAAATCCATCAAATAACAAAGTTCTGACCTTAGCACGTAGAAACACGCTTTGAGGATTTTTCAATAAACTGTCGATCGCTCTTGCTTGATAGATAATTCAGTGGTTAATCGTAAATATTGGATTAGGGGCATCAGGTATGCGTTTGCGTAAATTCTCTTACACGCTATAGGCATAAGGAAAGGCCTGTCTTTCAGTAAGCCGTTAGGTATACCCAGCATCGTCAGATGTGGTAACATTAGCTCGTCCGAGTCATCCAGGCCGCCACTCTTGATTGGGTTGAAGAAATAAGTATTTCTCAATGTGTATGATAGCGTATCATCTTCTTCGTGATCTTCTTGGTTTATTTTTTCTTGCCACACACTAGGTTTATTATCAACATTAATGCGTATCTTTGAATTGCTACAAATTAGCTAAATGCTCTTTTCGAGGCTGATAAAATAAAGTTTCATTCTCCAAAAATATAATGACAACGGACGACGATTATTGCAAACTTACTCGTACACAAATGGGCCAACTTCTCGGACCTTCGGTTTACCTCCTTTCTCCACTTCGGCGGTGTTGGTTATATTGAAAATGTACCAGTGCATTTCTAAGGGAAATGTTAATTTACTCCACGCCGTCCTCATTGGCCAGCCATTCTTTAAAGCTACTTTCTGATAACAACGTGGATCAAGACATTAACTCGATTGAATCCATCAATGTCATAAATAAGATAATAACTTACAACACGCTTACTTTTTTCACTTCAGATTTCAGAATCGATGGAAATATCACAGTTTGCAATAAGATATCAATTGCAAGAAAGACAATCCCGGTAATACCAACTTTATTAGGACCCGTTAACTTCATATTTTATTGTTGATTTTTCCTAAAATTCTGTATTAGGTATTCTAACATCAATTTCGAAATAAGGCAAACGGAAAACTATTTTACACGTAAAAAAGTCATAAATACACAGTTACTTCTGTCAAATCCATATCCATTTACGCATTTAAACGTATTAGTAGTATTATTTTTAATTGGTTATAAACGTATTATTGTTCATCGGGTTAATTTAGTATTCTTAGATTGTTGAAAAATTTTTTTAAAACGCCGATTGAAGTATTATACTAAATATGCCCGCGACAATAAACATGACGTGCCTTTGGGGGAAGTAACTATTAGACTGAACATAAATAACGCAGCTATATAGAAGAAAACCTCGGATAGGCGTACGCATTTCAAATGTCAATAAGCTGTCAGGGAGAATTCTTACTGCAGTACGTGACCATGACTGAACCTAAGATAATTGATCTACCACGATAATCTAAGGTAATAGTATTTCTCCAGACCAGCATAAAATTCATTTATTCATTATAACATTCATTCATTCATGTAGAGCATTGCAGTAGATATCACCGTCATCGAAAGAAATCAGCATTCCACGTATGTAATAAAATATTAATACACCATCATTTTTAAAGCGATATATAAATGTAATTACACGTATAAAAAAGCGTCTATTCTTTATGGCTTTTCCGAGTCGGAATTCTTTTTCCTTACTTCAATTACAGCACCTTTTTAAGTTCACGTAAAGACTTTTATTATGTTATTGACGTGATATTTTATATACATTATAAAGAGTATATACACCGATTGGCATTTCATTCTATGAACTAGCTTATTTTACAAATTTAATCTATATTTGGTGGCACCGTGTCAGAGCCAATTCCACTGCCTCGTAAAGCTGACCCTTTTTCATTTCCATTGTAATTGTTGTGGCTGTCAACGCTGGTAATATTTTCCACAGCGACATTAGCCTTCTGTTTGGTGTACTCGAGATATCCTGAATAGCCACACATAGCTAATCCTCCAAACATCATAAAATATTCGAAGATTCTAAAAAACAATGATATATTAAATATGACGTGTTTAATTATAAGCAAACTAGAGTTGGATAGAGATAATCTATATCAAATACTTCATCATTGTAATGGTTCTGTGAATGGATTTAATTTTTTTCATTACAATGTCCGGTAGTTCAAGTACTTCTTCACTCCACATTATTGGTAATAATGCTTCAGGAAAGTTCTGTACCAATCTGTATTTTTCCAATTTCATGAGAAATAAGCTGTATTGCATTCGTAACCTTGCATTAATAACCGCGCCGGTCAGTGGGTCAACATCAATAAATGTTTCATGTTTTTCCTTTTGCAATATTTGCAATGAAACACCGAATTAGTCAATCAAAAGAACTTTCTTCGTAGATCTAAGCGAAAACAATAGTTAGACATACCTTGATCGGCTTTACTCCTCTAACTGAATTGGCATAATATGGATCAGCTAAATAAAAATGTGGATTTGAAAGTATAAGTGGCGTATTAAGGCATCTGAATAATTCAAAAACACCATTCTTTAAACATCGATCCGGGGCTATGCAAAAACACTGATCTCGTTGATTGGTTTCCATGTCAGTTCCCATTGTTGTTGTAAATCTCAAAAGCTTCATTCCTGTAGTTATATAAAATTTTTATAAATTACATTAACTATTATGAAAACGAGCGCATTTTATAACATTGAACCTGAAAATTTGATTTTTGACTCGTAATGATAGAGTAATCTTCGGCACATGTAAGCACTAGTAACGTATAGCTCAACTGATTCTTTCTCACTGAGAAAAGGACGAAACATTGTACCATCAGTGCCAGAAAATGCATCGCAGTATTCATTTTTCCACGTAGACAAATTCTTCTTCCCGTTGAACTCGACAAGCTCGCCAATCTTTGACATATTTGTCATTCCTCGATGAATGCGAGATTTCCCCAACTCAGTATCTGTGGCATTTAGCTTTTGAGGCGGTAACAAATTATTTCATGTATTATTTTCTATACAAGAGCAACATTCTTTTTACCGACTATTTAGTTACCGTTCCCCATACGGATGTGGTATAAAAATTTTCATCTTTTTTCATCAAACGATACTCTTGCCAGCTTTCTTTTACATCGCTGCAGAACGCATTACCAAAGAAATCTTCGGGCTCTCGACAATCAATTTCAAAACCGTCAAACAACAGTGTTTTAACTTTTTCTTTAACAAATACACTTTCAGGATTTCGCAGTACACTATCGATTGCTTTGGCTTAAAAATACATCAAGTTTAAAAACTCACTTATCTTGAACATAGTTCCTCATCCACGCATAAAATTACTTACACGCGACTGATAGAAAAACGGCTTTGTCTTTCATTACTCCATTAGATGTTCCCAACGATAGTAAATGAGGAATCGTCAGTTCGTCATCATCAGAGAGGCCTTTACTTTTTTCAGAGTTGAAATAAAAAGTTTTCTTGGTCGCATATGATAACGTATCATCTTCTTCGTGATCCATTTGCTGTGTTTTCTCTTGCCAAACACTGAATAATCATACAATGGTATTATAATAACAATGTCAGCAAAATACATTTTCAAGTGACTATCGATAATAATTAGACAATACTCGTATACGAAAGGTCCGACTTCGCGAACTATAGGCTTTTCTCCATTGGCTATTTCTTTTGGATTCGTCACATTGAAGATATAAGCGCGACATTCGAACGATGAAGGTAACTTACTCCATGCTTTTCTCATTGGCCAACCACTTTTCAATATAATTTTCTGTAAATCGTTAAATTCTCGTCATTTTTAATTCATACATGCAATTAGATTAAATTTGTGCTGTCGATAGAACATTACTTTTTTTATTTGTACGTTACGAACACGTGTAAAAATTACAGTATGGTGAATAATGCTAAAAATAAACAAGAACAAGCCAGCAATTCCAAATACTTTAACTCGGTCCAATGCCATTTTTTTTATCGCTGCTTACTGTCACTGATCACTTTAAGCTGAATAATTTAGTCTTGATTATCTAATGGTGTGTCGTTACGAAGTTGTTGTTGTTCAAGAAGTAAAGTCATTATATTTTTTCTTAGGCTAAAGTCAACTTAGAATCTCGGATAGACCAAACCAAATTAGTCCAGTGGATTTTTCTCTGTTTATATTAGAGATTATAAGTCAGTGTTTATTTACACGCAATATTTCCATAGAATTTATTGATTAATTTATTTTACAACATAACACTGTAAAATATTTTATTACAGGATATTTAAGATATTCAACAAGATAACATTTTTTTATTGTTTTTTTAATATTTTAAAGGTGAACATTAGAGAATTTTATGTGCCACTTTGAACGTTTAAAAAAAGACTAGGCAGTTATAACGTCGCTTCGATCGACTAGAACCTCGTGAATAAGTAGATGTACATACGTAAGAAAGAACTTTTAATTATATACATCACGCACGCTTAGAGTAAAATTGCAATTGTCATTTCTTAAATTCAAATTTCTAAACTAACGATCGATTAATTATGATAATCTAATGTAACTAATCACGAGTATTCAAATTCAGCTTTATTATATACTAGTGACTTACTTTGATGATTGACTTCTTTATTTGCAAATACTTTTGTATTACCTATATACTATTTTACAATATATTGCTCGCTGGCTATATATAATAAGTATAAAAATGAGAACTTGAGTTATAACGCTCGATGTCTTGCCAAATCTTAGTGTGGTATAAAAATTAATCATATAATTTTAAAAAATTACAACCCCTGAAAATTATAGGACAAACCCAGTCGAAAATAAGATGAAAATAAGAAATAAATTTTCTTTTATAAATTGCTTTATTGAAAATTTCAGGAAAATTACCATAAATTTAGATGTACATGTAGCGTGTATATCTATTTACTAAGTTTAATTCTTTCAAACAATTGTTGGCTAATTAGAATTCAAAAAATATACGCATTTACTTCTAAATTTGAGTAGTAAAAAATATCTATAGTTATTTGGTAATACATTGTAACGTATTTATTAATTTATTGTTAATCTGAATATAGAATAATTGAGAAATAGTAACTTTAAAATTGTGGTGAAAAGTTCCTATCATCATTGAAATTAAACTAAATAGAATGAGCATTTTGCTATAATCAATCATTGATAAATAATATATGAAATTCACCCTATTCAACAACGCTACTGTAGTGGACAATTATGTAATTTAATTGATATCAGGTGGTACTGCTGCTGATTGCGTAGGGGCCTTTGCAAACATTGGCTTTTGGGTGTTACTGCTGCGTTCTTGGCTTTGAGGCGGTGGAACTACGTTTACTGGATTCTGCTTGTTGGCACGTCTAAATTTGTATTCATAATTGCCAGCAACTCCACATATTACAAAGCCGCTCAAGATAATTACATACATAATTATTCTAAGAAGAAAAAATGTTGAATTATCAATAGTGAAAGAAATAGCATCATTTAATTTAACTGAATGACTTTTTCAATTAGTTACATGGAATTAGAAATTTTCTGCTGAAAACGAAAAATTATTTAGGTAGCAATGATTTTAATGACACTTACTGTGATAACATAAGCGAGTTGTATCGATCTTTTATTTTTTTTATAAGGAAATGTGGTAAAATGATGATTTCGTCAACCCACACCATAGGTAACATTGCAGTAGGAAAATTTTTCATCAATTTAAATTTTTTAAGACTTAATAATTCCATATTGAATTGAATTCGCATATGAGAACGTACTATTATTCCAGTTAAAGGATCCACATCAATAAACATCATATGCTTTTCCTTTTGAGAAGATGTATAGGGAAATAATAGATGTTATTGAAAAATTCATTTAATATTGCATGGAAATACGTTTTATCAACCTTATCCGGATTAACGCCGTCCACAGCATCAACGTAACTCTGATCGGCTAAGTAAAAATGAGGATGCGAACCAACCCAAGGTACATAAGTGCACCGAATTAAATCTAACAATCCTGGTTTCTCTATACAGCTTTCAGGTTGTGTACAGAAACATACTTCTTCAGGATGATTGTCAACATCGGTCCCAAAATTTGTTGTATACCGGAGTAGCGAAAGCCCTAAATATCGATTTTTTTCATATAATGCTTACTAAAATATGAATAAGAAAAATAAAATGTCACATCAAAAACATACCATCATATTGAACAGTAGAATCGTAATAATAAACGAGACTACGGCAAATAACTGTATTCACGATGTTTATATCATCCTTGCCTTTTCTATTTAAAAATGGTCGGACAACGGTACCATCAGTCCCGTGAAATACATTGCAATAACTATCGTTATTCCAAGTAGCAAAGTCTTGTTCTTCTTCATACTCGATGACTTCGCCGATTTTTTTAAGATTTTTTGATCCACGATTAATACGGAGCTTTCTTTCTCTCTCAAATGTACCATTAAACTGCAAGCACATTAGGAAAATAAAATTTTCAGCTTATATTAGTCTTCACTTATCTAGTTATTTCTCATTTCAAATGCTTACGTGACCCCAAATTGACGTATAATAGGTATGATCCTCATCTCTTAGGCTATACTTTAGGTGAAATTCATAAAACTGATTACATACAACTTTACCGAAGTAATTTGTAATATCTTTACAGGGCATCGCTAATCCGTCGAACAAAAAGGTCTTGACTGGTCTTTTTACAAATATACTGTCTGGATTGTTATAGATTATATCAATCGCTTTAGCTTTAAAATAAAAAAAATGCAGTTATATATCGACCATATAGATAGCATATACTATCTAGAAGCATTTCAAATGAATGTTTATTCGTGACGTTAAAATTATTTTCTTACATCCTGCAAATACAAAGGCGGGATTGTACCGATTGAATCCACTTCCCGCACTGATTCTAAGATATTCTGGAAGAATAACTTCATCGTTTTCATCAGAAAGCCCATGACTTTTTATTCGATTAAATTGATGTATTCTTCTGAGTGAATAAGAGAGGCTATCATCTTCTTCGTAATCCTTTTGATTCACTTTTTCCTGCCAAACACTATCAAACATCAAAGTGCAAAAACATATATGAAAAGTATACATAATATATATAAATTTTTACATCCGATTTTTCCGAAATTGCTATTAGTAAAAATATAAATGTACAAAAAGCTTTAACGAAATTTAATAGACATGCCAACAAAACTAGTAATAGTCTCTGTTATTATCACCGTTATAGTTTGAGCTACATTTAGCCCTTCAAATGAATAATATATGCTATAAATATTATAATTAACTTACTCATAAACGTAAGGTCCTAACTCTTTAACAGTTGGCTTTGCTCCTTTTTCTATTTCTTTATAATTGGTGGTATTGAATACATAAAAATGTGTTTCATAAGAAAACGGAAATTTAGTCCATATTTTTCTCATAGGCCAACCTTCTTTTAATGCAACTTCCTAATTTGTCATTTGTCGTTGTGAAAAAATTCGATAAACTCAGATATCAAGTACGGATTAAGTTATTTTTGTAAAATAAAAGAACGAATACCTTTTTTATTCGCGTCTTTAAATTTATGGGAAGTATGATAAACTGACATAAAATGCCAAAGACGAACAAAATTAAGCCTACTGCGCCTGCTACTCGGTGAATTAAAATGCGTTTCTCCAATTTCATTATAATTAATATAAAATCTCGTTAGTTGTCTTATATGTGTCGAAAACGACTGTTATTTTCATGCAATAAGTATAATCGAACCTTTCTTCTTGATTAGTATATTTGGAACACGTTTTATCAATAAATTGAAAACAATAATAATCATTAATCTACCGTGGAATTGTGAAATTAGTTCAATTAATATACGTATATGTAATTGGAGAATTTGCCCTACTTGAAGAGCGGCTTCACTTGCTTAACGCTACGAAGAAAACGGAAAACTAAGGAAGTTCAATATATGTCGAATAACAATAATACGAGAATTCTATAGCGTATACGTTTAAAAAAGTGAAGAAAGTTGCTACATCGAGGCGTAAAACTACTTAATTATTCTATTGATTTGATGCACATATAGTTAGATACTAGTAAGCGAATCGAATCGTTATTGCTGCTCAACGAATAACACAAGTATTCGTGTAGACATTTTACGTTTCAGTATTTGGCAAGAAATTATTCTGTAGCATTAAAGAAAGTGAATTGAAAAGATAATATTTCCTTGAAATCATATTTTATAGCCATCTAATGAATTGTAAAATCCTCAATAATATTCAATTATTATCTCTTTAAAAAAACGAATGAAAAATTTGCCATCGATATTTTATAGTATACCTGAATCAAGTACGGATATCATTACAATGCACTTAGTTAAAATTTATTTAATCGAGTGCAGCGGAATTGATTCTTTTCGGTTGACTACAATTGGCAAACCTATCGCAATTTTTAGTTGGTTGCAGAGTTAGCTTTTAATTTACGTTATTATGATTACTAAAATCTGCCACTTTCACCAATTGGTAATGTTTGTAGCTCGCATAAATGCACAATCCAAGGCCAATGAACATTAAAATATATTGGAACACTCTGTATAATGAAACATAAACATTATAAAAGAGTTCTGTTCATAAGCAAATAGTTAGGTCTGTACACGTACCGCCCTAAAAAGAGCATTCTATAGCCAAATTTGATTTTTCCAATATAATAGTCTGGCAAAATGAAAACTCGCTCAAACCACATAAGCGGCAACAGGGCTTCAGGAAAATTAGCCATCAGCTTGATTTTATCGACTTTCTGAATAAATAAATTGAGTTGTGCTCTGACGTAAGCCTGGTACGGAGCACCAGCGAATGTATCCAAGTCAACCGTTATCAAATGCCTTTCCTACAACGCGAACGTTAAAATTAGAAAGGAATTTAGGGACCGCATAGGTTAGAAATGTCCTTGCTTTATTTGGAGTGAGACCGTCGACCATGCTCGAGTAATACGGATCCAGGTGATAAAAATGAGGATTCGTTACAAACAGTGGCACTCCAAGGCACTTGTACAAATTCAATGGGGCTTTCTTTGAGCACGCTTCTTGCCCGAAGCAGTAGCATTTCTCCCGAGGATCATTCCCGTCCACATTCAAGTCACCGGTATAGCGTAGTAATGTTACACCTGTCATTATATTCGAAAGTTTTGAAGAATTAATTATAGTTACTACCAATAATCGTGAAATATCTTTGTCGACGCAGGTGTACATACCGGAATGCTTGACTTTTATTGAATCGTAACGACAACTAATACTACGGCAAATGTCTGCGTTGAACACCACTAGGTCGTCCTTGCCTTTTTTGTCGAAATACGGATGAAAAATAGTACCGTCAGTCCCATTGAAAGAGTCGCAATAATTATCATTCCAAACCGACATATTTGGCTTATCATTGTACTCGATAACTCTGCCAAGGTCCATGATACTTTTTAAGCCTCGACGCACGCGAATTCTTGCCTTAGAGTCGGTGCTATTCGCCTATTTTTAGTTTAACAACAAATGACTCTTGACAAACAGTGCAATTGAGGATGGTTAAACAAGATTCATCGAAATTACACGTTGTAGCTTACCGATCCCCACAACGACAGTGAAAATAGATTTTCTCCGATTTTCTTCAAACGGAATTCTTCATACTTCTCGTTTATTTCTTTACAAAGCGCTGAGCCTGGGGTGTCACTGACATTGCAATCAATCATCATCCCATCGAATAATATGTCTCTAACCTTGGCTTTAATAAACATGCTATTTGGTTTTCGAAAAATGCTGTTCATAGCTTTATCTTTGCAAATGTCGTATTTATAAAATAAAATGATAAAGACACATTTATATTAAGACGATAAAATATCATACTTATGAAAGGTATAGCGGAAGGCTTTTGTATAAGCAATGTGTTTATAACGATCAACATAAAGTAGTTGACAACCACGATTTCTTCATCTCCGGTCAATCCGTTGCTTCTTGCAAGATTTAGTAAGTAGGTATTTTTCAATGTATAAGATACAGAATCGTCAGTTTCGTAATCTATTAGATTCGTTTTTTCGTGCCATTCACTTGAAAACATGTATTTCGGTAAGGTTAATCAATATTTCAGATCTTATTACTCTCGTTTATTTTAGGAACATTGTCAGACGCTTCTACTGATCAATGATATTGCATCTGACTGGGATATTTTTACTTACTCATAGCTGAAGGGTCCGACTTCCCGTAAAATTGGCTTCTCTCCTTTATCGATTTCATCAGGGTTTGTCACATTAAAAAAATAAAAATTGAAATGGAGAGGAAACGGAAGCTTAGTCCATAAATCTCTCATCCGCCAGCCCTTTTTCAATGCAACTTGCTGACACATACAATCGTGTTTTAATTTGTATAAAAACATTAATCGCTCGATTGTGTAATCATTGTACGTACTCGCTTCACAGAATAACGTACTATTGCCGGAAAAATAGTGGATATGATTAGTATGCTAACAAAGAAAATACCAAGACCGGCATAGCCGATTTTATGAACTTGATTTAATTGCATTCTATAGCGACCATCGAGTATTAGATTTATACATAAGACGTCCGTAGTAAATCTATCGAATAAAAACAGAAGACTGAAGTAGGCAGTGCTGTTTGTACAAAGAGCTTTATTGATTACATTATTCAAAGAGTTTCATAAATAATATATATTAACGTAAAATATTTAACTTAAGAATAATAAACATGTAGATGTGGATATTTTTTCTTCGCCTGAGCATGTAGTCACGTAGTACCTATGGAAAATGTATATTTAAAAGTCTTAAAATATACAGAGACCTCAACATTTGTTTATCAAAGTAGGCGCCTGAATATGAATTGGTATTTAATCTACAAAACAAGTAAATAATTATTGTTGTTATAGTCAAAATATATGCTATTTTTACAATCTACGTAACACTTACAAAATTTAGTAACAATATTTTCGACGTGGTTGAAAACGACTGTGCTTCAAAGTGTTTATTTACAAAATAAGTTAATAATAGTTTGAAAACAATTTTTATTCGATCTTCAATTCCATGTGTGCGCACCACAGAGAGTAAATATTGTATGCATTGAGTGCGTAATCGAAAATAATTTTTTCATGAAAAAAAATTCAGTATAAGAAAACAGCTGAACAAAAAGTGACACCAGTAAACTAGTTTTAAATTCGACTGATTCTTTAAAATTATAATCAAAATAAAAAACTTTCCGTTAAAAAGTTGCAGCATAAAGAAATGTCAGCAATTGTGAAAACTGAAAAGCTGTCTGATTGCCGGCAACGTGATAAAAATATTAGAACGGTTTATATCTGATGTTCTCATTTTCAACGCACGCCGTTAATCTTTCTATTTCCCGAAATCGTTTTGATCATTGTACGATGATCGTCGATGCCACCGAAGCAGTCTCACGTGGTCATGTCAAAATTCTCATTTGCCAAGTAATCGATAAATTTAGTCGATATTCGGCGGCATCGATTGTGGAACTGTTCTGCTGATATTCATAGGCATTTTTTTGTCATCGCCATTAGCTTGGTCGCCACTTTTAGGCTTCACTGTCTTCTTGATTTGGACCTCGTTTCCATTCATATCCTTGTAGATCGAAAAGCCACCGTACGCTATAGTGCCTAAGCCGCCGAGTAGCACCATAATTTTAAACATACTAATGGGAAAAAATGCATTCGTTAGAATTGTATTTGTTTATCCTTCATCTCTTCTTCAAAAGTGTGTCTCCCAAGCAAGTACGAGCGATCGTTTACTTACCTTCCTATCATCAAGAGTCTGTGACCGTCTTTGATCTCCTTTATCAGAAAGTCAGGTAGAATGGTGTGTTCGTCGATCCAGAATATCGGTAATAAAGCCGAAGGGAAGTTTTTCATTATCTTGTACTTCTCCACTTTAAAGAGAAAAAAGTTGAATTGCGCCCTAATGTGAGCTTGTACCGGCGAGCCGGTAAACGCATCCAGGTCGATCGCCACCGCGTGCAGTTCCTAATTGCACGAAAGACAGCTTTGCGTATTCAGGACGGTCTTGCATTGTTCAATGGACAGGCATACCTTGTCGGGCTTGAGGCCATCGACCATGGTCAGGTATTCGGGATCGGCCAGGTAGAAGTGCGGGTTCGAGACGACAATGGGTGCCCCGACGCACTTGTAAGCATCGTAAACGCCCTTCTTCAAGCAGTCGTCCGGGGCTTTGCAGTAACACTTGTGCAGTGGGTTGTCCGGGTCGGTGCCCAAATCCGTGGTGTAGCGCAGAGTCTTGATGCCTGCGATCATCGAGCGTCGCGCCCAGTCCGGTATCAGCATTGTCATCAGTGCGGCCTGTCGTTTTGCAGGCGAACTCACCCCTGAATTTACTCTTCTGGTCGTAGATGCAAGCGATGGTCCTGCAAAGACCGTCGTTGAAGGCGATCATCGGGTCTTTTCCGTGCTTGTCGAAGTTCGGATGGAAAATCGTGCCGTCGCTGCCGTTAAGTCGATCGCAGTACTCGTCGTCCCAAACCGACAGATTGTTCTTGTAATTGTACTCGATGACCTTGCCGACGTCCATGATGTTCTTGAGGCCGCGTAAAACTCGGGTGGGCTTTTTGGAGTCGGTGCCGTTCCTCTGTCGATCGCGGTCATCGATTAACAGTCGTTACTAAGATCGAAGATGGCGCAAGCTCGACTTACCGACCCCCACAGCGAGAACAGATATTCGTTCTCGGCTACTTTGATCATGCCGAACTCCTCGTACTTCTCCCTCACTTGGTCGCATATGGCAGCCCCGGCGAAATCTTTGGCAGTGCAGTCTATGTGTAAACCGTCGAAGAGTATTGCTCGAGGCGTCGTCTTTATAAACAGGTTGTCCGGCTTTTTGAATAAACTGTCTATCGCTTTGCCTACGGCGAGCGTTCAATAACATGGGTTATCATTGCTGTGCCGATGGTTAATATATCGTGTCTCCTCACCGAAGATCGGTATCGCCGAGGGCTTCTCGCGCATTAGCGTGTTGACCAGGCCGAGGGCGAACAGATTGGCTATCACTATCTCCTCGTTGCCGGTCAAGCCGTTGCTCTTCTCGGCGTTGAAGTAGTACGTGTTCCTCATCGTGAACAGCACCGTGTCGTCGTCCTCGCGATCGATTCGGTTCGTTTTCTCCTGCCACTGACTACATCAACGGATTAACCTTAGAGACTAGCTCGCTGACATCGAACGCTTGCAATTGCGCGTACACTCACTCGTAGACGAATGGTCCGACTTGCTGGAGTATCGGCTTCTCGCCGGCTTTTATCTGGTCGGGATTGGTCACGTTGAAGATGTAAAAGTTCAAGTCCATCGAGAACGGATATTTGTCCCACAAGTCTCTCCTTTGCCAGCCGGGCTTCAGCGCTATTTTCTGTTTCATCAAAGCATAACGTTAGTGATGCTCGTCGACACCCTCGCTCGCTCGATTATCCTACTTTCTTCGTCTGGGACTTGATCACAGCCGGCAAGATGACGAACTGCAGCATCATGTAGAAGAAGAGCATGCCTCCGCCAATCATGGCTATCTTCTGCGACCTGCTGAACGGCATCTCGGCGAACGCTGTCCTGTCGTCTTCGACGATCTTGTTCAGAGAGGCGACGAAGAGCCGAAACGTTCGCGAGTTCCGGAGACGCTCTCGGGCATTCGCGAGAGCTACCCTCAAAGCCGCCTGCGCCGGCCCTGCTATTTTGCCGCTCGTTGGCTAAATCGCGCTCGACCGACAGCTTCAATTAATGCAAACGGTTTGCTCAAATATTTCAACGATAAATTATGCAGCGTATCCTTACACAATATTATAAAAGAAAGGCTCAACAAGTCTACCTGTTCCCACTGGAAAACTCAGCGGCATGGAAACCAAGATTCATAATTGAAAAAGAAAAAAGAAGAGAAGGAACGATTTTTTCCCGAGGCAGCTGGCAGCTTGAGCTGCGGAAGTGAAAGGTGACGAGTGACTGAGGGATAGCTTCAAGAACATCCATCGAGTATAGCCGCGCCGGTGTATCCCCTAACGCACAAATACAATCGCAAAGCGCTTAATCATTCTCAGTGCGGGTATGTGTGCATTCGCCCGAGTTCCGCAACACAACATTCCGCGCTGCGTGACATTTGTCGAGCTTGGCAACATTTGCCACCGTGAACTACTTGTGGAACTTTGGCAATGCTTCATCTGCTTGAGAATTTCAATTGGTCAAGTCGGCTTTAATCAAAGTTAGACTTGCTTTTCGAACGACAAGCGGACGGGCTCACGGCCGCGCCGAACAAGTCAGTATCCGGAAATCCTGCGGTTCGCTGTTTTGACGTTATCTAGATTTTTCGTGGTTTTCCGACGCAGTTGGTGCAGCAAACATTCGTGTGAAATTATACAAGGATGTTCTCGCAGTGCTCGGCCAGCCAAGGATGTTGCAAGCTCGCGAGAAAGTGCCGGCCGACCAAAGTTCGCGACGACCAGCTTGTTCTCCACGTGTGCGTTTTCTAGCGGCTGGCCTCCGACGCCTCGCCGCGACACTCGTCAGTCGCGTAAAATCAATGGCATCTATAATTCATCCAAGAAAATTATCGCTCGGTTTCTGTATCGCGCATCTAAGGCGCCGCGACGAATATCAATAGGCGCGCGGCTGTGGGGCGCGTCGCGACGATGAAATCGCAGTTGGCGATGAGGCGCAATCGATGAGCTGCGGCGCGCGGTCGTTCGCCGAGGTAACGAGATGGGCCGAGCTTGCGGCGCGCTCGACGCCCACCGCGGCTTATAGTCGCTTCATTACGAGGCGACCTTGCGGTCGGGCTTTCGCACCCTTGAGTTTGAAGCGACGGCCTTCGTCGGTGATTTCGCAGCTTTCACTGCCTCGGCCAAGCGAGCGAAACGCAAACGAGTTATGCTCTAAGATCGATCGTTTATTCAGTCTGCTTTTGCGGTGAACAATCGATGGAGCGTCGAGTCGACAAACGTCGTACAAAATATAAAATACAACATAAATAAATATACAGTCTCTAAGGTCTGGGCCGCGTGGTTAGTTCAAAATTATGTTAGATAGTCGTTAGACAAGAAGCAAGTAGAGCAGCTTTCGTCGGTGGAAAGCCTTCGTTGCCAGGACGACGATCACCAGTCGTAGTGCGCTCTGACGGCCACCGGCACGGGGTAAGGCCTGGGCACGTGGACGGGCACGGCGACGTGCACGGGGAACGGCCGGTCGACTCTGACGATCTTCTCGACGGGATAGGCGACGGGATAGGGCTTCGGTACGGGCACCTCGACCGGCACCGGCACGTGCACCGGTCGGTCGACGTGAACGAGCTTCTCCACGTGGACCGGGTAGGGCTTGGGCACCGCCACCGGCACGGCTACGTGCTTGGTGATCACGTGGACTGGTAGCGCTGGCGCGGGCACTCCTACTGGAACTGGCAGCGCTGCCGGTCCTACTGGCAGCCCTATCGGGCCGAAGTCCACTGGCGGGGGACCCACTGGAACTGTTTGGAACGTTCGACCATGAGAATCGTTGGGCGCGTTCGAGGACTCTGCCGGCGAGAAAGAGAGACTGACCGACGTGCGGCGGGACGACGCCGGGCCTGACGGGCAGGGGCAGAGCCGGCGCAGGAACCACGGCGAAGTGCTGAGGCTGGGGCAGCGGCTCCGAGTGCTCGAACACGGCCGGTGCCGGCGGCCCAGGCTGATGATGGACGGCCTCGGGCTGGGCGAACGCTGGCGGTGGACCGTACACCGGCTGAGGTGGCAGTCCGTAGCCCAGCTGCAGCAGATTGCCGCCGTCCTGTCGCCGCGCTATCTTGGCGCTCGACGCCGAGGCTCCGCGCCGTGCCGCGGACTTGCCGTCGTGCGCCTTGCTCGGCCGATGCTGCGCGCCCAGCGCCGCTGATCGCAGCAGCGCGAGGCTCAAGCAAACGTACCACATCTGCAACATATACGTTTCTTCGATTATTTTTCCTTTCTTTGCTGGTCGCTCAGTGAGCACTGGGCACTTCCGATGTGCACTGTCTTTCAACGGAAAAGGATATCGAGAACCACTGTGATCACTACTGTCAACGGAACGCGATGAAACAAGAGCGTTGCACCGGACGAAAAATACAATACAAACGAACGACACGCTACCAGAAGCAGCCTCATGGTGTTCGCGGATCGGGCCCCGGCAAAAAACTGCACTTGTCGCGTGCAATGGGCTCGATGAGTATTTATAGCGCGCCGCGATGACGCTTCGAAAAGCAAGCGCTCATTAACGATTCCGCCTGGACTTTCGCTCTCTCTCTCTCTCTCTCTCTCTCTCTCTCTCTCTCTCTCTAGGCTTGACACTGGCTCACGGCCAAGGCTCTTTCATTTCGGCCAAAGTTCCGATGATACTTGTCGCGTAACACAGCTGTCACCTACATTCGTAACTTCGGAATTCGCTGGATGCATCGAGCTCGCGAGTAAGGAGTAACTAGACGAAACCGCGAAGACGAATTAGCTCGAGATCTGCACGAATGCAGCGCAGCGATACCGTCGCGCCAAATTGGTAAAGCTGCAGTCACGAGTAAATAAATAAAATGAATGTTACGCCACTGCACATCAAGCGCCAATTGTGGCGAAGTGCAACGTGAATATTGAAGCGAGCAGCGCAGTCCGACTTTAGAAAATGAAAGTCGCCCGGGAAAACTATGGCACCTGGCGCGGAAGGCGCGACGATTGGCGCGTAATGAGCACACGGATAACAACGACGATCATTTTTTTCTTTTTCAAATATATGGCCACAACAATCCTCGTAATATACAAAGTAATAATGGATAATAATTGATAATTGGAAAAGTTGTGAATGGCGAAGCGAGAAGATGGCATTAGGAAGAAAGTAAAAACGGAATAAAATATTTCGGTGAGCTACATAATCGAAAGCATAATCGAAAGCGTTGGGCCGATGGAATTTCTGGAGCAGCACGTTTTCGCGGCCTCTCCGTTTCACCGGAAGCGCCTCGCGCGCGACACCTCCAGCATAATCGAAACCTCTAATCGCTTTCTTTCCACGCCGCGCGCTCCAATTATTTATTTTCTTCCCTGCGTAACTGTTGCGCAACTTTGCGCTTATTCGACGAAACTGTTAGCCAACGAATCGGAGATTTTCCCAGTGTAATCGACAAGAAAAAATCGCGTTGCCTCAACAAATGTAATTCGAACGAATGACCATTCAATAGATTATGGGATTGAGTGTTTGTAAACGAATAGTTGAGTTAATATTTTCCAATGATACTTGGATTTTATCCACAAGTATCTGATAATATTCCTATTCGAATTGCTTGTTTGAAATGATATAAGCACCCATGAATATTTCATTTTTCGGTAACTAAATAAAATTTCATTATTGTATTTAGATTAATTGCAGCAATTATTTGTAGACTGAAAACGCCGGCATAATGGACAATCTGTAAAAAAAAAAAAACGGTGTCTATACCTCGAGGCGTCGAATCGATACGCGTGTATTAACAAAAAGCCACGCAGTCTCACGTTGACGTCGATACTGTGTGAAAAACGATCAACGCCCTGTTGAGTAACACGCGCAGTCGGCAGACAAACCAGATGGGCGTGCGAAAGAGAAAGAAACGAAATAAACGGAAAAAACTGATCGAAGCACTCGGAGCAAGGAAGCGGAACGCACGGAGCAAGCACGGCACTCATTGGAGTAAAAGGGAGTCCGACTGCATAAGCTTCCGCGTGACTCGTCCGCCGGTTTTGCTAAGTTAGGGCGTAATGCGCCCGTCCGTCCGCTTTCCTCCGGAAATCGATAGGAAAAGTTGGTCCATCGGCGTCTCTATATAAGAGCGCGACGAGATGTCGGCAGAACGCGAGATACAGTGCCGACCGGTGTTGCGCGAACACGCGTATAGTCATGATAAGGATTTTGGTGAGTCGATTCGGGAGTGCGATAAGCGTAGCCGTGCTCTCAACGCCTGCGATGATTGGTTCCAGCTGCTGCTGGGCCTGGTGTGCGGCCGCGCGATCGCCGAAGCCGCCGAGGACAGCGGCACCAACAAGCAGGCCAAGAGGAGCTTCTTCGGTGACGGATGGATCGGACTGTCGAGTCCGTACGGAGGCTACGGGGTCGGACAACCCTGGGCAGGCCTCGATCATAACCCGTGGAGTGCACTCAAGGTCACGCCCAGTCTTCCACTCGAGACTTCGGGGTAGGTGGAAAATACGCAAAACTCGCAACAGCCAAATTCCAGTCAAATCTTTGGTACTCGGTGACCAACGTTAAACCGCTGATTTGTTCGACTAATTGGAAAAAAAAGCACTCGTAAAAATTTTGGTAAAAACAGTTGTCTCTTCAACGATGCTCGATACTCGGAGTGCCATCTTTTGCCGCAGCACAAGTACTGATCTCTTCGTTATCGTAAGCGACAATATAGAAAAGCTTCTGAAATTGCGAAATTCGACGCCTTCCCATAGAGATTTTCAGATAGCAGTGATGGACTACAATCGTTTGTGATCTTTTTCAGATGGCAGTATGGAACCACGAAGACAATCGGCCAACCGATAAAGCACGAAACGCACCACGTGAAAACGGTGCCCGTTGTTGTAACGAAGCACGTGGTGGTCGAGAAACCCGTAGCGGTTCGCGTTCCTGAGCCTGTGACCGTCGAGAAGCTTGTGCCGGTGCCTGTTGAAAAGCTCATTCCGGTTCCCATCGACAGATACATACCGAAGCCCGTTCCCGTTGCGGTACCCATTCCCCAGGTGATCATCGCTTACTCACCTTAATCTATCATTCGTGTAAATTTGTGTTCACAATGTCAACTTTAGTTCGCAGTTTGCCGGTACATTTTTATCGATTTCGCTGAAAATAGTGCAGAGCCTTGATTTTATTCATTTTCATTCAAGTATTTACGCGAATAAGTTCGACGTTAAATTATTTAAGAGCGACAGTCACGGCTGACTTTGCCACAGTGAGCGCGTTGTAAGTTTTCTCGATTCTTGAAAATATTGACCAAAGTTTCGAATTACAACGAAATCAATCCCATATAACAATCAACTGTGAAAATAGCAAATAATAATAGCTCCTTTCCCTTTTTCTTTCTAGTAAATAAGATTTGTGTCTATTGTTTTCGATGTCATGTATACATTTTCTTAAATTTTTATAATTAAATTTGGTAGTTCTAGTATTCTTCAATTTAAAAAAAAATAACTTCTATAACATTTTTTGATCGATTGTTACATTAAAAATGTACGTTACAAAAATTGTTATCCAAGTTTTTACTGAAACTGCTTTTTCAGATATGTAGAAAATCATGGAAAAAACGATTTCTTTGAACAATTTATTATTGGATAAAAAGCTAAAGAATAAGCGCAAAGAGAATTTCACGATAAATTTGTTGAATGAAAAAGCAAATAATAGTCTTTTCTCATTTTATTAAAAATTTTTAATATAATATAATGCATGTATGCGTTATTTTTGAGGATGATTTAATTGATTAAAATGAAAAAATCTATGAAAACAAGCTGAGCTTTGGCAGTAATTTTTTTTTGAATGAAGCAGACATAACATGAAATTCCGTAGAAAGGGCAAATCTGATAAAAGTCAACGATTACTTCCTGCATTTACGTGAAAGTTCTTGACAAAAGTAACGAATTAATAGGATACAATGGAAAACGAAGGCGGACTGCCCGAGGCCAAATCGAGGAAACAAGTCGGGTCGGTTCACTATGTGTAAAGAGAGAAGAACTCGTTAAAACGAGAGTAGTCGCAAGTTTACGCTACAAATCTACCGACAGTTCGATACCAAACTTGTTTAACTTGCAACTGCTGCCGTTACGTAAAATCGACTTAAAAATATCGATTGTGCGGTAGTTACTGGCAAATAATCAGAGCTTGGGAATGGAAAGTTGAAATCGCACTGTTTGTCTTTGGATTTAGGCATTTCCAGTACCAGTCGAGCATGCAGTGCCAGTACCAGTAAAGCAACCAGTAGTCGTACCAGTTCATCACCCATACCCGGTACCAGTAAAACACCCTCTGCCCTATCCGGTTGCCGTACCCTACCCACTGCCCGTTCATGGTCATCACCATCACGGCCATGGTCACCATTACGGTGGCTACGGTCACCACGGGCTGCATTATGGCCACCACGGGCTGCATTACGGCCACCATGGAGGCCACCACGGGCATGGCTGGGGACACGGCTGGGGTCATGGCTGGGATCACCACCACGGCTGGGGCTATCCCAACCCTGGATTTTACGGTCCTGCATTTTATGGCCAGGGATACTATGGTCACGGTCATGGCCAGGGGCATCATCACCACTACAGCTCGTACAGCGGTCCCGAACATTATCATTCGTACCGAAGCGCCGATTATCACAAAAACTCGAAACGTAGCAAAAGCAGTAGCAACGACGAGATCGACAAAGATGACGAAAGAGAATAACTCCAAATCATGTTCTTATTTCGTTTTATCAACTTCCAGTAAATCGTTTCCCTATATCGTTTCGAAGGCGTAGCTCTCTCTCTCTCGTCTGTTTTTTCGACGACTGATAACAAAGCGATAGTCGCAATTTTAGTTGATATAAAATGTAAGATTACGCGAACAAGTCTGACGTGCGACTTAGGATAATGATTGTCGTGATTGGTTCAATAAATAATGTTTTTGTTTTACAAAATGTTATTTATATATTTTGCTCATCATTTTTCTTTCAACTATTCTCATCCTTTCCTTTCAACACTCGCTTCGACAATAATGTATAATACTTCATCATCAAAATTTATCTCGCACGATGCACACAAAAAAGAGATATGTCGCTGAGTCAAGTCAATGACAATAAGAAACAACGACAACATTGTTAATGCAGTCAAACAAAAATTGCCTCGATTCCTATACAAAGTATTTTTCTTAAATATTATTAAAAATATATATAACATATAAATTTGTATTTTCTATATTTTTTAAAATATATATCGCGAGTTCGGGCGCGAGCTCGTTGCACATATCTCTCTTCCAACATAATTATACGAGCTGGCCAGATAACATGATCGATTCGAGTCTTATATTACAAAAATATCATTAAAATTGCAGCCACTAAAAAAACGCAGAAAAACTGTTAAACCTTGACGAGTCTTTGTTGCACTGTCTTCGTTTTGCTGACTACGAAAACTTGTTCGTCTGTTGCGACGGTTGGAAACGCGCTATTTCGCTTTTGCGGCTGTCGCTGCCCTGAATCTCGGGCTTTTCCTGGTTCCCTGATCCGACTCAGCAGTTTCATCTTCAGATCCTCCAGACTTCTTGCTTGCTGCTCAAAATAAGAATTATTTAAGTCATATAAATTAGTTAATTACATAAAAGTTATATACTAACCCTCCTTCTTCTTAGGCTTCTGTTTTATTACTTTAACTTTCGACGAAATAGCTGGGGCTCCATTTGCAGCAGCGCGCTTGCGTTGGTATTTCAAGAAAGCGAAAAGCATATAAAATTGGAAGACTAAAATTGCTGCTAGTGCTGAATAACGAATTGGTGGGATGTTAAAGTTGCCCTCAGCCAAGTTAAACGTACTTTTAACTTGACCTAAGCCATAGAAAAAAACAAGAGTCGAGAGAAGTATCGTAATGATTCTAGTGGCAATAAACACGGAATTTGCCACCAAAAATGATGCTGCAATTCAAAAATTAAACATTATTATTTATAAATTAATTACTTATACGTAAATAAGAAAAACTTATAAACCTTTAGAAGCTTTTTCCTTCTGATCAGCAAAATGAACCAATCGAGCGCCATGCAGTAAACCTTCTCCAACATGATGAAGAACCAACAGAATAACACCAACATGTTGGAAGCTGAATTTTAAATAAAATGTTATATAAAGTTTTTAAAATTCTAAAATCCCAAAAAACTTACTTCAAAACATAGGCACCAATAGTATAGAGTAAGCCAATGGTAGCTTGGACTACTCTATGGGGGATCTCTTCTTTTTTGGCTCTCTGAAAGTACAGTTCAGGATAACAATGCAGCCAGTAAGCTATTTGGCCAATGTAGAAGAATTTGAGCGAGAAAGACATTGAAGCTGGATATTCATTCCATAAAGCAGGTATATTAAATATAAAGCGTTCCCTAGAAAATTAAAAGCATAATAAATAAACAATTTACATTATTATGCAGTAAAAGAAAATTAATAAAAAACTAATTACCTGACTATAATATCAATACCCCAAATAACAGATAAGGCATAAAATATAACAAGCTGGGCAGATTCATTGAATTTGGAGAATTTACTCTTGCTCAAATGCAGACGCTTTGAAATTTTCTAGAATTATTGGAATATAAATAAATAGTAATAGTTATTATTTAAAGAAATGATTGTTGAAAGAGACTATCGAACACTTACATCAAAAACATATTCTTGAATAACAGCATGCATAACAATTGTGATCAAGAAATAAAAGAAAACTGCACAAGCATCCTTCAATCCAGTTGCATATTTAGTAGGCTGCTGAGGTACAGTTCCATCCATAGAAATCAACGAAGAAACATTATGATGGATGGCAATGAAAGTATATGCCCATGGTGATGTGACCTGTTGATTAAAAGTATAGATGAATTAAAATTTTGCTTAAACAAGTGAACAGATTCATAGCAATCGATATCAGTAAGTAATCTATCAAATTACAATGGAACTTGTAAAAAATATGAACAGTTATTGTAGTTTCTTAGCTTAACATATGGAAGCTGCTGATCATCAAACTACTTGAAAGATTTAAAAGTTTATAACACAAATTTACTTTGAAACTATTTCCTCAAAGCTAAAATAATTCGACTAAGTTAATTTTGTCCAAAAATTTTTAAATTATTATGAATTGTAAGGAAACAAGTGAAAATATACAAATAAATAAATGGTTTGAAATTTACGTTGGTGATGGAGTAAATACCAAAAGAACTGAGTTTTACAGAGGGAAACCAAGTTGCAACACGAAAAGGGTATTGGCAAATGAAAGTAAACGTAAAGTTTCTCGCTAGCGTTTGACGTAGCGTGTGTACATACCTGTACCATAAGCCCAACGACGAAAATCATCGCTACGCAGGAAACGATATCCGCGTGGTTTTGAATAACAAACTCGTGGCTCATGATCGGTGGGTTCTTATTAGAACTTTTACGACCCTTGATAGCCACCATCCTGCTGATCTTGAAGTCTAGGTGATGCGAATAAAAGGAATGACCTGGAAGACTCGTGTACGTCTGCCCGGTACTCGCGTACTACACACAAGACTGAGAGAGAGAGAGAGAGAGAGAGAGAGAGAGAGAGAGAGAGAGAGAGAGAGAGAGAGAGAGAGAGAGAGAGAGAGAGAGAGAGAGAGAGAGAGACAGGTGTCTTCCAAGCGTTCCTTCTCTTTCTCGCTTGTTCGTTCGGTTCCGTTCGGGTTGCGTGACGTGCCACGCCACCACTCCAAAACCAGCCGCCACCGGCCACGAGCACATTAATAACGGAGACATTGCCTTTTTTTCTGAACGACTTTTTTAAACTTCGATACCGGTATCTCTATTCTTTGAATCTGCGTGATTTTAAATTGCATAAATCGAATTGATACTAACTGTAAACTATGTGTTTGCTATATTGCCTCTGATATACTTGAACAATAAGTTGTGTACCATCCAAATGTCTATAATTGTTTAACTTTAATTTTCTTTGACAATGAATAATTTACTATATCAAAAATCTTTGAAAATTATACGCTTACTCACACCTAAATATTTTTGAAAATAAAACAAAACTATTTTAAAATTAAATTGATGGCGCTGCATACCGATAAAGTTCCTATATAAACTAGTATATAAACTAGTATATATATAGTATAGTTGTATCAGCGTTTTGGCTGCGTTGGAATGGCTGGAAAGGTTGCGTCTAGGAATCTATAGTTAGGGCAGAGAGAGATAGAGACACACTAACGAACACCTAACCTAGCAATGCTAAGTTACACATGGGCTGTTGAGCGATAAATTATTGTGTTATCAAAAAACTTGCTAAAATGAAATTAACAATGAATGTTGAAAAGAAAAAAGTTGAAAAATTCAATTGTGAGTTTTTCAATTATAATATTAAACGTTTAACAAGTATTTATTAATAGCTTAAGTTTATATTTTGATTTTGAAATTAATGAAACACTTCTTTGATTTAGCATTATGGATTAAATATGACAGTTTCAGTTCTGATAGACATCAGTTATTTCTTAAAGAACACTCTATAAGAAACCAAGATCCAAAATATCCTAGAGGAAAGACATTATTTATTTTGAATATACCACCCTATGCTACATCTGAGTCAATTGCTAAAATATTCAATGATTCTTGTGGACCAGTACATTCAGTGACTTTTATAGATAATCAAGATAATAAAAACAAAGGATTTCAAAATGCATATATAGTTTTTACACGTGATGCCAATTTGAATAAAGCATTATCACTTCAACCAAAACATACTTTTGTATTGAGCACTAATGATTCACCAGTATTAACTGGAATTAACAGTAAGTTTTCAATAAATTATCTGCCTATGTAATGTTTGAAAATTTATTTATTACTAACTTTATTTCAGAATGGTGTAAAAATTATAATGACTCTATACAAAAAGAAGGTGAAATAAAAAGTTTAGTAGAAAACTATATGAAAAAGTATGATGAGAAAATAACTGAACAATTAGAAGATGAAAAAGCTGCTGGTGAAACAGTTGATGATGAAGGGTGGACTACAGTTGTAGGTAGAAAGAAGAGAGGTAAATTTGCACTAGCACGAAAAGAATCTACAATTCAAAAAGTTAAAGACAGAGAAGAAAAGAAACCTCCAAAAGCATTAAAGGATTTCTATGCTTTCCAAATAAGAGAAGCTAAAAAACAGAGTAGGTTTAACAAAATTGTATTATTTTTTATAAAAAAATTCTTTCTTTACTTAAAATTCTATTGTATATTTCAGATTTAGCAGAACTACGTAAGAAATTTGAACTTGATAAAAAGAAATTAGAACAAATAAAATCAAAAAGAAAATTCAAACCATTTTAAACTACAAATTACTAAATCAAAACTGTAAAATTTGTATTGATAACTTTTTTATATGTAACTAATTTTGTACAAATATTTACCTACTGTAAATAAATTTAGGGTTTAAGCAGCTTTGGACGTATAAGTTTGTAAAGTCCATTCAATTAAAAAGTGTTGGTATGACAGAGGCTGCAGAAGAGCTAGTAGTTCCTCTAAAAAAATAATATAAATTTTAAACATTACTAAACACAAAATTCTGTTTATAATAAACTTGTTGCTTACGTTTATTTCCATATATACAATTTGCAGACATTGCTGCACTAACTGCTTGAGCTAATCTTTCCATTGAAAGATCTTTCGCTGAAGTATCCAAATTTGGGTTTGAATGTAAAATCGCAGTCAAAGCACGAGCTGTTGATGCAAAATGTTGTGCAGAAATTGCATGTTTATTATTTCCACTACTTTTTAATCTTAAAACTGAATCCATTAAAAGTTGTTGAATCTTTGAGTAACATTTTTGCTGTTCCTCATGATCTAAATTATCTGAAGGAGGTCTCAGTGGACTTAAGATTGACCATCTATGAGAAAAAAAAGACAAATATGTTATTTAGACTTAAATATAATGAATGTTTATTAAATATTAGAAGATACACTATACTCAAAATATAGTGCATTGACCCTTATAGTGAAAGTATGGTAAAATTACCTAAAAAGCCCTGCTATCGGTGTGATAGGAGTCATGGGTATACCACCCGTAGGTAAGGCTGGATTATCCATTAAAGATGTTAATAACAGACTTGGATTATCATTTATCCAGTCCCCAATCAGTTTCAGTAATTCCGTTGGAGGATTTTTATCTTTATAAACTTCTCCAATAGCTGTTAATAAATTAGCAGTGAAATGTGGTACAAGATTTGGAAGCTGCTTTAATCTGTCAATTGAATTAGGAACAAGAACAAAATAATCATTCAAGATGTGTTTTGCTAATCCAACACTCTGAGGTGAAGTTGAACCCAGTTGCTGCATCCAAATACCAGCTGCATTTAATACAGCTTTACTTTGTGCAGCTATTGCTAGTGAAACTAAATTTCCTAGAATTTTGTGTCTTGGAGTCTCAGCTGGATATAGAGATAAAAATACTGCATTTCTGACAGCTGGACTTCCACCAGGACTTTCAAAGAAGTCACTGAGAATTTCAATCAGTTGTAATTCCTGTATTGCAAATTGCTGATTACGCTTTTTGCGTTTCTCTATTTCTCCAAAAACAAATTCTGACATCAAATCCATTTGAAGATCCATTTGTTTTCCTGGTCTTCCACATAACTGTTCTATAAATTGAAAAATAAAACAAATTTTATTATTTCTAATTTTAAAAGCTAGTTTTGACATAAATTTTATATATAAATTGGAGAATCAATACAACCATATGCAATGTATAAAATTAGAAACAAAGGTAAATATAAAAAGTTACATTGACGTAAATAGAAAAAAATATGTATAATTTTTATTTAATACGATCGTTAGAACTAAAAGGTTATTATTGTGTGTACTTTATATGCTATTGATATCATTTATCAAAATAAGAATGCTACCAAAAATTAAAAAAGACCAACCTATTCGACATAACGCTTCTCTAGCACAATAAGGAAAATCTAATTTTCGCAAGGACTGTTTAATCTCATTTGCAGCCATTTACGATCACTGTAATACTGATAAAAGCGATTGGAGATGGGTCTAATGAAATCAAAACAAACTATGGTCCTCCAAGTCGACACCCACTTAAGTTAGGTGCAAAACAGCAGTTGCCAACTCTGAATAAGTTTTTTTCAAAATTAAAAATCTTTGATTGTAAAAAGAGTTAACTTTTACGAACAATATTAAGATAAAATCAATATTCTTAAAAATAGCTATTAGTAAACCTACGTATTCTGATTTTTTATATAAAAAAATTCATTTTTTAAGAGTTGAAAGTTGAAGGTGCAAAGTTGTAAGCCCTGCAGTACAAAGTCAGTCGATTACTTCAAAAGAGACGAGAGCAAAGATGGACTCTTGAGAAATTGGCACGACAAGTACGAGCGTGTGGTTTAAGGTGGATTGTCGAGCGATTCAAAGTCGCCCTGCTCCTCAGTAATAGTTTGGCTGACAAGTGTGACCATCCGATCGATCTGAGATGATCGTACAAGAGCCAGTGCAGGTAATGTGAGCAAGTTATTCGTTTGAGCAAATGCACTTATGACGTACATGAGAGCAAGGCAACAGACTCTCCTTAGTGCATCTTCTTGCTAATATATTGACATTTGCTTGATATTACTCGTTACGGCACTTCTTGTTTATTGTTTTATTAATTTGTGGTCTTTCTCTACTGTTTTAACATCTTGATTTATGTTTCCTACTGCCTCTTTATCGATTTTACTAAAAAAAAACAATTTAAATATTGTTTTGTTTTTTGCGAAGAACGTGTAGAGTGGACGACGTTCATTGTCCAGACTTATCAAAGTTTGATACCGTTTTGATTTTTTGCTTTTTGACATTACACGAAAAGCACAAGTTAATCATTTCGTATTATATTTTCAATGTCTTCTCTTTGTATTTTCATTAAATAGTTCTTTCATGTAAATGAGCTAAATAATTTGTTGCATTAAATTATTTAAAACGTGATTTATTTATTAACATTTTTATTAAATAAGTACAACCGAAATTTCTGATTCCTGTACAGGCTGCCATATGGCATTGCTTAAATCATTATGCATATCCAGATGCAATTTTCCTTGCTGAAAGGCTATTTGCAGAAGGTGAGGTACATTTTACAATTTTTAGAGCTGAACTGTGAATAATTTTAATTATCATTTTAGTGGATAATGAAGACACACTCTTTCTTCTTGCAACTTGTTATTATCGATCAGGAAGAGTCAGGCAAGCTCAAGCTTTACTTGCAAAAAGGTCGCTAAGTTCTACACAATGTCGATTTCTTCTTGCAAAGTGTTGTTATGATTTAGAAAAGTATGCAGAAGCTGAGGCAGCAGTTGTTGGTGGTTATTACAAGCAGATAAAGAATTTTGATGAGATAATTAATCAGTTTGGTGATGAGGCTTGCTTTTCACTTCAGATTTTAGCCAAAATATATTATAAATTGACAAGAACTTCAAAAGGGAATGATGCCCACAGACTAGCTCTAAAAATGAATCCTTTTCTTTGGCATTCTTTTGAAGAGTTGTGTAATACTGGTGAAAAAGTTGATGCAAGTAAAATATTTCAATTAGATAAATTAGATAGTTTATCATCTTGCATTGGAAGTACTACAGTTTATTGTACACCGGAGCCAGAATTCATAGTCCCTAATATCAACACACAGACTACTCCAGCAAATAACTGCAACAATATGTAAATTTGTTTTACAAAATGGTTTATGTTCAGTGATATTAATTTTTGAATGATTTTTGCAGGACACCAACTTCAGGAACAAATGGTATATCAGCAAATACTAGGCTACATTTATCAATAGATGAGAGCCCACAAAATTTGTCAAACAATTTTAATTCTTCGACTGCGTCTCCGCGCGGAAAATTTCCTCGTTATCGAAGTATGTTCAGCAATTCAATGAGTCCTTTGACGCCAAGTTTTGGAATTTTACCATTGGACATGAATACCCCAGAACCTCCGACTCTGCCGACATATGCAACGCTAACCGAATCCAATGACCAAAAAAGTTTAGCTAAACGTGTTAGTACCATAAAAGCTCACGTTGGGGTAAACAAATTTTTAACAACTAAATTACGTAAAATTTCCAATTTAAAGTATTTATACTTTTAATAACCCGGATGTATTTACAGCAATTGATGTCAAGAAAAGAAACTCCTCTGCAACAAGGAAAATTAGTGTTCTCTCAATCAGGCAATACTAGTAACACTGCTAACATTGTCTCAGTAACTCCAGTAACTCCTATACCTCCACAACCTACACTTCAGGGTCCTAATGTAAGGAGATCATCAAGACTATTTAGTCACAGTTATTCTGTAAAAGTAAGTATCTTGTAACTTGAAAGTTATTGAAAAATATTTTATGTATAGAACATATACCATTTATATCGTTGTTCAGGAAAATAATAAGTCTCCAAATCGAAATAAGTTTACCACTCCAAAATCACCGTCGCGTAAGACGAAAACAAGACTGTCGAAATCTAATCTTAACAAAGCTAATTTTAATGATTTGAACGAAAAGAATAAGAATGAAAAAGAAAAAACCGAAACAATCACATCGGATAAAGTCGCAAACACTAATGCTTTCAATCAAAGTAATCATTCAAGTCCAGTAGTTATTCAAAAACAATCTGCAGGTGAAGAATTTATTCTACGCAATATGAGTTTTAAAAATATAATTTTGGATCATTTAATAATGACGAAATCTTACTTTTTTGCAGAAGGATTAATGAATTTATTAAAAGAACTTGGAGAGGCATATCAACATTTATGTCAATTCAATTGTATGGAAGCTGTAGAAATACTAAGCGTTTTACCAGGACACCACTATAATACTGGTTGGGTACTGTCCATGCTAGCAAAAGCACATTTTGAAATGATTGACTATAAAAAATCAGCTAGGTATAAGATGATTTATACCTCACTTTAAAATATTCAAGTGATAAGATTAAGAGTTTTTCATTCACTGATTTTTTACAGTTATTTTGCACAAGTCAGAACGTTAGAGCCCCATCGAATCGATTTAATGGAAATATATAGTACAGTGCTGTGGCATCTACATGCCGAGGTGCAACTTTCGACATTGGCTCAAGATCTAGTAGCAGAAAATCGAAATTCGTCAGCCGCCTGGTGCGCAACTGGCAATTTATTTTCAGCTCAAACTGAACACGAAACCGCTATTAAATTCTTTCAGAGAGCTATTCAAGTGAGTACCATAATTTTTTAACGCTGAATTAAATCAAATCATTCAAACTTTAATTTCAATAAATTAATTAAGGTCAATCATAATTTTCCGTACGCATACACACTTCTTGGTCATGAATACGTGATAACTGAGGAATTGGATAAGGCCATTACGGCTTTCAGAAACGCTATCAGACTTGATCCCCGTCATTACAATGCTTGGTACATAAATCAGTTAAGAATGAATCCATTTTTTTCTAACTATATATAAATTTTATTTTTATTATTTAACAGGTTTGGCCTGGGAACTATTTTCTCTAAACAAGAACAGTATGCCTTAGCAGAGCTCCACTTCAAAAGAGCATTGCATATAAATCCTCGTAATTCCGCGATAATGTGCCACATAGGTGTCGTGCAACATGCCTTAAAGAAAGTTGATCTAGCTCTAAAGACTCTAAACAAGGCTATCGAAGACGACCCTAATAATACTCTCTGTAAATTCCATCGAGCTAGTATCAATTTTTCTATTGGTCGAAATACAGAGGCTTTAAAGGAATTCGAAGAGTTGAAGAATATTGTACCCAAAGAGTCACTAGTCTATTATTCTATAGGAAAAGTAAGATTACTGAAATATTGAAATAATAATTTCAGGACGCACTTTGAGCTTGTATTTAAATTATATCATGCTTTCAGATTCACAAAAAATTAGGAAATACTCATCTTGCTTTGATGTACTTTAGCTGGGCTACGGATTTAGATCCAAAAGGTGTGAATAGTCAAATCAAAGAAGCTATTCTTAGTCCTGGGCAAGGTGAAGAAGAATCTCTCATAACTCAGTCAGGTAAATAATATAAAAGTTAAAAAATACGGTCATAACTCGATTTCCACTTACGTATCAAAACAATGAACAAATTTTTACAGTCGATGAACCTACGAACAATAGTTCAACGGAGCAAGAAGGTGAAGCAAGTGGCGAGGTGAGCGGTGAAGGTAGTAACGTTGCCGATAACGCGGCGTCTGATGTCCACGCGGAGGACAGCGACGATAGCTTATGAAGTTTAGAAGAGGAAAACTACGAAGTTCGTTATATGAATTGGCAATGACTGGACGTACTAGTACGTAAATTGATAAAAAAAGTCGATCCTCTCAGACAAAATTACTAGTACTCTTATTGAGTGTTGGACATAAGGCTATTTTATAGATATCGCAATTGTCGTATAAAGCCTTGTTCAGCAGGAATTAGCGCCTCTGTTAATGTCCAACTGATGTTTTGTTTTTTTTATTTTTATTAGCTTGTCTTGTCAAATTGCGTTTGGAAAAATCAGTCCACTCGCCGAAAAAGATGAGAAAATCACAAAAAAATAGTTAAGTAATAACAGTTTTGAATTACGTGGTTGAGTAAAGCTGAATTTTGTGTAAATGTAAATTATTATTATTATTACTATCGATATATATTTAGTTGATATTATATGTTAGATTGAAAAGAATGTTTGGCGAGTTGCGCGATCAGTCTCATTCGGGATATTGATAAATGAGAATAATCACGTAATATCCCAACGCAAACGAACGTGTAGAACCAATGAATGTTTAACGACTACGTTCAAATGTGAGGCGGTACATCAAACTAAATAATAATTCGTAGTGTGAGGGCAAGAAAGAAAAGTATGTGTGAATGAAAACGTATGGAACCAAAATATTTAGTTCCTTTAAAGATTGACTGTTAAACTAAGCTTTTTGTAGAATATATACAATTAACCGGCGTAGATTTCTCGTGCTTACATCAGTTTTAGAAATATAGCTTTGATATACATTATAAATAGTCAACTCGGATAACTTTCTGCTCCTTTTTTTCAACAGACACCATTTAAGCCGTACTTCAAATGAGTTATAATATACTGGCTGATATTTATATATATATATAGCAACAGTTTGAGAGACATGTGGTTTTTTTTTTCGTTACGAAATAGTTTAAAATGTTGTTTCATTATACATAATTTTATTTCTTTATACATTCAAAGCATTTATCCTGAATCTTCGAAAAGTGTAATCTCAATGCATCAAATTAATGTGTACATTTTCACCGAGTACCATCGCTAAAATGTTTACTTGCAATTGCAATTGGAAAAATGAAGTAGTTTTTTTATGATGGGCGAAAAATTAAACTTTTATAAGTGAAATGAATTGATTAGATGCTCTTTGTATATTCATTACAAGCCAAGCTTTAATGTGTGTTATATACAAAAAGTCGCAGTACGAAAAAAACGAATATTTCAAATCTCCAAAGTGATTCTGCTTGAAAAGTATTGATATAAGCGAAAAACTCTCGCTGGGAATACGAAGCCGTGCAATGAGATTCAGAAAGCAGTTAAATTGGAAAAGTAACATAAGATGATATTGATTGTTTTGTAGAATATTTTTTTTACATCCAGGAATGAAGTTGAGCATAACTGCCATAAATTTCTGACTTTTGTCCCCATTTTGAGGGCATCTCTTAAAACTGGTTCTATTTTAATGCTATTTGCCAATCTTCAAACAGTGCGATTTATTCTTGTAAAGAGGTATTATACCTATATATGTGAATTAAAACTCGTGATATAAATATATATCATACAAAAAGAAATAACAATTCGAAATGAATGTAATCCTCCTAAAATTTCCACGAAGATTATTTAGATTATCACGAAAAAATATTCACATTTGATTTATAAATAATTTTTCTCACAAATTAGTGCGCGTGATTTATTTGTCGCTTTTCTTATCTAAATTTTAATAAGATAAGCATCTAAAACATTTATGCAAACTTTATCTGAAATGTTATCTGGAACGAAGTAAAAATATGGCGAGGACTAGATTTGCCTTGCATCCGATGAAAACGATAAAGGCGCTATCATCTTGTTTAGCCAGTCGCCGTAATTTGATAACGAGGTCAGCAAGTACCCGCTGGAAGCGCTGAGCAGTAGCAAACTGAAAAGGCATTGGTAAACATGGGTGAAAAATACGTCGAAACCGGTATAAATTGCGCTGCTTTGACGCACTCAAATGACGAGCCTGCGTAATGGTTTCCCTTGCTTTTCATTGAATTGCATTGTCCGTTTCAAGTGTTGGGTCGAGCGAAGGCGTCCGAGCTGGGAATAACGTTAACTCACGAGCACTTGGCTCTCGACTTTGACAAGTTCTACGTACCGGCTCCGCAGCTTTTGGAGGAATTCGTCGGCGATAAAATTAATCTGAAGAATGTCGGCGTGCTCAAACAGTATCCGTAAGTGAAGCAGTTGTTCGATAAAACTAACCTAGAGATTTTCAAAGCGACAGCTGGCCTTATTGTTCTTTCGTAACTAAACGCCCACGATGGCTCGGTACTTGTGGCAAGCGCAGCTACAGCAGCAGGTACAACGTGCGTTTCAACGACGCCGACAGCGCGAGCGCGATACTGGAGGACGTGAGGTTCTACAAAAAGAGCGGCGGCGGCACGATCGTCGAGAATACCAGTCACGGCATCAAGCGCGACCTTCCGCTGATGCAGAGAGCCAGCCGGGAAAGCGGCATCCACGTGATCGCCGGCACCGGTAGGCGCGTTTTTGCAATGCCTCCCGCGATCACGCGCGCGCGCTTACGATCGGCGCGGAAGGAGAGCGAGTAACAGTCGCGGCGAACGCGCTTTTCAGGCCACTACGTCGCTCTCACGCAGGATGCATCTGCTCTCGCCGCCACGGAGGAGCAAATGTACAATCTGATGAGCCAAGAGCTGACCGTCGGCTGCGAAGGCTGCCCGTCCGTCAAAGCTGGTTTCGTAGGCGAAGTCGGAAGCGCCTGGCCTATCGAAGGTATATTATATGTGCCTCCCTCGTTTCGTTTCACTTGAATGGCAATACTTCGACGGCGACCGCTGGAATGTGTAGATTTCGAAAGAAGAGCCATCAGAGCAACGGCACAAGTTCAGGAACAGCTGAGATGCCCCGTGAGCTTTCACCCTGGCAGAGATCCAGCCGCTCCGTTCGAGATCATGAGAATCTACCTGGAGGCTGGGGGCAACGCCAGCAAGGCCGTCATGTCTCACTTGGACAGTACGTCAAAGTGTCGTCGATCGAGAGTCGCCGTCAATGACGCTTCACCTCCTCGTTCTGCCTCATTTTGCCTCGCGCAGGAACTTTGCTGAGAAACGAGGATCTTCTCGAGTTCGCGCAACTGGGCAGCTACTGCCAGCACGATCTCTTCGGCGTTGAGTGCTCTTATTACCAGCTGCACACGCCCACCGACATGCCGTCCGATGCCCAGCGCATCGATCGAATGGGGCTTCTGAAGGACGAGGGCAAGCTGGCGAGCATTCTGATGAGTCACGACATCCACACGAAGCATCGCCTGGTACGATTCCGAGCGCACCGGCGCCCGCGGTAATTGAACTTTAACGAGGCGCGCGTTTGCTTTTCAGATGAGCTTCGGAGGCCATGGCTACGCCCACATCGTCAACAACGTGCTGCCGAAAATGCTGCTCAAGGGCTTCACCCAGCGAGAGATCGATACGATTACGATTGGCAACCCGAAAGCTTGGCTATCCTTTGATTGATTGGTTCTGTTATGACGCGCATGGCTTCTTGTCCGTCAATAAAGCAACATGATTTTCCACGCACGTCTATACTGCTTCGCGCTTTCTCCGCGCACTCGTCCCCATATAGCGATCGCAATTTGTTAGGCGCACGGCGACGCAGCTTACTTACTGTCGGACTCGGTGCCGCTGCGTTTATATCGCGTACGTGTTCGCGCGCCGGTTTATAGGTGACCTCGGAAATCATGTCTCGGCGAACAATCCGACGATCGATGCACGGTGGCTGGGCCGATTGGCAAAGTGCTCGTCCGATGCCGACCGCCGACGCCGATACGGAGGAAGGCAGCTCGGAAATCGAAGCGTCGCAGCCGATCGACATCCGCGCTCAGGCACGTCTTTAAATTTTGATTGGCGTTCGACTGGCGGCGACAGTTTAATGTACTCCCGGTCAATAATCAGCCCCATTTGTAGGCCGACATCGGTCAGTGAGGCTTTATGCGAGAACTATCGATCTGGCTCGCTTAAGGCCGCGGGTAGGCATCGTCGGCCACGGAGCCACGCGAGCCACGCGAGCCACGCGAGCTACGACGTGCCAGCAGTTATTAATACAGTCATGGTTGTTCAAATTGTCGCTCCTTCACTCGCGCGGATCTCACAACTATGCGTAATGCTGACGTGATTTGGCTGATTGTCGCCTGTTTGCTCATCGATCGGCTGGACGCGAGAATAGTCAATGGGCAATTAGCCACGCACCAGGTAATCGATCCTTTCTCTAGCGTGCTTCTCCTAAGTTTTACATTATTTACTGCGCTGCTCCCGTCATTCGCTCGCTCGACCATCAAATCGCTCTTCCATCCTTCTCTTTTTAGAACTGGGCTTTCTTATCGCGATTCTGTTTTCTGTCAGAGAAAGGCAAATTTCAATACGACTTCACCATTGGCAATGGCGACACGGAAGTCAATTTATTGCTGTACTACGACAGTCCGAATCAGTGGCCAAGCGTGTACCCCTCCAACAAAACATGCGAAGAAAAAGAATCTGTGCTTAGAAAAGATCTCGGACAAATCGTGTCACTGTCGCCCTACTCTACTTTTACCGAGGTTTCTGGCTGCTCCTTTACTACGCACAACAAAACGGAAATACGCTGCAAGAGCTACCGAGAATTTCGCTCCTCCAGACCACGCTGGTGGTTCATAGCTTTGTCCAACTGCTACTCTAATTCTGGACTGAATATCACTTTTTGGATATCCCTGACCAATGCCGAACCTGGCACCTTTTGGAGGGAACACTTTTCAGCAGACGAATTTTGTAATTGTGCATTTAAACATCTCATTACTGCATTTACCTTCGGCAGAAACGTGCATTTAATATACAATCCTTTTCAGATATTCTACCAGAACTAATATGTGGATCTTGTATATACATTATACTTATAGGCTACAGTATCTATGTGGCATTTCAGTTACACACAAGAAGACTTTTACATGTGACATACAAACTATTTATGTTATCCTTAATTGCTCAACTGCTTGGACTTCTCTGTCAAATGTACAGTTACATTAATAGAGCTTTAAAGGGCTATGATCTGAAGGGGGTAGCTCTTATGGGAAATTTGTTTGAAGCATGTTCAGAAACATGCTTTACCATGCTACTACTTTTGATGTCACTGGGATACACAGTTACTAAAAGTGTATTGACTATGGTAGAAACTTGGAGACTAAGTACTTTTATAGGGGCATATATTTCTTTGCAACTACTGCTCTTAATTTATGAGTCTGAAGCATTTGATCCAGGACTAGTTTTATATATTTATGAATCACCTCCAGGTTATGGTTTATTGGCCTTGAAAGTTATTGCATGGGTGGTATTTGTAATATGTTGCTATAAAACTAGTCAAAATATTTCAACAAAATTTCACTTTTATGGTTCACTGTTATCACTTGGGTCTGGATGGTTTCTTTGTCAACCATTAGTGGTAAGAATTTTTTCTTTCTTATTTTGGAATTAACAAATAAGGAATGAAAGCTAAAAAAATTATGATTGCAGGTTCTTACTATTACATTCTTAGTTGATAAATGGGTAAGAGAAAGTGTTGTTAAAGGATGCACCCTTTGGGTTATATTTGTGGGTCACATAACATTTCTTTATGTAACACGTCCATCGTCAGCTAATAGTAATTTTCCTTTTCATATACGAACATGTCAAGTAGTTCCAATAGGAGGTGACGGACAGGCACATAGTTATGAACCTCAAACAACAACTCCTATTACACTTTTCACCTTATCACAATCCCCACAAACTATTTCTACTATCTCAAGATAATAATGAATCAATATTAAATAATGTTATATTAAGTCTATTATTTGTGTATGAACTAATTATTTACACTTTTCATAAAATGTGAAAACTATGTATAAAGTCAAATATAAATATTTACTTATTTACAGTAGAAAATTTCTTTTTGCACCTATTCATAGTCATTCATTTGTGCAATAGTAGCAGATTTTTGCAATTAATCACAAGAGCCATCAAGCCAACCATCTCTCCATCTTTGATTAACTAATTTACAATCAAATATAGGTTTACCTAACTTTATATTGACTTCATTGTGAATTTCACAAAGCCATTGACTTAGCTGATGTCGAGAGTCAGTTCTAGGTGGTGACACTTTTAACTGCTCTTGTAAATCTCCTGCACAAATATGGCAGGGATAGAACTGTGATAATAGGTGAAAAAACGTTTTCATATCTTTTCTCTGTTCTGTTGATGGATTTTTTGGATAATAAGCTGCCATTGTATGTAGAAATGACCATGTATTAGAACCTAGAGAATCCCTGTCCAAGGGACAGTCTTTTCTTGCATCCACTGTTGTTTCAACAATATTTTTATTGTCAGTTTTCGATTTTTCCTGCTCTGACTCCTAAAAAATATAAAAATTTCAAATATTACTCACTCAATAAATTTGTAGATATCATTGCGTCATCTGCTCTCAATACAAACTTTTTCAGCATCCATGGCTTGTTTCTGCATTTTTGCCCACGATTTGAAGTCAGAGCAAGTACGACAAGGTTTTCTAGGTTCCATCGTGCTCATAAGTAACCTTATTTAACCAATAAAAACTCCTAATAACTTTTAATTACACTCACGTTAGCCGTTTGTCGTACACCTTCTACTAGAGCTCTGCTTGCAGACGACGCTGCGCACATGACATGACGCGACTAACCTAACTTTTGTATTTCGTACTCTCTATTCACCAATATACATAGTTTACGCGTCGTCCGTTGAGTCGGTGCTGTGTTTATTGGGATGAAATGTGCATCTTGACGTGTGATTTTATATATTTTTTATGGTAAATATGTTGTAAATATGTGGGCTTGATGCGAAATAGAATTTATTTTTTCTTGTGAAACATGGATAATACGGAATTGCTGTTTTTTGATACATTCTCTCACGATATATCAGAAGTAAGAATTTACCAATAAGTAGTATTATAGTTTACGCTTTTTGAAATATGTTTTTTCATATAATATTCTTTCTTAGGAGCTAAATTTGGACTTAGTTCAGTTCCCTAAGCCAGTGTATATAAGTGAAATAAGAATAATTCCTCTAGGAGCTAGAGTACAAGCTGATTTCCCTGGTGGAGTTCGCCTTGGGTAGAAAAACATTTGCTCTTTTCTTCATTGACACTTACAATTGTTTTTGATTCACTCAAGAGATAAAATAATTTTCTTTAATATTTTAGGGCAACTAATCCATCACAATTTGAAATAGAATTTTTCGTTAATGATTTGAGTAAGCCAGGAGCTTCAACATTTGAATCCCTTGGTGGACTAGAATACAAACAAAATGTTCACATTCAACTAGAGTGTGATAGAAAACATTTGCCAACAGATGGTTTGGTTCTAAGAGGATGGTACACAACAATAACTTTGGCTGTATATGGATCTTTAACAAAATCTCTTAGTACTCCGCCAGAAATTCCAGCTCCAGCACCTGCTCCAACAGCTCCTGTTCCAGTACCACAAGAGGAGGTACCAGTCAATATTAGTCGAACTTCTGATCAAGAGCAAGAGTGGTATTATGAAAATAAAGGACACACTAATGCACAAGTAAGTAAAAACAATCAATTACATCATTTCATCATTTGAAGAAATCGAAATTTTGTGTGATAAATTTGAATTATTTTGATTAGAAATCACAGGAAACGAGTGCAGTACCAACTCCATCTCCACCAGTTCATGCCGAACCTACGAGAACTTCATCAGCTGAGCCACCAAAATCAGAATCTCAACAATGGAAAGAAGGATCACCCCACTCACATAAAAGTGCAAAGCGGCCCACAACTCCACCTACAGAATCCTTGGTTTCACTCAGTCCTGAATCGATTTCTGCAGAAGAAGAAGAAGGAGAAAGAGAAGAGACTGAAGAACAAGGTGCAATAGAGCCGTTTGAGCCAATTCTATCAGATGAAGACGTTATGGCAGATGATGAACCACCTCCTGTAGATATAGAATATGAAGCAATTGATGCAGATGAACTTTATGGTATTCACCCTCCAGATCTATTAGAAATAGAAAAACAAGAACAATCGTTTGAAGAGAAAATTGATGAAAATGTTGTACAAAAACTGAAAGATGTGATCGGCTTATTGTCAAAGTCTGTCTCAAATTTTAATAGTGCCACTGGACAAGAGAAAGAGATGTTTGTTCACAATTGTGAAAACTTGTGTGCAACTTTAAAAAACTTTGTAACAGATTCGAAAGACTTGAAAAACTTGTCAAACATTGTTGAAGCAGGATTAAATGTTGAATTCGCATGTACACAACCGCAGCCAGCATATAAAGTGCGTCACGTGAAAGTTGGCGTGAGATTAGCCGAAGCTCTGTGTCGTCTGTCGTCGGGACCAGAGACCGTTTTGGAAGTAAAAGCGCCTGAAAAATTATTGTCGCTGTGCATGCGTGAAAACGTAGCTTTGCCTGTGAAATTAGCAGCCATCAGAGCTGTGGACGCTGCACTTATCAGTCCGAAGATTGTAGAAGAATTTTTAAAAACGGAAAATGAACTGTACAAACTGTGTCTGATGATGCTCGACTCTACAAAGCTTGCTAGATTGAAGTATGCTCTAAGTTCGTTGCTAAGGAAGATACATATTTATGAATGCTTGTCGGAGATAAAGGATTTAACCGAAGTCGTAGTTGTGGAATTAATGAAAGCGTACACTTATGCGCCCACGTTAATGGCTCAACCGAAACGTCAATTACCCGCTAGTGCTCAGATGGAAATTGAAAGGGAACAGAATCGCAATCCGCGTAAGCATTTGATTGCTTACTTTGACCATTGGAAACTCGCAAATCGTTTGCTCGTAGCTTTATGTTCACCTGAATCCGACATTAATTTAATCAAAGCATGTCGTGAGTTTGTGGCACTTCTTGCTGACACGAAAGAAGGTTTGCTATATTTGCTGAAGGAGGCAGAAATTACAAAATTATTACTGGAAGCTCTTAATTACAAGGAGAACGGGATTGGAAACGATATCGCTTGGCGTCTACAAGTCGTTCAGTGCTTGATGAGAATAACAAATCAAATGGATGACTGGACATCAATTCGAAAATTGCACTCTTTCCTTATTTTTCCTGAAGGATTGCAAGCAATTATCGACGTGGTTCCCTTGGGTACCTTTATTGATGTACTGATTCCCTGCCTCGCCAATAGCGACATTGCTGATTTCGCTGCTGAAATTATAGCAACGTGCATTCGTTACTCTAGCGAAGTGGATATTTTCCAAACCCGCGCGTCTAATTTATTAGATAAATACTCAAGCAATACAGTATTACGCGATGTGATTCCGCATTTGAACATTGCTTCTCAGAGTTCCAACTGGAATTACGGTGACGTTTCGTCGCTTGTTAGTATTCTCAGAAGAAATACTGATGTGGCTTCGACTCTTCCAGGTACGTTAAAATTTACCATTCTATATATTTTAAGCTACTTTCTGTTGAGCTTCATTCTAAAATATCATTTATTTGAAGGTGAACTGACAACGGTTTGTCGTATTTTACATTATCTGGTGCTTCCACCCCACGATGACGTAGATCCCATGGAACCGTACGTTGAATTGAAGCATCGAAATGCTCTAACGAATTTATTTGCCGCCGGTGGTCTAACAGCTCTAGTTGGAATTATGACTCATATCAGTCAATTTTATGAGCAACCTTTGCTTCATCGTGCTTCACTTACCGGACGGAGACGTTTGTCTCTGATCGCCTTGCTCACGCCGTGTGTAAGATTGACTCGGGCGATCCTAGAACGATTGGTAAAATGCATGGCAACCGACTTCAAAGACTTGACTGCAGTGGTTCCATTGCTTGGAGTTTATTGTCTCATTGAATCAATGCCTCAGAGCAATTCCAAATGTATGCTATCGAACGAGATTGTCGAAACGCTTTTGGTGTTCACTCGAGCAGTCGATTCCGACGGTTCTGGCAATGTAGCAAAGTCATTGTGGACGCAAATGCTTGGAGAAGTGTTGAAGATGGTCTCCTCTCATCCATTTAACTTTGCTCCAGGCTTGAAGCTACTCACAAAACTGTTGCCGCCTATCCTGACATCCAAGGAAGCCAGCTCTCAAGATAAAGCCCGCGTACTGGGTTTTAGAAAGCTCTGGTCGGCGCATCTGCAAGCTCAGGCAAGTAGCCTCACGGAAACTCTAAGGTATGTGATTAGCTTAGATGATTTCACATATTAAAAAATTCTTTAGTAACTAAATTATATTTGTTGTTTTATTAAAGGTTATTGTGTGCCAGTTGGAATACAGAATTGCTGTCGCTAGTCTCAAACGTATGCAAGCAGTTGAGTGACTTGGCTGCACCTACGGCACTGCTCGTTGGTCGTTGTCTGTTGGACGGCATACTCACTGCCAGTCCGCTAGAGAACCATTTGCCGATACTGGTCTTACTCACCGATTTGACAAGGCATGCACCTATGAAAGCGACTCTCTTGACTCTTACAAATCCTGCGTCTCGAGCACAAGTAAAATCTGATCAGAAATATCCTCCAGTTATTGAAATGATGTGCACGGCTTTGAGAAATACTAACGATGTTAACGTCCAAAGAGAGCTCGTTGATATTTTTGAAACACTTTGCGACTACAGGCTCTGCTTAGTTCAAGAGAGCCCGGAGTCATTGGATAAGCAACTGGCTCATTCAGTTCCCAGCAAAGAACCTTTGGTTGTGATTATCGCAGCCTTAATTGACATTCTCGCGAGTGCATCCAAGTATTCCATGGATATTGTGGAGACTGCCTTGAATATACTCTTGTCTTTAACTACTCACAATTACGGGCTTTATCACGTGAAAAGTTGTTTGGAAAATAATCCAGATGCTTTGAGAAACCTTCTTGATTACGTTGCGGAAAGTACGTTTTTATTTTTTAAATATTATTTGCCTTTTGTTTTTAATATTCAGTAAAATTTGTACATATATTTTCAGCTATATCTGAAAAAGAAGACCAAGAAAAGAATGAATCTTTACCAAAACTCGTAGTGGATTTTCTCGGCAGTTTGATTTTCTGCAAGACCCCTGAGAGAACATTATCTCTGCGAGTTCCTCAACTGTCAACGCTCTTATCTTGGGAAAAAGAAAATCATCCATTGCTAAAAATCACTCAAGCTGCAGAGCTAGTAGAGTCTCTGCATGTTGTCGAAGATAAAGAAGAAAAAGAACCAATTCCAGAAATGCTTGAGCCTTTACTTTTACCACCCGAGGCTTTATTAAATCAATTTACTCAACGGTCTATAGCACCACCGATTATCAACGATAAAGAAAAATTTAAGAAATCGCTTTTGGAAATACAAAATGACAATCCTGTAGATCTACTAGCATTATCTGCTGAACTTTTGCCGGCAGACTTCAATCTGCTGGCAGAAGCTCAGAGAATATGTTCAAAGGTGCCTCTTGATTTTACAATGCATACAAAGGAACAAGATGAAAATCAAGATAGGAAAATTCAGAAACAAACAACCGTCCTTACTACTAAAACGAAACAACCTTTCGGTGAATTTTTTGTTATAAAATATGTATTAATATAAAAGAGTTGTTCTGATTAATTGTTTCTTTTACAGTCGCACCTATGCGTGGTAGAAGCCAGTATTCTAACTCTATGCGTAGTAATTCAGTCAGTGGTGTAGGTAGAGGCGCTGACCCATTCCGTTCGCGGCCACCAAATACTTCGAGACCTCCGTCCCTACATGTGGACGACTTTGTGGCATTAGAAACTTGTGGAGCACAGCCGACTGGGCCCACAGGCTATAATAAATTGAGTATCAGGGGCTCCAGCCAGTCGAGAGGTGTAATTGCAAGTTCAAGAAGCCGGCCGTGGGCTCCTGAGACGAGACCATCGTACATGCGTTAATGAAATCGTAACAGCTGATTTAAGTAACGATATATTTTTTATTTCGGATAACAATTGTAGAAAAGAACATTTTTTATACAATTCAAATAAGTAATGTATATAATGTGTGATGACAAGATCGATAGTTTAACATGTTGAAATGACAATGTAATTTTATTATACATTTGAACTATGTACATGTATTTATGCATTTTTATTACTGTGCTCAACTACAACTTTCCTTCCCATATCTCCTTGCCAACTCTTAAATCTCAAATTAAACTTTGCAAAGCCGACTTTGAATCGTTCGCTTTCTGTACTTCGATGCTAGTGAAAAAGAAAAATACGCGTTTCAGTTATGGAATTCAATCGTCAATCGATTTCTGAAATTGATATTTAATTTGGTTCCTTACCTTTGTTTTTACAAGAGCCGACATGTTTTGTTGAAATGTGATCATCTTTTCGAATGTTTGTTCATCCAATCTTATTCTTTCATATTTCATTTTTTCCATCAATTCAAGTATAAAGGGAAAATCGCGTTTATCAAATGCACTAGTTAGCAAACTGTCAGCAATGTATTTATTCATTGTATGGCCTGTAGCTTTCATAGCATTTATTAAATTACGTGATTCATTTGAAGTAGAACATGAGAGGGCCAAAACACCATATGTGACAATGTTTGGTTTTAAATCAGCCCTATGAATTTCATCAAGGACAGCCTAAAAGTAATAGAATAATATCAAATTGAATGGATTTGATTTTTGTGTAATAATACCAACAATTTTTAACTTACTTTTGCCTCCTTTTTAGCACCACGAAGTGCTCGCTTTTTTATTAGCATATTGAAAAAATCTATATCTAAAGGTATTTTATTATTTTTAGCATGCTTTATTATAGTGTTTTCTGCTGTAATAGAAGGTGGTACTAAATCTATTAGATAAGTTACTGATTTAATGTTTGGCTCTACTCTGTCATTTTTCATTTTTTCTAAAAATCCTTCAACACCACCAAATAGAATTAATTTATTTTGTTTTAAAACTGCATCCAAATCAATATTAACAATTGACTCTGGTAAACTGTCATCATTTACGTTTGCAGGTAAATTATCAGTTGCATTTGATTTTTCAGATGAAGGAGCTTCTATTAATTTAGGTGTTTTGTAAATATTTTGTAAAGGTAAATTACTGAGAACTGGAGGATATATTAATAGATCTGGTCTATTATTATCAGTAACAATAACGGCACATTCTTCGTCTTTGAGCAGCAAGTCATTGACTGTACAATTTCCAAAATGACAATCTCGAATGGCTCTTAACAAAAGGTTATAACTAAATATAGTTGGTGGTACCTAAAAAATAAAAATGTTCGATTTGATATAGTCAATTTTGAAGTTTTATTACAATACTCAATTCACCTTTAATTTCCTCATCAACTGCCAAATGCGTACAACATATTTTAAACCAGATTCAGTATTGGAATTAGCAGCATACATTAAGCTGCATAAAGTTGATATTCCAATTTTCATGTTATTGTCTAACATCTTTTGTAACAGTTTATTAGCTTCATCAAGCTTGTGATGTTTACCGTAAGCTTTTATTAAAACATTATAATGAACCTGATTTATAGGATAGCTTGTTTTAATCATATCAATTTTTACTCTTTGTAAATAATTCAAGGCTTTTTCAGAATCAGGACTATTAGCACAGGCATCTAGTAGACTAGTATAAACATTTCCTTTAATTTTGTAATGCCTACATTTCATTTGACTATAATATTGATAACACTTTTTGATATCACCTTGCATAGCAAATGCTTTGATTAAAAGAGTAAACATATAGCTTGTAGGTTTATCTTTGTTTTGCTTACATTTCACAATCACATATTCTGCAAGTTCTAAATCTCCTTTCGCTACATGATTTTTAATCATTTCAGCATATTGACCTGCTGATGGCTTCAATTTTCTAGGTATTTTCACATTTATTTCTTTTAGTCTTTTCTCTTCTTTCAATTCTTCTGAATCCAAACCAACCTTTTCATACTTCATTCTACCAAGTAAACCAAATTCTTCATCAATTTCTGCATTAAGTGGCATTGATGTTAATGGTGGATATTCTATTGGCTTTGGTGCATCATTTAAATAAGTAGAAGTGAAAATATTAAACACTGAATCATACTTTATATTACTCAAAGCACAGTACACTGGTGTTTTTAAATTGTTCTTTTTTAAAGTATGAATGTGGGCTAACACTGAATAACTTTTCATACTCAAATCATATTTAAAGTAACTGTATGTTTTTGATATAAAGTTCATGAAATTCGTACTAGAACTAAGCTTAGAAGGAATCATTTTTATTTGATATTTCACCTTAAACGTAGTTTTTGCGTATTTGTTTTTTGGATTTTTAGGTTAAACTACCGGCATTATATTTTGCAATGTAAAGCTTCCTAATGTTGATATTTTTACCAATTAGTATTAGAAGAAAATAAAATGCAACGTACAAGATGATTATATTGTCATTTTTCAACTAATAAAGCTGGTAATTTCAACTTTATTGTTAAACACGAGATCCATTTAATCACACGATGCGTAATATATTATGACTTCATATATATGTCTCCGAGCCCAACACGCCGAGTACTGAGTGCATACTATACCTCAGTGATGACTCCTTCCTTCTGTTTCACGTGCTCACTGCTGTGCTGTGTGCGATTTGACTTGCGAGTTGCGAGATGAAACGAGCGGAGTCTTCTGCTCGCTCAGCTTGTTACGAGAATTTAGATTATGCGATGCGAAAAGTTATTTTTTTGTTACTTGAGTCTGTTTCATAGCGTAGCATTTACAGGTCGGTCGCTGTGAGTTAGGAATTTCACGTTTATTTATGAATATATTAAATTTTTCATGAAGGATTCACGTCAAAGTAAGTATAGGTTATGGTAGAACTAAATTTTATTTTAAATTATACCGACACCACCGTTATACATAACATTTCTTAAGATTACATTTTTTTGTATCAATTATGTTTATATAATTTAAATGAATTTTTCAGTATGTTTCGATTTGAAAACTTAAAAAAGCTATCTATTCAAATTGGAGTCATTGGAGGAATAGCAACAGTTATTATGATCAACACAATACCTTATATAATGAATAAACAAATAAAAAAATCAGAAATATATGAAGAAGCTATAAAGCTAATAAAAAGTCATTCTGAAGCTGTAAAGTACTTAGGTGAACCAATCGAAGATGGTTACATAGTTGTTACAAAGAAAGACAAGTATGGTAATGATGATCATAAAAGTTGGTTTAATATCCCAGTGAAAGGATCAAAGTCAACAGGAAATTTGTACTGTGAAACTATGTTTATAAAAGATAAAGAAACAAAACAAGTTGAAAAAGCTGTGTTGTCTAAGTTAGAACTTACAATAAAAAGTGTACCAGGCTACAAATTATTGATAAAGAGAGCAGAATAATTTATTGAAAATATTTATCTTTATTATATAAATGTTTGTAAAGGCATGTCTGTTACACCTTCTGGAATTTTTAAACCGCGTCTTGTATATCCAAAGCCAGCTTGGATAATGTGTATCGCAGCTGAAATTGTTAATTCCACACTCTTTTCATCTCCTATTTTAGGGTTCACTTCAACTAAATCAAGAGCATTTAATCTGTTAGTCCTGTATAGTTCCTCCATTGCATGGATACCTTCTCTTAAGGATAAACCTCCTCGAACTACAAACAAATACAATTAATTTAAATTCATTTTCAAAGTAATTCAAATTTATTTTAATAAATGTTAGTCATTATCCCAAATATTAATACCTGCTGTACCTGTGCTGGGAGCTTCAAGTGGATCCAAGGAATCAATATCAAAGCTAATATGTAATGATTTATTATTGTCAGGGTCAACTTTTCTTAAAGCCATATGTATAATGTCATGAATGCCTGCAAAGTAAAGTAATGATTTTGTTTATTTAAATTAAATTTATCAAATTTCTGATCTGCATACTTTTATTTAAATAAATTCTAGTTATGCTAATCTTATATTAAATGTATTTCAATACTCAAAAATAATTTTACCATATCTTTCAACATCTTCCATTCCAAAAGCTGTGATACCAAATTTTTCAATAACTAATCTTTCATAACTATCAACTGATCTTAAACCAATATATGCTACATTTCGAATTGATAACCTAATAAAAAAATGAATTTTTTTAAGGAAACTAGTGAAGAGTAAAATACTAAATTGATATTTAACGCTTTTTTTACATTGGTTGTTGCCAATCCATGCCAGGCAAATAGGGCCAATAGTCTGCTAATTCTGATGTTAACAATGCTACAGGCATTCCATGAACATTACCACTTCCACTTGTCTTATTGGTATTTAAATCGGCATGGGCATCTATCCAAAAAATAGCTACATTCTTTTTTTCCTACAACAAATAAAATATATAATTTTTCGACACTCCGTGCGCAAAGTGCGTCTTTCCCGCACGCTCGACAGAAAACGTGCGTTGAAAATCGCACTTTCCACACGTCGTATAAAAAAATACGGTACAGCACATGTTCGAGAAAGAGTTTCTCGTCTCGTGTACCTTTCCACCCTCGCTTCGCTCGGGCGTAAACGCCACACGAGACAGGAATCTACTTTCCCGCACTTGTATCGTAATGTACTATTCTTTAAATAGTTGAACAAAATGTATAAGCAGCCTTACTCTTGTACATACCTTGACATGACCATCTATTGAACCGATTCCAATACTGTGATCACCGCCAATTGTCAAAGCATTTCGCCCATCACGTAATATGCGCTGAACTTCTTCTGATAATTTTTGTGTACAACCAGCAACGTGACCGAGATGGGACATGTTATCCACATTTACATCTGATACATCATACTTAACATTACCGTAATCCTTAACATCGAGACCTAAAATATTTATTTTAAGTAGTCTTATTGAAAATAGCAATGTTAATATTGATTTTGCAAATACCTAATAATTTTAATTCATTAATCAAACCAGCGGCCCTTATAGTATCGGGAGCTTGCGCTACGCCTCCTTTTTTCTAAAATTTTGATATTTTTTAATCTTGAAAATCTAAAAAAATAATATAAATTGAATAACATACCTGTCCTTTTTCAAAAGGTACGCCAACTATTCCGACTTTAGCATAACTTCGCTCACCAACTTTACCAAAAATCTGTCTAACGCTCCGCGTAAGCATTTTGGTAAGAGGTTCGTGTTTACTCGTCAAGAGCAGATACGAATATGAGAAGTTGAAGAAAGATTACTCAATGACCTCTACCCTCCTGATAAAACCTATCTCTATGAAACATTTCACGGCCAGCATAGACGAGAGATAATAAGAAATGGAATATATTTGTACACTTTAATTATTTCATAATTCAAAACGAAAAGGTTATTGACCATTGAATGACTTTATTGCGAAAGATTTTTTTTCATTTATAAACAATTTTAGAGAAACTTCTCAAACAACAAGATGCCGATGGTTATATCCGTTGAAAAATCTTTATCAAATAAATCACTGACATAATCTTTTGGCGAAGCTTATCTGCTGATTATTGGCCTTTGATGGCTCATCTTACTTGGGCCCAAGCATGTCTTCGGGCCTGACCCATTGATCGAACTGCTCAGCCGTTAAACCGTTTTTCAGTGCCGATTCCTTGAGCGTCAGCTTTTCTTTGTGCGCCTGTTTAGCGATAGCTGCCGCCTATAATAGTTCCAAACAATTGTTTAGATTTATTTCAATTATGTCACTTTGTCTGTTGTTTACGCAGAAAACTGATACTTACCTTATCGTAACCGATGTGTGGGTTCAGGGCAGTGACCAGCATCAAACTCTCGTTCATGATTTTCTTGATGGCGTCGATGTTGGGCTGGATTCCAACGACGCAGTTCTTGGTAAAGGCAGCGGAAGCATCTCCAAGTAGCCTTGCAGATCTAAGAACGTTGGCCACGATCACAGGTTTGAAGACGTTCAGCTCGAAGTGCCCGTTGCTGCCACCGACAGTTGTCGCCACATGGTTGCCCATCACTTGGGCGCAAACCATCGTCATGGCTTCGCACTGCGTGGGGTTGACTTTGCCCGGCATGATGGAACTGCCTGGTTCGTTCTCGGGCAACGAAAGCTCACCGAGACCGCAACGAGGCCCACTTCCCAGAAATCTGATGTCGTTGGCGATCTAAAAATATCCGATTGACGGCTGGTTAATCGTTTGCGTATCTCGCTTTTCGTCAATGTGTTGCAATATCAACGCACTTTCATTAAAGATACCGCAATGGTATTGAGAGCACCGTGAACTTCGACCAAGGCATCGTGAGCGGCCAGCGCCTCGAATTTGTTTGGTGCGCTGACAAACGGCAAACCAGTCAGAGCAGCAATTTTCGCGGCAGTCTTTTCGGCAAAGCCTTTTCGCGTGTTTAGACCTGTGCCCACGGCTGTGCCACCCAGAGCCAGCTGGTAGAGCCTGGGCAGTGTATCTTTCACTCGAGCGATTCCATTTTCCACTTGGGTTTGGTAAGCTACGGTCATAAAGATCATTTATATCTCGTTTGTTTCTTCTGGAATCTGACTTTTAACAGTGATACAAAATAATCTACCGAGACTTTGATAGTTCGGAGAAATTCACCTGAAAATTCTTGACCAAGAGTGAGTGGCACAGCGTCTTGCGTGTGTGTTCTTCCGATTTTAATTATGTCTTTCCAAGCCTCGGATTTCTCTTTAAGAGCGGCGTGCAATTGCTGCAGGCCGGGTATGAGGATTTTGTTAATTTCCAAAGCAACGGCAATGTGCATAGCCGTCGGGAAGGTATCGTTGGAACTCTGTGATTTATTCACATGATCGTTCGGGTGCACCGGATTTTTCGAGCCCAACTGGCCTCCCAAAAGTTCAATCGCACGGTTGGAAATCACCTGTCCAACGGAATACCATGACTATCGACTGTAATAAAATATCGCGTAGCATATGTGTAACATAAAAAAAAACGAACCTCGTTAGTGTTCATGTTGGTCTGGGTTCCAGATCCAGTTTGCCATATAACCAGAGGAAAGTGATCGTCGTAGAGCTTTCCACTGATCACGTCATCGGCAGCTTTACTGATGGCATCGGCAACTTTACGGTCCAGGCCATACTCTTTATTCACCTCGGCAGCCGCCTTCTTCAAGATTCCCATCGCCACGATCACGCCTTTCTAAAAATAAACCCGTCTCTCGTGGAATGTGAACTGATCAACACGTTATTAATGCAGTGGAAACTTTACCGGCATGCGTTCGGATCGGTCACCGATCGGGAAATTGATCACGGATCTCATCGTCTGAGCGCCATAATACTTGTCTGCCGGCACCTTTAGTTCGCCAAATGTGTCCCTCTCCAACCGAAACTCGCCGGTACTCTAAAATACCAAGTTTCAAATCGTTAATCGATGGCTAGAGCGAGCAAAACACCAGACGTGCATTTTAATATCAAGAATGAAAACGAACAGCTGAGTCGACCATTACGAAGAGTTTAACGAGGCTTATTGCCGGGCGAAAGACGATCAAGCACTGAAAGTCGCAATGCGAGGTCTCGCTCGGCTAGACGGAAAGATAAGCGGCAGAAATCATCTCTCGTTACACTTTCACGATACATTCGCTCGCGCGCGCGCACCACACGCAGGCGGGGGGAAAAAGTCGGCTAGAGAGCACGCTATTTGTAAACAACTTGATCGCGGCGTGAGTGCCGCTTGAATTACATTTTACTTTTTTCCCACCTGGACTCGATGCTAAATTTATAAGGCGTCGATGACATCAGATTAACCGGAGACAAAACCAAACGTCGATAATTATCGTCAATTTATTTTTGCCTTATTTGAAAATCCGGTTTTTTCTTTGTTTTTTATGCCGTCATCGTGCGATTAACGCAAGTTAGCGACTATAACTCACACCTCTAACGAATCTCAGCGAGTATCGTATAAAAACTTGCGTTAATGCAAACACATACTGTTTCTTCGGATGCTTAATTAATTGTTACATTAATCAATCATTAACGTAATTTCCATCTTAAACGGATGCTTAATTGCCACTGTAATTTTGCCGTAATTCATAATATACGTTAATTCACATAAAACAGATTAAATAAGTCTCAAATAAGTATATAAAAACAGTGTGTGTGCCATTTTAGTCACCTTTCTCGCGGTTGAAAAAATGACCCTGAACTTCATTCATGACACACTCAAAATTGTAGGTGTGTTCGGTTCTTTCACTTGATCATTTTTATCTTCCATTCAAGCTAGAGTCTATGGAATAACCTATAAGGTTATGGAGGCAAATATCCCAGGCGTTATCATAAAAAGGTTAGTGAACTTTTTTCATTATTATCGTCCAATCTCCCTTCAGTGTTTGAATGTTGAGGAGCAATGTAGATGTGCTTGCTGGCGCACACATCAACCAAAGTGATTACATAAAAGCATCGAAAAAAAAATCTCGCACGCCGAATAATCGTAAAAAAATGTCGCAAGTTCGGGCACCACGTAAAAGTTTCGATAAATATTCGAAGCCGAGTCGAGCGCAAAACAGCTTTTTGCCAACTTTGGCAGTACTTGCCTTGGTGGTCGAAGCAGCGCGGCATTTTTGGTCACACATAACGAGCCTTGGTTCAAGTAAAGCTGTGATATCCCTTGGTTGTCTCTTCAACGCGGCACCCGCGACTCTTAGTTTCAAAGCGTTGAATGCCATGATGTTCACTTATTTGTCTTCTGGAACAATTATATCTGTCAATTGTTCCAGCTAAATACACTGGCCGATGACGAAATGAGAGCGAAAGAGAGAAACGAAACGTTGCAGTAGCTTTGGCCTGATGATGATCAGCTGGGCCTTGCGCGGGTTTGTCTCAGAAAATCCGTCTGCTTAGTGCTCGCGTATTATACGTACGCTATAGATGTATGATATCTCCATGAGTATATCGTCTGCTAGAGAGGAAACTTACGTTGGCGCCGGTAAGCTCTGCTTTCTACTGGGCGATGGCCCCGCACCCGCTTATTTTCTCGAAAGTTCGCGCTTTGATAATGCCTCTCGTGGAGTCGGGCTATACTTTTTTTTAATCATTGTGTCATCACTTATCACGCGGCTGCCGCTTCACAGGACATGCGTTGTCAGTGGTGTTGTCACTTTACAAACAAAAGACGACAATATACTCGATTTGAAAACGATCGGTAAAGTTGATAATAGTGTTGCGTAAAGCGCATGTTTTAACATTAAAAAACTTTATTGGAAGTTTCAACGAACAATCTTGCTCGCGGTTTCGGTTCGCTCGGCGCGCACTCCGGCGGTGCTCGGACGAAGTTGCTAATAAACGCACTCGCGCTCGTAGCTCCTACTGCGGTATAGTTTACGCGCGCACACACACGTGCCCCCCTCCACAATGTGCATTCGACCATGCCTTCAATCAAGTACGTATACATATACTAGGGACCAGATGCGCCTGTGGTACGAAAGCGTGCGTGTGCGTTAGTATCGTGAGAGTAGAGCGTTTGGTTGGCGCGCCTATAGTAGTAACAAGCGCACACAGTGAGTACACACCGTTTCTATTAGGAAAACAGTTTCGTTTGCTTTCGGTGCAATAAGTTACTGCTGCTGCTCGTCGCGCGTACACATAGAAAAAAACGTTGCTAGTGCGCGTAGTTTGGGGAGTTCAGTCCAAGGCTGCGCTGCGCCGTGAGTGTGTAAAGTGGGACGGACGAGGAGAGACAAGAGGAGAGAGCGCGAGAGAAGTGATGTGTAGTGTTTCATGACGAAGAAGCCGCCGTCGCCATTGTCGCGGCTTTGCCCAAAAGAAACGAACCACCCCACTTGCCAAGTGTGCCACCGCCACCTCGAGCAGCAAGAGGGAGGAGGCGGAGGAGGAGGCAGCAGCAGCAGCAGCGGTGCCAGCCGGCTCTGACCAGAGTTCTGTCCGTGGTTCTTGCAGCAGCGTACGATTGTGAGTGATTTTTTCTCCACAGTCATGGCAGCCACCGGCAACGGCCTTGGCGAGAATGTAAATGTTGTTGCGATGGCGCCGTTAAAAATATGTATTTACGATTTTCGTGATCTAAAAATGGAGCGAGCGAGAGAGAGAAGAGACAGAGAGAGAGAGAGAGAGAGAGAGAGAGAGAGAGAGAGAGAGAGAGAGAGAGAGAGAGAGAGAGAGAGAGAGAGAGAGAGAGAGCGCGCAATAAGACGAGTGCTGCTGCTTGGCGGCACAAGTGCGCCAACGGTGGGATACACGCAAAACAAATATAGTTGTGTAAGGTCACTGTTGTAGCGGTGACTTGCCACCTTGTTTACAAGGAACATATTTTTAACAATGCGTACACCGGCTTTTTCAATTCTTTGCGTATGCTGCATCTGAGTTTGTCGCCCTTTCGACGGGAAATTTTGTCTACAACAACAAATCGCGCGGATGCGTAACCTCTCGAGTATCCGTCACAAGACAAACAAAGAGGCCGCGAGACTGCCTCGATCGATTTCTTTCTCGCTCTCTGTCTCTCTCTCTCTCTCTCTCTTTCTCTCGCGCGCACTCGCGCTGCTGCCGTTGCCTCGGAAAAATGAGCGAGTATGTGTAATCGGCGTAAAAAGCGTGACTCGACCACGAACGATCGCGATTAGATTTGGCTCAAGGGCGCGGATTTGTTTGACGCGATGTACTTCTCTCCCTTTGCTTTCTTTCTCTCTCCCGTTCTCAGTTTGACATCACGAGGCTCGTAAAATACTTCGGGAATGTTCTGGCTCCCCAAAACAAAGAAGACAGCAGAATGTCTCTGGCGCTAAGAAGCGGATCGATCGTTGTGGCGCCTCTGGTAAACAACAACAGAGAGAAAAAGCCGCGCGACTCTCTTATTCTCTCTCTGTCTCGCGTCTCACAACAGCAGCGACATCGTCATTTCCTTCGTATTGCGCGACGACAAAAGAGCCATTCATGCTGCCCAAGGCCGCGCGGTTCTATCCCACGTAACATCCTGCGGCCTCGTTGCTCCGTCTCGTTTTTGATTCGCGCTATGTGCGTGCATGCATGTACGCGCCCCACGAGCTCACCACTCTTACGGGGGCCGAGTCATCAAGCGAAGTCTTTGTCCGCGCTCGTGGCGCAGGCAATCGGCACTTCGGTGGAAGATGTCCACCGGACGGATGGGCCGGTCAGAGGCGGCCCCTTCTCAGGAGAGCGCGAGGGTGTGAGCACAATAATATAGGTCAGCCGCGGTATCGAGGTCATTGGCTTTCCAGGCGCTCGATCGGTAACGCAGTGCTCGTGTGGGCTTCGAGCCGCACTCGCACGGGCAACGCGCGAGTGCGCTACTTGGTCTCGGACGCGCGCTTGTTGCTCTTCTGGGAAACAGGCCGGATCGATCGATCGGCAACGCGCGTGATTTCGCTCTCGCGCCTGCCGAGGCATCAATCGAGCCTCGTCTGACTGTTGCTCGTTCGTCGACCTTCGTTATTGCTGCTGCAATTTATTCAAGCTGATCTGGATTAACAAAAAACCACTTGGTTTACTTCAAATAGATGCCTCTTGTCACGGATAATCTGGGTATTATTATAAGTATTCGAGCATTAAGAAAACAGCTGAAATGCCATAGGAAAAAATTTTTATGAAAATAGAAGTAGGACCTGTATTATTGAATCTTTCAGGTCGATAAGCTGGTTTATCGGATGGCCTTAAACGAATGGAAATCGAAGTCGCGGTCGAACACTCTTACTTTCGTCGTCCCGTTGAAACTGTGGAGTTTCATCTTCGTAAAAAAAAAAGTTGTTTGGATTTTTTTCCTCGAGCCACTGGAAAAAAAGTAATCTGGAAGTGCTTCTGCAGTGCGGCTATTTTTAGATCGGCATTTTGTGTAATCAGTTAACACAGCTTCGCTTTAATATTGCTTATTGGCAATCGCTTATTACAGTATTCACAGGAAAAAACACTCGTTGAATAATTTTTTTTAATTGTGATTGCTACAGCAGTTCTCGAGAGGGGAAGGAGAAAGGCCGTATAATTTTTTGCCTCGACAAACATCTTCCTTCTCGATTTATTTGTCATTTTCAAAAACAAATCACAAAATCACAAAATCACATTTCCATTCCATAGTCCATTGTAGCAAGGTCTTCTGCTTTTCTCACGACACATTAACGCTTTGATGGATCGCCATTTCACAATATCGTTGGTCGGCGACGCAGCTCGTTTAGACTCAACGTCTGCTACGTTCGGCAACTGTTTGGCTGCGTCGGCGGCGCACATGGTGTGGCTTCGCTCGAGCGTTCCACTAGAAGTCGAGGGTGTATGCGACCGGTGGCAGCGACCGAGTCTCGCGAGCGTTATCGTGGGACCAACAAAACCGTACGGCGACGGCAGCTGCATCTCGACGCTTATCTGCGCGCGCACGTGAAATGCCTACGTGGCAGGGTGCGAAGGAGCGGCTATGCGCTCTCGATACGAGCGATAAGCAGCGCTGCAGTGGACTGTCGATTGGGCCTGTCGACAACCCCGTTCGACTCGGCTCTCCACTGCATTCCTATCAGTCGCGACGCAGCCGAGCTCCGTGCGTTATCGTGCCGCGCGTCACCAGCTGCGATCCGCGCGGTTGGCGTTGCGTGCGTCCCTTCAAGGGTGCGACCACTATCCGGGCAATGGTTGTCAGGACACCGGAGTTTCGTTATTGCAGTGAGCCTCGGCGGCGCATGCGGGCTCGATCGATCCGCCCGATATCCTCAACTTTTGCGTTACCGGCACTGCAAGCGCAACTAGATTTCGCCGATGGCGCCTGAATCACGCGCGCGGCCGCGGGCCGTCGGGAGCTCGTTCGCAGGCTGGCCTGTCACCGCCGAGCCGCGCCTTGGCCTTCACGAGCGCGCTATTGTCTGCGAACAAATCACCGAGAGAGGCAACTTTTGCATTGCAGCTTCTAACGATGAAAGAGGACCTGGACGACGAGGACGCAGGGGCGTGCTCCTCGGGATCCACGGCCGACAGCTTCGTCTCGTCCAATGGGTGAGTACTTGGCACCAAACTTTCTCTTGGCCCGAGCGCACCTGCGCTGCTTTTCTATTTTCATATCTCGCTGGCGTGCGCGCGCGTTCATCTGAATTTTCTTTGAAATTCAGATGGACGCGTTACTTCGAAAAACTACTTGCAAATTGCAATCAGTTGCATTACTTGTCGACGGCCATTGGTAAATCAATGATTTTATAATATTACGTCCACGCTGAGATTTTCGTGCTAGAAATTAGTACATTCAGTACATTGTGATACAAGTGCGTTCGCTCGAGCATCAGCGCCACACGAGACAACAATCTACTTTCCCGAACATGTGCCGTACGGTATTTCTTGATACGACGTGTGCAAAGTACGATTTTGAACGCACGCTTTTGGTCGAGCGTGCGGGAAAGTCGCACTTTGCGCACGGAGCATCGAAAAAATTCCAGCGTTAAAACGATTAGAAATGTTGCACTGCGAGTTCGTTAAACATTATCTATTATAAATACCAAACGTAGACCGAGAATAATCATAGAAACAGTCTAATAGACTTTTCAAAGTATTATTACCACGTCATTTCCTAATTTACGGATACTCCGAAATTTCAATAAAAATAAAAATAATCGTGTGGTTTGAATTCTCGCGCCTGGTTTTGCTTCGCTAATTTTTACGTTTACTTTTTTACAAGCGCAATTTTGATAGACTCCAGGTTTACTTCTTTACAAGTGAATATTCCGGATATTTATGAAGCACGTGATATCTATGTATTTTCTTTAACCTTGTTTGTTATATTCGCGATAACATTATCAGTGTTTCATTCCCGAATACAATGTCATGAATAATATGCGATGATTGAGCGCGCGACAAGTCGAACTCAAGACTATTATTTGATCGCCGAAACAGGCTTATCGGCGATCGAGTGCAAGCTTTAACTAATCGCGCTGTGCGTAAAATTTTCCAAATGCGGGCTATCACCTGCAGCGCGATAAGCCCGAAATAAATAATCATAAGGAGAGCGGCGCGGAGTTGAAGAAAAAAAAAGAAAAAACGTCAGGTCAGAGCAAGATAACCGACTCGCTTTTTCGCTCAATGTTTGGCAGTGTTTGTTCGCCGATAATTAAGGCCATGTAACAGCAGCAACAGCAGCAGTAACAGCAGCAGCAGCAACAGTAGCAGCAGCAGCAGCAGCAGCAGCAGCTCGAATGAGTGTTGGCTGATTAGAACGCGCCTTATCGGCAATTCGAGCGAGGATGAGGAGAGCGAGAGATAACCCCGCTCTCGCTCCGCGGTGCGCTCACCTCCGAACATTTTTGTTTTCGACAGAGGCGCTCCGCCAGTCCCCATGCGCCGATCGCGCCATGGCTGTTCGAGTCGCCCGCGCGGCTCCGCAGGGTAGAGCGTCGACTCAGCCGCGAAGCGCCGGTTCGCTGCCAGAAGCGCGATTCGCGCGGCGTGCTCGAGAGTCCGCTGCCGTTCTTCGCGCCGACCCGCGGTTCGGCGAATCCGAAATTGCGCGTCCGAAGCGGCCTCGTTATCGCCGCGCTTTCGTTTCGCTCTTCTTTTTCTGCCCCCCTATTGCGACTCGTCGCGCGCACGGACACGGGCGCTCCCTGGCAAGAGCGCAGAGGTCGAATCGAGTGGCTCGCGCGCCAACGCGAGCCTCGCGGTGTACGTGTGCGCGCGGCCGCGCTAAGTGCGTCGCGAGAAACAGCTGCATCGCGCGGAAAGCGACGGAGGCCGTGCGAAGGAAAACCGCGTCGCGCTGATCGATCACGCGCGCGCGTTATCGAGAGAGCGCTGCCGGTGATCGGTCGCGCGGACGTGTCGCAGCCGAGGAGGCGCAGGCGGCGCGAGCAAGACGCGGTGCTCGCGCCGTGCGAGGAGAGAGAGAGAGAGAGAGAGAGAGAGAGCGCGCGCGAGCAAGCAGTGTGCGCCTGCGTCGCCGGCTGCGCTGCGCTGCCCGGGCAAAAGGCGGCTCTGCGCGCCGGCCAGTCGGCTCAGTAGGCAGCCGAACGTCGTGCCTCGCGCGCGTGTCAGTTTCCTCGATCTCCCTCCAGCTCCCGTGGACGCCGTCCCGCCTTGCTCCGGCCTGCCGACGAGTGCGCGCGCGGAGCCGGGCGATGAGTGACGACTAGTCGAGTGGTGCCGGGTGAAAGTCGTGTCGAGTGCGCGTGCCCTCGGATCAGTCCGGCCAGACCGGCGCCGTCGTCCTCGTCGGGGTGCCAAGCGTGTGCGGCTGGGCCGCACGGTCGCGCCGCTATGATGACCGAGGCCAGTTGCGTGAGCAGTCACCCGGCGCGGGGCGCCAGCATGTGGCAGGCGACGCAGCAGTACCAGTACGGCGTGCCGCCGCAGCGGCTCTACGACGAGCCCTACGTCCAGCAGTCGACCTTCCTCTACCCCCAGTTCCCGCCGCCGCAGTCCCAGCCCGTGGTGGCCTCCTCCCCGTCCATGTACTACTACAACCTTCCCCACCAGCAGCACCACCAGCAACCGCCGCAGCCGGCACCGCAGCCGCCGCCGCCGCAGCCGCCTCCGCCGCCGCCGCCGCCGCCGCAGCAGCAGCCAAAGGCCAGCCCGCAGCCGCGGCCGGAGAGGAGCAGCACCCCGAGCGCCGCGGAGCTCGCGAGCGCCAGGTTCGTGTCGAGCGGTCGGCTCCTCCTTATCTCGCCTGTTCTCGCTCCGCTTCCCGATCACGTAGGCCGCCGATGTGGGAGCACGCGCAGCGTGCGCAGCGGCAATCTGGCCCGAAGGAGGAAAGTGCGCGCGAAAAGTGGCGCATAAATAATGCATGCGCGCGCGGCCCGCGGGAGGGCTCGCCGGCCCTCCCTCCGCCCAGCGCGCCCGATCTGCACTTTCGGCGCGCAGCCCCTTCCTTCGTTCGAAAGTCCGCGCGAGCGCGCCGCCGCCTCTCGATTAATGCACCGACGGCCCGCGAGCGTCTCCGAGTCGCCGGCACACCTTGCTCTCGCGCCTCCGCCAGCCGGCGACGGCACGCACGGGACCGTCCTCGAGTCCTCGAGTGCAGGCACCCGATCCGCTGGAGTCGCGCGTCTATAAATAGCCGCCGGCCGAGCCTACTGTTTGCGCGGAAAGACAATCGAGCAGCCGCGATTTCTGCAAGCTCTGCCGGCCGGGCGTGATTCGTCAAAGGCCGGCGATCGGAAATTTTCGTGGGCGTGGCGAGCCGAGCAGCTCGTTTGAATAGGGGGGAGAGCAGGAAAAAGACGAAAAAAGACGAAAAAAAACGAAAAAACACGAAAAAAAAGGAAAAAAAACGAAGAAAAAAACGAGAAAAAAAACCGGTCGAACTGCATCGTCTCCGTTCGGCGAGCGGCACTGGGTCGGCCGGCAATTGGCGCGGCTTTCAATCGGCGCGACTGCTCGCCGATGATTGGCGACGCCGGTCCGAAGCGGTTCGGCCTTGGGCCGTCGCGGTCGTCCACACGCCGTAAATATTTGCGGCCGCGCGTCATTCGCCGTAACATCCAGTCCGTGTAGGTCGTGCGCTTGTACGAGGCATACAATCGCTGCCGCCGGCGACCCCCACCCCCCGCCGCCGCCGCCATTCATATGCTGCGCCGGGCTCGGCGAGCGATCCGCCGAGCGCCGGAGCCGGTTTCTTGTTTACGCGGAGCAACGGGACGCGAGCGCCTCGTTTTCGGCCGGTTGGCCTTGGATCGGCCGGCTGGTCGCGTACGCGGCCGCCTTTATTTTCCGCCTATCAATCGGCGAGCGAACTGGCGCGGCGCTGCTCTCCCTCTCGCCGATCCGAGGAGCGTTGCACTCGTTTCGTCACTTACGTCACCGCCGCGACGCTCTGCCGTCACGTCGCCGTGCCGCCGTCGAATTATTGACCCCCCACTCCGAGCCCTCCTTGCGTGCTCGTCGGCCAGCCTTCGCGTTTATAAAAAAGCAGCGGCTCTTTGCGTGCGTACGCGCGCTCGTGTTTGTCGCGTTCGATTATTTACGTCGCAATGTCGAAAAACCGCGCGGGAATGTGCCTCCTTCGCGAGCACGTCTGCCGGCGCATAGCTTCGGTCCTCCGCCGCCGTTTTTACGCCGCTGCCTTATAAATAGATGCCGACTCGAGCCGAGGAAAAGAAAGACTCCCACCAGTCTCTGGGCTGCGCGATCCATCTTATCGGACGTATCCGCGGACGCGTTTTTTCCAGCCTGTGTCCGTCTCCTTGCCCGTCGCGCGATTATCCTCGAATCGACGGAGTGAAAAAAGACGAAGCTAATACACGAGACGATCGAATGGAGAAGAGAGAGGCAGAGGGGCAATGTCGAAGTGGACACGGAGACGGAGCGCGAGCGGTTATTGAGCTGCTGTTTATTTGAGGAATTGAGAGACCGCGGCGGCGAGTCCTCTTGCAATATCGGCGAGCGCAACAACAGAAATAGAGAGCGACGAGCGCGTCGACGGACGGGCAGCAGGGGCGAGGAGCTTGCGGCCGCGCGGCCTTGAACTTGGCTCGAGCGCTCTTGGAGCCGCGCCACTCGCGCGCTGCGCCGCGGCGGCTCCGTCTCGTCTCCGTCTGGTCCGCTTCGGACGCCCGATCCTTGCCGGCGGCTCTGGCCAAGCGGAGGAAAGGCGCGCCGCGCTCCGGCCTTGTCCGGCCGCGGCCCTGAGCGGCTCGCGCAGCCTCTTCCTCTTGTTTTGCGCGCTAGTCGCTCGATGCCGAGCGCGATAGTCCTCCACCTCGCCTCTCTGGCTATTTTCGGCGATGCGCGATACCGCGAGCGCGGCGGAACGGAGCTCGACCGGCCGCGCGCTCTCTCGTCGCCGCGGAGGCAGCGCGACGGACGCCCCGGGCATTTCCGCCAGGGGAGTGCCGACGGGCGCATCTCTGGCGGCCGCCCGCCTCGGCCGGTTTCGACGAAAAGCTCGCTCTCCCTCTCCCGAGTCCGCTCGATCGCGAACGAGCCGAGCGCGGCGTTTTCGCCTAAAGTGCGTCATTCGCAAGTCCGGCTTTCGGCAAACACGACCGAGTCGGAAGAGCGAGCTGTATCGCTCGTAGCAACGGCAGCCAAACACAGCTACGAGTGCCATTCGGCGAGACTGCTATAAATACGTATTTAATGCCTGATTCCCGTGCGGCTGTCGATCATCCGACGCTCGAACGTGTCGCGTGCGCACACCTGTCCGCGTGAATACGCGCGCGAAAGAGCGACGCATGGAATTATTGCGAACGCCCCGACGGAGAGAGAAGTTGACTGATCGCCGGCGACGACGGACAGAGAACGCTACACGGCGCTACCTCGAGCCACGGTGCGTCCAAAACTTCCTTCCCGCGGACGGAAACGCGCGTAAACAAGCACCGCTTCGGGTCGCTCGCAAGCCACAGCACATCCGATCGCGCATCGCTCTCCTCTGCGGCCACGTCGATTTAGATATAACGGAAAAAAAACGAAAGAAGAAGCTCGAGCGGCGGCGATAACGTCGTCGCGAATTTCTCCGCTCGGGGAAAAAAAGAGCAATATTTTCGCGAGAATGGGACGACGCGGTGTCGCAGAGAGAGAGAGAGAGAGAGAGAGAGGGAGGAAGAGAGAGAGAGAGAGAGAGAGAGAGAGAGAGAGAGAGAGAGAGAGAGCGAGCGAGAGAGAGAGTGTGTTTTTTCGTCGAGACGCGCGCGCGGCTCGTTATCAGCGAGTCAATAAATCCAGCGACCTTGTGTATTTCGACGCGGCGCGCTGTTGCATTCGATCGAGCGAATTATTTGTCGGAGAGAGAGAGAGAGTCGCGCAGGCAATCGCGCGCCCGATTATTTAGTGTGCCGGCGATAAGGCGGCTGGCTTCGCCCGGCACGAACACCACTGCTCGAGGGAGCGCGCTGGCAGGTGTCGATCGCGCTCTCGCCGAGTCAGCGGAACGGGGTCAGAAGAGCGCCAAGGCCGGGCCACCCTCCGTCGCTCGGCCGGCTCCGCCCAGTCGGCCGCCGAGGTGGACCGCTGCAAGCTGAGCCGCGGATCGGTCCTAGGCCAACGCCGTGCTCTTGCCGCCTATTCGGGCTGCACGAGGCGCGGCATATGCGGCCTGCAAAACAAGATCAAGTCGAGCGATACGAGCCTACGAAGTGGCTCAATATATATTATATATATAGCCAAGTTGACTGAACTCTTCAAGGTCTCGCTTCGCGCGCGATAAAATCGTTGGGCGTGTTTATTCGACACTTAGCGTTTCGTGCGTACGCGCAGGGTCGTAGTTCTCCCACCCTCCTCCCTCCTGCGGGCCGTGTCATTTCGATCGGCGGACAGCGCCGGAGAGCGAGCGGGGCAGGACGCGACGCGTAGTCCGACTCGAGCCAGCGCCAACTTTCACGGGGAGGAGGCTCGATGCTTTCCGCGAAAAGACATTTTCGCAGGGGTGGCCCCCTACCCTACCGCCTCGCGCTCACACGTCATCGGCCGCTCTGTAATATTTAACAGTCAGCTGGTCGCGCGATCGACATTCGGACTGCGCTTGCGTGAGCGCGCCGTGCAGCCGCGGCCCAGAAGGAAATTTCCGTAGTGCTCATTTCTATTTTATTATTATTTGCATAAGTGGAATGGAGCGAGCCGTGGAGCGCCAATGTCGAAATGATCGGCGCTGCCCGAGCAGACGAGCATTCACTTTCGTGAATATTCGATCGGCCGCGCGGCGGACGCGGACGACCGCCTCCTCGAGCAGCCGAGTCGAGCGCGGTTGTCGCTCGGACCCGACGCCGGGAGCCACGACCGGCTGCGATAGGTCCGCGCACTCGGCGTCATTGCGTGGCCGTGTTTGCCGGGCCGACGTCATTTATGGTATTATTCTTTGTTCGCGGCGCGCGTGTTAATTTATTGAGCAACGATAAGCCGTCGACAGCGCGAGCGCGACGGCGAATCGACCTTATTTTCGATGCTGCGTCGGGAGCGCCCCCCTCGACCGCGTCGCCGACGAAATACAGCCGCGAGTTCCGAGCGAAGCGGCCTGCGAAAAAGAAAACAACTTATCATCGCTGCCGGCGAGGCCGGCACGACGCACGTCGATAGCGCTTTTTGCGATACTCCACGTCGAACGCGCTCGACCTTGACGACTCGACTCGAGAGGGCGCCCCGCTGGACGGCGAAAGGGGGCAAAAAAGCCTCCCTCCGCGGCGCCTCGACCCCGAGGCTCCGTCCGCTCGCCTTGCACTCGCCGCCGCCTCTCGCGCGCCTTGTTTTTTTCATCGCCGAGCGCGATTATAAATAATCGCCGCGTAGTTGATTTACGTAAGCTCTGTATCTGGCGGATCTGCCACGGTAGACTGACACGCCCCGATGGATGTTCTCTCCGTGCACTCCTGCAGCCGCGGACTCGCCGCTGAATTTACGACCGTCGCTCCACTCTTCGACTCTCGCCGTCGGGCGTTTATTGTTTCGCGCGAATTTACGATGCATCCGGCCCGCGCAAGACTGATCGGAGTGGTCGCTCTCGAAAGATCGACGCATATTAGCGAGGAAAACAGCACCGATAGCCGCTCGCTTCAATTACGGCGCGCTATATATTCGTATAGGCCAATCAAGAGGATATATTTCCTGCGAAAATCGAGGGATGAATGGAATCTATCCAGGACTCTTCGAGGCAACGTGGATCGATAGCTCAAGCAAAACCTATCTCCAGATTTTCCATCAGTTTTTTTTTTTGCATTGCACAAATGGCCAATTTAAAAATTAGAATAGCTGGATTCGCAACGAAGATTTTAAACGAAAAATGTATTTTCGATAATTACAAGTCGTACATAATTATAACGATGAAACGATAAATCTAGCGGCTTTCAATAGTGGAAAGCCTCAATGTTTTTAATGCTTTGCTACGTTTTAATGAATTCGTCACTTTTTCACTGATAATGAGGCATATACCGAAGACTCGGAAAAGACTGGAATCCCGCGTTCAAACTGATGCGCTCGAAAGATGTGAGCGTATCTCGGTAACTAACTAATTATTTCGATATTACTTTTGCGCCAATTTCGATATTTCTTTTTTTTTTTTTTTTAATCTGGGCTAGCTTCAAGAATTATAAATATTACTCTAGTCATTATCAATCTTGACCTTGAGCAAGGTCAATCGTCATTGTATCTCTTGTATTCCTAGGTAATAGAAATTTTCATCGCCAATGAACATTAGCAAAATAACATTTAATATTCAGTGAGTAAAGGTTAACATAGTGCAGTAAATAATAAATTACAGTTAGTTTATTCGATGATAGCAAGTACATGATCTTTTCTAAGAATCAGAGTTTTCTTTTTGAATACGAATAAACTTTTGAAAGAATTCTTTTTGCAATAAATATTCGACACGTTAAACGAATGATCATTATCGAGGGTTGTTGGTACTTTTCATTGCAATAACCGACGAAAGAAAGTAATCGAGCGCAAGACCGAATTGTGGCTACGTTCGATGCAGATCGGCCCGCGTATGCTTCATCCATCCCTTGGATTGCTGCTCTTCTGATTGGCCTATCGGGACGAGGTGGAACCGAGCGGCGCCGGCTGGCAACTTGTTGGACACTGCGCAATGCGAATGCAGTGCGCGTAGCATAGTGTGCAACAAGTTGTCAGCCGGCGTCGGCGCTCGCCGCGCTTATCCAGCTAACGAAGCCGCTCTGCGCTGCGTTATCGGGGGCCACGGGCGTTGTTGACTCGCGCGCGCAGAGGCCGCCGAGCTCGCGAGACTCTGGGACGCCGGCTGTCTCGCTCGCTCGGCTTCCAAATAAAAGTCCGAGCTACCTATGGGCGCGTCGCTTATTTTGGCCGACGCCGAGTTTTCTTTTAGCCCCGGCGATCGATACGCCCTCGCCAGACGCCAATTGAGCGCGATCAATCTTTCACGAGCCAGAGTTTCGCGAGGCTTCGGACCGAGCGAACGACGTTCCGCCGATTAAGGGGGCTCCGGCGCCCAAACTTCGGAGATTAGCTGCGGCTATTTTTGTCGGCGCCGTGCTCAGCCGTGGACAATTTTCAGATACTCGGTCTGGAAGTTCGCACGCTCTCGCGGGCCGAACCGAGGAGGAGGACATCTTGGAAATCGATCGTCTGTTTTGCCTTCATTCAGCAGCTGTGCAATAGCAAACTAACTTAATACTCGCCGAAACTTGAGCTTCGCCCAACTGACAACGACGTCTCACTCTCTTATCAGCTGATTTCAGCTGATTTAATTATCTTGCGCTCTTTGTGTATCACAAATGTGAATTGTATTTTTGTACTTTGTTCTATTTCTTAATCGGGATCGCGGTCTATTTGCGATGATTATCTATCCGCTATCGGATCGAAATCTAGGCTTCGTACATTTTATTATAAATAGATGTGGAATCCGCCTGACGTCAGTACTGTTGTGAACTGAAGCAGGCCGTCATATCCTAGCTGGCATCGTCACCTAGGATTTTATTTTTAATATTTTTAGTTTGATCCGCACGATGAAATAAAATTGAAAGAATGAAGGATTGAAAAACAATTAAGGAACGCCCACTTATGCGAAAAAGAAGTAAAAAAAGAAAACCCATTTTACTTTATGAAAAAAAAGGCAAGGAATGATGAAATAAATACTGAAATGAAAGTTAATACTAATGTGGTAACATAACCACGTTGTGGCGAGAATGCTGCTCTTCTGTAAATGAATTGAAATTATGTTTGTTCACGCACTTGTGCATTAGTAAGCGTGCGATCGAAGGATGCATTCGGTTATAAGGAAAAGCAGATGTGTTAGTGCATTTGCCAGCGGATGGAGTTACAGATTTTGCTCGAAAGGCTTTAATTAAGACAGATGATAGAGGATTGAGTAATCGTTGTTTTGCGTCTTTTACTTTCACTGAGGAAAGCTGTGTCCAGCAAGTACTGCCACTGCATGTCACCGCGAAATATCATACACTCGTACATAGTGTCACGATACGTCAATAATTTGATGGGCGGCTGTTCATTCGAGCAGCAGTGCACCGTTAGCGATTAACGACTCTGCTTTCCCTTTCAGCAATCCGCGAGCGTCGCGCAACGCCGCGGAAAAACACCGGCGGGACAACCTCAACACGCAGATCCAAGCGATGGCGACGCTGGTGCCGGCCGTCTCCAGCGGCGGATCCCGCAAGCGCGACAAGATATCCATCCTGAGGCTGGCCGCCAACTATATCCGGATGCACTACAGTGAGTATACGCGCGCTCGAGAGCGGGGCCCAGCCGCACGGAGCTCTAACCGTGCGCCTGTGTCTGTGTTTTGCAGCATTGGGCAGGCCTAGCGGCGAGTTCCTCCCGTCCAAGTACAGCGACATCGATCTCGAGGACCGGCTGCTCGAAGTAAGTCGTGCGGGGCTCATTGCCAGTCAGTACGACCCGCGCTGCACGCACCCGACATACGAATGCCTGCTAATGCGCCCGCTGACGGTGCCGTCTCTGCCTCTCGCCGGATCGCCGAGATTCGCGGCTCTAGGCCCGACAGTTTCACGCTCATTTTTGTTCTCGTTGAAAACGACACCGACGCCGTATTGTTCCGGTGCTTGTGTAGCGAGCATTTAGTTTTCAATGAGTTTTGAATATCCGGCTGACGCTGCTGACATTCAAAACTATGAGCGGAAAGGTGTCCATTTCAAATGAAAAAATGTGGAATAGCACGGTTTTGAGCGAAATAACGAAAAATTGCCGTAGAATCGTTTCTGCGGAGTCGGTGATACTCCGTGAATTCTCACGCGGAGAATGTCTCGGCTGACGCAAGTCCAGTAGCATTAAGCTAGAATAGCGATCGGGGACGGAAGGAAGGCTAAATGGCAATTGCCTGATTGCAGGATCTGGCGGGAAATTTGAGTTTCCTGCTGGTGCTAACGACCAGCGGCAAGATCATCTACGTCAGCCGGCACGTGGAGAAGCATCTCGGCCACGAACAGGTAAATCTTAAAGGCGTCGATCTACATTGTCGCGCTCCTCCACGGTGCGCTCGGTTATCTGCGATCGGCCACTATTCGCATCGTGCGTAAACACCGACGGGGGCGTCGTGACAGCGACAGCTCCGCGAGGGGAGCTGCGCGGTCAGCTAGTCGATAGCTGCAGTTCGGCGAGTCGCGACCTTGAGTTCGCACACGCAGCAACGGTTGCGGGAATTATCGATCAAGAGCCAGGCGAATGCAGAGCGAGCGAAGCGCTGCCATGGCAACCCTTGTGCAGCCCCTGGAAAACTCTGCAGGCGCGCGGTCTACCATTTTCTTTTACTTTTTTCCTCATCTTTCGTCTTTTCTCACCGGCAAGTTTCTCTTCTTCTCTCGCTTCACTTCGCGCCCGCTCGCGCGTCTGCGCGCAACCCCGTTAACGCGAGCGAATTTCGGCGATGAGAGGTAAACAACGCTACGCGATCACGAGATGTGCGCGCATGCCTGACTTCACTTTGATCCCTCGAAGCTTGGCCGTAGATCCGCGGCCGAGTTGCCTGGTGACAGCGACGTCGCGCCCTGTTCGCATTCGTCCAGGACGTCATCGGTTCATTGGTTATGCCGATGCACGGTGAAAGTAGAAGCAGCGCTTTCCCTAATCAGCTTAAATAACGAGTATGCGGGGGGGGGGGGGGCTCGTTAGCGGCTCTGCAAGTGATCGCCCGTTCTCCTTGCGCCCGTTGAGGGGTCGAGCAATCATGGCTCGTCGACGCCCCGCTAGGAAAACGAGGCTGACGTAGGTGCGCTTATCGCCGCAGACGGACTTGATGGGCGAATCGTTATTCAACTACGTCTACGAGGACGACAAGGACGAGTTGAAACGCCAGCTGACGCCGGACACCAGCTTACTGCCGGCCCTCGTCAGCAGCTCCGACTCGGTCGAAGACAACTCCAACTCGTCGTCCGACGACAGCGCGACCTACCAACCGGACTATCGGCAGTTCCGCTCGCAGCGACGCGTCTTCAACGTGAGGATGTCCGTGCGCACTAACTCGCGCAGGGAGGCGGTGCACTACGAGTACATACAGCTGTCGGGCGTGCTCAAGCTCTCCAGCGAGAGGATGCTGCAGGAGCAAGCCAACGGTGGCAAAGCCAAGAAGTGTACGCGCAATTCATTATTATTCGCTAGTGGCACTTATCTGGCTTGCGTTGCGACGTGCTTTCTGACCGTTTGCATTCAATGAATGCGCAGTGAGCAACCTGACCAGCAACGACATTATCTTCACCGGCACGGCCAGGCTGCTGCAGAGAAAGTCCGTCTCCGAGCTGCCCTACTTGGTGCACAACAGGAACGAATACTACACGCGCCACTTGGTCGACGGCCGAATAATCTTCTGCGACCACCGGATATCCATCGTGGCCGGCTATATGGCCCAAGAGGTCTCCGGTACGAGCGCCTTCAAGTTCATGCACAAAGACGACGTCAGGTGGACCATCGTCGCTCTCCGCCACAGTAAGTGCCCCCGCTACTCCCGAGCTCCCTCGGCGAGCGGCTTACTCACCACTCATCCCCGACGCCTTGTTGCAGTGTACGATCACGGCACGCCCTACGGCTCGTCCTGCTACAGGCTGATAGCCAAGACCGGCCAATACATCTACCTGCGCACTCACGGTTACCTGGAGTTCGATGAGGAAACCAAAAACGTTTCCTCGTTCATCTGCATCAACACGCTTACGTCGTACGTTCTCCTCGAGCTGGGCTTGCCCGACTCGATCCTCCAATACCGTCTTTGTTTTTTCTTGCAGACAAGAGGAGGGCGAGGAACTCATCGCCGAGATGAAAAAGAGGTACTCCGCGACGATCAACGGCTCGAGAGCCATTCAGGGGAACGACAGCGGCTTTGTAAGTCAACCATTGCCACGATTGGCTCGTGGCCCGTACGTTAATTACGACCCATCGATCATTTCATAGATAATCATTCAGCAGGAATCGGACACAGAGTGCACGAGCACAATGTCGATAGCACCGACTATGGACGAGCCGGATCAGCTGGAACAAGCGATCAACGAACTGGTCAGCGATCTGCCGGCGACGGTCAACAACGAAGCGCCCTGTCCCGATGAGCTCTTCTCGAGAGCCATGTTTTACTCCCAAAAGCTGCCTCCTCCGAGCGTTCATGCCAATCAGGCCGGCATCAAAGATGTCGATAACATTTACTTCGGCAAGGGTGGCAAAGGCGGCAAGGGTAAAGCTGCTGGCAAAGCAACTGGCAAAGGCAAAGGCAAACAAAGCCCTTCCGCGTGTACGTCCGCAGACTCGCCGACGGATTATCCCGCGAGGCATGGCGAGAGGGTCAGTTCTGTTGGCGAAAAGAGGATTCCAGAGTTGGAAGATCCCACGAGCCCTACTATTGCGGTTAAACCTACTGCTCTGACGACGGACAAAGGTACGTGTAGTGCAGCAGCTTTTCACGCTCCAACATCGTAGAACCAATAAAACTTATCTGTTCTTGCATTTTTTCTAGCTTCCGCGTCGACGAATCCAAGTGAATCGAAAACTTACTCCGAGTCTCTCACAGTAGAGGATGATTTGAGTACAAATGCCACGGCCTCCATCGACACATCTGATGCCGCTGCATCTTATAATTTACAAACTAACCTTGTTACTGATTACGTTCAACCGAGTACACCGTACGACAGTAACTTGGTAAATGTAGTCACACTCAATCCATTTTAGTATTAATCGTTAATGAGTTGTTCATTAAAAATTTTCTTTTCGTAGCAGCAGCAAGTGAACTTAAAAAGGTCATACGATGATGAAGATGAGCAAGTAACGTCCAAGAAGAAAGGAACGGAAAATTGTGTGACTGTCGAGTTGGTAAATGTAAACGATTTTGTCAACGGAGAAATTAGTTTCCCGGCATACATCGAAGTTCAGTCTACGTCTTTGAGAGCTGACTTGCAAGATGTACCAGCTACTTTTCAACAAATCGATACCGATTCGATAGCTCTTGCCTCCACGGATGACTCTTTCATAGAATTGAAAGAATTTTCAGACGAACTAAATCCAAGCATACCTAACAATCCAGGTATATATTTTTCTCTATCCAGTACTCAAAAAAACTTATTCATTCAGAAAATGTTAATTGAATTGATTGTTTTCATTACAGAAGTAATTAAACTATTGACAAATCTTCCACAAACGATAACTCTTGAAGGTATATAAATTATATTATCGCATACTGTCACTCTGCAGATGGATTGCAGTGCATTAATATTGTTTTTATTTTAATTATAAGGAACCGGAGAAGAAGTAAATATTTGTCAGTATCCAACTAGTGATTTAAGAGATTGATTCAACTGAATAGAGTGAACATCATTTCAAGAGGCAACGTCATAGGCATACAATCAAAAAAGTGTCTATTGCGTGGCGCTGCCGTTATCAATCGTAAAACTACTTACGCTTAAAGATATCACTTAGTGCATATGAGAATCACATCTGAACGGTTATTGAAAAATCAATAATTCAAGCGTGGCACAGCGGCATGTAATGAAAGGATTTATATGACCTTAAATTTCTGAAATGAACGACCAATGCCCGTTAACAATGTTTTATTTGTTCAGAGCACAAGATACAATAGTTAGAGAGGTTACTACTAGAGTTAAACTCAATACAGTAGTCGTTTATTCGGCGTTGCAGTGATTAAAACGTAATTGAAATCGGATATTATTCAAGTGATTTTAAAGATTGTTGTCAAAATAACTTATTTTGCCATCTAATTAAAATTTTACAATGAATAAAAATTAAAAGAAAATAGAATTATGCCATCTCTAGAATTCGCCATATAAATTTATGCCGTGTCTAGTCGACCGACTGTAATTGTACAAAATGACGTAATCAACAGATTATCATGTGATGAGAATTCTTTCATAATGAAATTCTTTTGGTTTTTCAATTGAAAAGACTAGGCAACCACAAGATATCGACGACAACTTGCTAAAATATTGTACATAGTTAAGTAGTGTTTAAGAAAAAGAAACCTACCAGACGGTGTTCGACCTCTTACGTACGGGCGCGTATGGAATTTGAACTGAGTGCAAAATGTGACAAGATATAAAATAATGTTGTACGTTATGTTAGGTTTACAAAATAATATGCGTTAGTCTTGAAACCGTTCTAATTCTGAAAATCGTTGCCATTGTTTTTTTAATTAGTTCATCGTAAGACTGCAATGTAACAATAGTGCATGATCGCAAGATTTTCCAAAACCAACAAACTTCCGTAACAGAATAAAATAACTTCAAAGACATCGACAGATTTACGTTTGCACTTTTCTTGGATTTTCTTGCGAAATTATCGGTTGACTTCAATAATTATATTATTGTTTGTAGTTAAAGCATTGTACAATTGATTTTTACGTTAATTGTTTTTAGCGCGCGAATGTTTACGTCTATTGAGCTCCTGCAAGTTTTTTTTTTACATGCTTCAAAAATATTGAAAGTACGTTTGTTATTATTATTATCATTACTATTAATATTGCTATTGCTATTATTATTATTATTATTATCATTATTATTATTATTACCACTGACATAATAATTAATATATTATTATTAAAATATTACCGTATTAATAAGATATTGTATATTATGAAGGTGACAGATGATGATACGATCGATATGTCAAATAAAAAATGTCTTTTTTACTATAAATAACTGTTTCTTATGTAATTCGTCGTTACGACTGTAATATAGTGTTATTGTAATCGAGGAAAATGATTATATTTCCGTCTAATACTGTATTGTATAGATTGTCGATCGTCTCATTGCTGTAAAGTATTTGCAATGATGATTTTGTATAAAGAAAAACTCACTTCATTCGTAATCTCAGTGTTCTCTCGTACCTTCTCAAATGTAACTTGTGAATCCAATCAATTGGAAAAAAATTAACGAAATTGGGCAATAATGGTGAAAAACGGCCATGCTCTGTATATAGTTACATGTTTCCAGTTTTGACAGGCATTGAAAAAGGCAAAAATGTTGTTTGATTGAATTTGCAAATACTGTGAATAGAAGAGAGATACTTGATATACTCGCAGATTTACAAAACTATTTACCGGTTAAGCTTGCAGTCAGAAAGTTGAAGTTTTCTCAGGAATGAGGTTGTCTGGACACATCATTATTACTGTTGCAGCTTTCAAATGTGTTTAATTTACCAGCCAGCGTTTGATGCGTTTTCTTTTATATTTCTTGTTAAAAACATAAGACTTTGTCAGTAGAAACCTTGTACTTAATGATTGGTTAAAAAAAGAGAGAGACAACTAGTTCGTTGAGGAAACTCGGACTGTCCATGAAGCAGATCCTCAGTGATTACTTATTTTCTTGGTAATTCTCAATGAAGTTACAATGATCGACATAATGAAAATAATAACTTTTCCGATTTGTCTGCGCGTGACGTGCTACTAATGCAAAATTAAATCATATTCTGTCATATGTAATATGAAGAACATGTAATATTTATTAATATTGTGTTACTGAATTCGAAATTCAGTTTTCTAGTCGATTATTAAAAAATAATGAAAATTACTTTTACTGCAGTAAAGAAATTGTCCCATTTTTAATTTTAGAAAACCTAATAGCAATCTACATAGTACTTTAAGAAGTTTCTTTTCAGAACCTTATCAAAATTTTATTTTTGTTGAATATCGCACCAGGAATGTTTATTAGTATTTAGTTAATAATTATGTGTAGCACGTCATGAGTTACGTATTCAACCTATATGCTCTAAATCGCTGGAAATTGTATGTACACATGTACCTGTCAAATTAATAGAGTTCTTGATAATGTAATCTTTTATTTGTTTATATAAATTTTAAATTAAAATCGTTGATTTGGCATATATACATATAAATTCTTTACTATTTTTGTTACGTTAAACTGAAAACAAACAATTATCGTAAAATTAAAAACGTAATTTCAAAAGAAAGAAGAAAAATGGGAAAAAATTTAAATTAGAAGGAGATAAAGGTGAATTAATATTATTATTACTATTATTATCGTATAACAAATAATTATTTCTTTACGATGATTGGGAATCATTGTAAACATCAAAGTTATTGTGTCAAGACTGAATTATCAAGACTTCGTAGAGTTGGAACATTTTTGTAAATGCCTGATATAAGAAAAAAAAATAAGTGTAAACATTATGAAAAATAATAGAGAAGATATTATAAATGGAGAATCGTTATTTACAGAAAGAAAATCCGAAAACCTTAGTTCCTTTCTTTAACGTCATTTTTTTTCTTAATGCTGTATACAGTTAATTACATTGACAGAGTCCGCTTATTACAAGCTATAAAGTCTCTTCATTTTTTCTATAAAATAAAACTTAAACCTCGCTTGAATCATTCGTATGTTTCATTGGCTAAAAGTTGGCCAACATTCGCCGTCGATTTGTATCATTGTCAAACGTTCCGCGAATAAATACAAAAATACACTTGCAGGCTTTTGTATCGTACTCGAATCAACTAATAATGGGAACGCAATTAGAACTTGCTCTCGTGCTGAATTAGCGACAGATTTTGATGACGCGCCACACGGTGTACAAAAAAATCAATAGAATGTATAAGATGCAAGAAAGGGAGCGCAGCGTCGATCGCCGCGCTCTCGAACAATTTCGCTTATTGAAACAGTTGTCCCACCGAAGTAGTCCCAGCTTACGCATCGATTGCTTACACAAACGGGTGAATTCATCCAACTTGGTTGTTCGCCTTTAATTCCAAGTTATTTTCAATGGCAGAGATAGCGAAAGAGAGAGAGAGAGAGAGAGACAGCGAGACAGTAAATTGTTCGCCACTCGCAGGAAGTAACACTCGTCTACGTCTCTAACGAAAGGCTACTCTCGACTACGCGAAAAATGGTCCTTCTTAGGTAAAAAGTCGATATATAGACTGCTACATTTTTCTTTGCTTACATTGCAGCATAGCCTAGCACGTGGAAAGTAGAACACTGCCATTATCGTCGAGCATGCGAAACGGATAACATAGCTGATCGGCGCGAGAGGTTCTCGACAGCACACAGTCACAGCGTCCAGTACCGCGGATCTCCGTCGAGCCAAGCTTCGAGCGTTGCTCGATTCGATGAGACTGCTTGGCGACGCCGTGCGGAACATGAACGCCGCCAAGATCGCCACGCGGACCAAAGTGACAACGGCAACTACGAACTGCACGCATGGGTACACGCGCGACGACCGAAGTTACATAGCTAGTCCCCGGGCACGCCGAAGCGTTCGAGATCGCGCCGCCAGCTGGAGCAGCGAGTATTTACAGGGGGCGGGAGCGTCGACTCCTACTCGATGTAGATGTCCTCCACCGGGAAAGCGGTCTCGATGAACTTGGTGTAGAAGCGGTGGAAGGCCCTCCTGCGGACGAGCGCGAACGATGAGACCCGGCGAGCGAACGGCCGACCGCGAGTACTCACCCGACGGCCTCGGCGACGGGCCGCGTGGAGTCCTGGCCGACGAACACGTGGCAGGCGAACCTCTGCAGCGTGGGGTGTTTGGTGATGAAGCCGAGGTAGCGGTGGTCCCGCGGGTGGAAGGCGCAGAACGACACGTTCTTCAGCGAGTAGAAGTAGTCGTGGCAGGGGCCCGCGCTCTTCTGCGAACAGAAGCGGCAGCGTTGGTCGGCGGTCGGCGAGGCCGCGGCGCCGGCTTACCCTGGGCTTGCTCCGGTCCACCATCCGCAATCCCTGGTCGGACACCTCGAGGATGCAGCTCTGCTGCGAGGCCGGCGGCTCCCGCGCGGCCTTGCCGACGATGCGGCGCACGGCCTGACAGACGACGCCGGTGCCCTTGTGCGCGAGCGTCTCCACCGAGCCCAGGTAGCCCAGCAGGTAGCGCTCGCGCTTCACCTTGGGCGCCGTCGGGTCGAAGTCGCTGTAGTCCACGTCCACCGCGTAGGCCGAGGGGAAGATGCCCTGGCGACCCGTGCGCAGGTTCACGCCTGCGCTCAGAACCGGGGTTGGGCACATCGGGGGTGAGCCTCGGCCGCTCGGGGCTCGGGCCGCCGCCACTCACCTTCGCACCACAGGTCGTCGGCCTCCTTCTGCACGTAGACGGGGTCGCCGATCTCGAGGTCGATCTCGTCCCGGTGCCGCGACACGAACTTGTGCAGGCCGCGGTGCGTCGCCTCCAGCAGCTCGAGCTGCGCGAACGGCAGCAGGCCGCTGCTGCCTGCAAGCACAGCGCCCACGTGTGACCGCGCGCTCGGCCGGCGCCGGCGGAATACCTACCGGGAGTGCTGTCGGGCGAGACGGAGTCGAGGTGGCGCATCGAGCCGCAGCAGGGCACTGGCGAGACGCTCTTGGGGCCGTTGTCGGGCGAGTGCGCGGTCGAGTGGCCGCTGTCGGTGGCCAGGCGCTCGCTGTCGGGCGAGTCGTCCTCGCGCTGCTGGCGCAGCCCCGGGTGGCACTTGCGGAAGAACGAGTGCGGCCGGCCGGCCGCCGCCTCCGCCGCGCCCAGCTCCTCGGCCAGCGACGGCGAGGACTGCATCGACAGCGCCGCTGCAAGCCCGCCAGCACACACCTGCACACCCCGCCTGTCGGACGGCTGCGCGCCCGCGCGCGGACTCGGGTGAAGGCAACACTCGGACTCACAGTTCCTCTTGGGGATCTCGGGCAGCCTCCTGCGGCGTCGCTCGCCGGCCTGCTGCAGCTGGGCCGCCTGCGAGCCGCACTGCCGGGGCCGGTGCTCGGGCGTGGACCACGAGTTCAGCGACGGGCAGGAGTCGCCGATGTCGCCGATCGCACTGTCACGGCCGGTTCGGATGCAGCCGCCGCCGCCGCCGCCGCCGCCGCCGCCGCCGCCGCCACCGCCACTGCCGCCGCAGCCGCCGCCGCCGCCACCGCTGCTCAGTCCGGCGAACAAGCTGACCGTCAACAAAATACCATACCCAGCCCGGTCAGGCAGGCTACCTTCCACTACTTCGAGCATCGCGTGTCAACACTTTGCGGGCACTACTCCTACTCGATACAGTCTGTACGGGCCACTGCGCGACTGATACTCGCAGCCGAATATTACAAGTCTACGCATCGAATTCAACGTAGCTTTGCTCTACTGCTTACGCCTACCGTTCGATTGTCTGTGCATTATGCCGCTGCGTCGTTCGAAAACTGCAAAGTTTTGAACGACTGGACTGCGTAGGAAAGTGTCAACAGACGACGGCTCGAATTCTTTTGTTTACTGGCAATCGACGACGCAGTGGATGCGTTTTCGACAAGACACCTGTTGGCGCACGTTAATTGTCGGATCAATAACACAAGGATTACCATGTACGTAGCTGACATCCAACGCATCATCGATTTTAATAGCGTTGGCGCGGCAGCGCATTTCGTCAAGTTCTGGCAATGTTCGACTTGCAGCAAAAAGCTTGCGCGCCGAACGTTGGCCGTACTCTAGAAATGGTTTGCTCGCGCCTAACTGGACGCTTGGAACGAAGCGTGAAAGAGCGTACGACGGGCGACATTTTCGAGGCACTCGTGCAGGCGGCCGAAGCGAGAGGACGTGCCGCCACTCGACGACGAACCGCGAGAGGAAGCATCACAGGCAGAGGTGCGATAGCGGAAAGAGAGCGTATGCGAATGTGCGCCGTACCTGAAGTCGCTGTCAGCGACGAGCATGGAGGAGCAGCACATCTGCTCGCAATCCTCGCTGTCGGCCTCGGAGCTGTGGTCGTCGTGCCTGTGCAGCACCACCACCTCCTCGTCCTCGGAGTCGCCGGCGCGGCCGACCTCCTGGTCGCTGGCCTGCGACGACGTGGGCGACTCGTCGAGCATGACATCGTGCACGAGCCTGCAACGACAGATTGCTTGGCGATCGATGCGCGCGGATACACCGGACGCGCGTCTCGGAGCTTCGTCGTGTCTGGCGAATCGAGGCCACGCGCGCGCTCGTTCGATAGGCGTGAAAAGGACGTCGGGCGCCACATCACTCACGTGTAGTTGGAACTGGGGGCCTTCAGGTGCTGCGGCAATCGCTCGAAGTAGTAGCGGAACTCCTCGAACTCGGTGTCGGCCATCCCGGCCAACTGCCAGCTGCCGCGGCCAGCGAGATCTGTCGAGGGCGCGACGGAGAGGCGGCGAGAGATAACGAGAGGGAGGGAGAGAGAGAGAGAGAGAGCGAGCGAGAGGTCCGTCCGCGTAGGAGACCGCCGAGTCGCCAGCAGCTCCGATATTGATCCGCCGCCACCGCCGCCGCCGCAGCGCCACCGCCGTTGCCGTCTCGCACTGCGCAGGTCCTCTCTCGCAAGCTGCGTCGTCGAAACTGCGCGCCGACCACCGTGTCCGCGCGCGCCTACCCCCTGCGCTTCTCACCGAGAGTTCCCGTCTCTGGCTTTCGCTCTGCTGCTTTCGAAAACTGCACGTGACACCCTGTGCAAACTTGGCTATTCGAATTGCCGTTGGACAATTGGCATTCGATGCTTTTCCACGTTTTACCGATCATTTGGATCGTTTGCTCGCACCTTTGAGTCCGATAAATTATCAGCGTGAATTTCCAAAGACTCGAAACGAATTTTATAAAAGACGCGTAGAATCTTGGTCTCGGCGAAAAAAAAATCAATCGCGCTATTCTTTTTCTTGTTGTCACAGCCGACTACTCAAGTGGATAAGATTGTTTGCCGACGATGAATGGCCATCTCCCCGGTCGGTCCCGATTTAGCTTGGCTCTGATTTCTCGGTGCCTACCGGAGAATCGCCAGGTCCGCCGGCGCCCGGGAGCGATCGCCAATTGCGATGCGGCTATCGCGACGGCAGTCGCGCATAAAATGTCCATTGTGGCATCCCCCGGCGGGTTTGATTGCGAGAGCGCGCGATAAAAGCGGACGAGCGGCTCCCTCGGGACGGCGCGCGGGTAAGTGATTGATCCCCGGCGGTCGCGCGCTCTCGCCCGCAGAAAGTCGAAAGCCGACGCGGGCGCGATGCAAAGTTGCGCGGGTAGCTGACGCGGCGCCGTCGAAATAAGGGCCCCCGGCCCGGAAGGAGCCGAAGGAAGAGCGCGCGCAGCGGCACGGGAAATGAAAGGCGGCCGCGAAATCGATGCGAGGCCAGAGCGCAGCCCGGAGCTCTGATTAACCGGAGGGGAGGCTGCCCGGCGAAGGACGCTCGCCGGAGAAAAATCGTGGCCGCGCGATAGCCCGTAACTGATGGCGGCCACGGCTGCGCCGGCTAATGTGCTGCATCTGCTTTGGCGATCTGGCTTGTTTTATTAACAGCCGCTCGCTTTCGCTCGCCCACCTACGTGACCCTCGCACGCTCCACTGGCTTTGCCGCCACCTCCCCTCGCTCGTTTCCCTCGTGTCCTCTGCCGATCGTCTTTTCTCGGGCACGCGCGCGGCTGCTGGTTGTCGTCGGTGCCTTTGCCCATCCGCGAAACCTACGATTCGCGAACGTTCGAGCCCTTTCCGCGTCATTATGTCATCTGCGCGCGATGGCGATCGGTCGATCGCGTGCGCCCTTTCTTGTACGTATCACTCGTCAATCGCGGTTAGCGGAGCCTTTCTCAAAACACGTTGCGCAATCAGTTGCTCGTTCGTCGCTCGGTCTCGTTGGATCGTCGACGGGTCGACTGGCGAACGCGCTACGCGTTGCGCTTTGTTCGAACGCTCTTTTCTAATCGAAGAGCGAACAATCCATCGGCTCTCTCTCTCTCTCTCTCTCTCTCTCTCCGATCTAAATGCAAGTGATGAATTGACCGACGCATCGGTAGATACGCTCGTCGTTACCGTGCTCCTTCGTTCGGAACTGCTTAGCGAGGCGCTTCGATTTCACTTTGCAGCTTGATTCGACTCGACCCCTCGCGATTAATCGTCACCCGCATTAGCCGCGCGACCTAGGCATGGACGAGTCGTATCGTTCGACAAGGCCGTTCTGTTTTTCCCGTTTCGCTTTCGCGTGTGGGATGATTTTCCGAGGGTCCGAAGATAATTATTGATTGGATCGATGGGAAGCCTGGGGGGCTCGCTTGCGATCAACGATTTTCAGCGCCAAGAAGGTAGTTTCAAAAAAAAGGCCTGGCAGCTTATTGTTTTCTTCGCGCATTGACAGTCTCGAATCGGCAGATGCGTAGTGACGTCAGCGGGGAATATTCAGCGTGCGCGGGAGAGAGCGAGAGAGAGAGAGAGAGAGAGAGAGAGAGAGAGAGAGAGAGAGAGAGACAAAACGCGGGGGTCGAAGAAGCGAATGGAAGGAAGAGCGCCAGCAAGTGAAAAGCTCGCGGCCAATGAGAAGTCGGCGGAGGCGCCGACCAATCGGCGTCGATCGCGCAATTCGCGGCTGGCTCGGCCTCGCGGAGGGGGCCAAGCCATAAGTACAGCCGGCTGTCGTCCAGGACTCGACACTCCTGATCTCGCCGATAGTCCCTCGACGCAGCTCCTCTGCCGCGTGCTCTCGTCTCGCGACAGTGTCTAGGTTGGCTCTTCGCTCGCTCGTCCACACTTCTCGAGGATCCGCGGCGCGGCCCAGCGGCAAGGCGACAACCATGAGTGGATCGGGCAAAGGCTTGCTGGGCATGTGGCTGTACAGGCGGGACGAGGAGTGGACCATCAAGGAGGGCAGTCCTCTGCACAAGCGGCGCGACGTAAGTTTTCCCCCGGGCGTCCCCCGGCAAAGCTGCGGCGAACGCGTGAGACGAGAGAGCGTGCTTGGGGGTGCGAAGGTGGCGATGGTGGAGAAGGTGCCGCACGCCGAGCAGACCAAGTCGTCGGTGGTGTTCTCGCTGAAGAACCAGGTGGGCGGGCTGGCGCGCGCGCTGCAGGTCTTCCAGGACCTGGGCGTGAACGTGGTGCACATCGAGTCGCGCAAGTCGCTGCGCCGCGGCTCCGAGTACGAGATCCTCGTGGACGTGGAGTGCGACGCACGGCGCATGGAGCAGCTCACGCGGATGCTCGGCCGCGAGGTGGCCGCCATCAACCTCGCGCAGTACGAGCAGACCGGCAGCGTGCCCCACCCGCCGCTGTCCGCGGCGCCCAGCTTCGGTCAGTAGCCAGCCGCCGCGCTCGCGTCCGCCTTGCCGTCCCACCTCGCGTGACCGGCCTCTCTCGACAGATTTCAGCGAGGTGGACATGCCGTGGTTCCCGCGCAAGATCGCCGATCTGGACCTCGCGCAGAAAGTGCTGATGTACGGCTCGGAGCTGGACGCCGACCATCCCGTGAGTTTTGCGCCTCGGCTCTGCGGCCGGCTCCTCGCGCTCTCTCACGGTGTCGTTCGTTCGACAGGGCTTCAAGGATCCCGTGTACCGCAAGCGGCGCGAGCAGTTCGCCGACATCGCCACCAACTACAAGTAGTCGGTATCGCCGCTGTCCAGTCTCCTCTCTCCGCCCGTCCCGCTCTCGAAATGATCTTTCCAATTTTCAGCGGAATGCCGATCCCGAAGATCCAGTACACGCCGGAGGAGATAAAAACTTGGTAAGTCTCGGGGAAAATCTCATCGTGGAAGAAACGTCGGCCGACGGTGTCGATAACTAACTGCTGTCACGAGTCGTGTTTCCCTCTTCACGAAGGCAATCTCTCTCTCTCTCTCTCTCTCTCTCTCTCGCTGCACGCGGATTCTTGCCGCGCTCCAAAGAGCGGAGGGCAAGTTTGCAGCGCGAGAGCTTGAATACAGCCTAATTGGCCTGATTCGATTGGCCGTATCTGGCGCTTTCCGTGTGCGCGTCCCTCGCGCGAGTCTCGGAGAACAAACGCGCGCGGGAGTGGCCACTTCGAACGAGTGCTTAAGGTCAAGTCGGGATTTCGATTGAGCGACGTTTATCCCAATGAGATTTTCCCTTGTTGCTCGACCAGGGGCACGATTTTCCGCGAGCTCCATCAGCTCTACCAGAAGCACGCCTGCCAGGAGTTCCTCGAGAATTGGCCAAAACTCGTGAAATATTGCGGATACAGGTAGGTGTCGGCGACGCTTGCGTTGCTCCGAGCGCGGATTATGACGGAGGCGCGATTCGCTTGGTCTTCAGGGAGGACAACATTCCGCAGCTGCAGGACATCAACGTGTTCCTGAAAAGTAAGCCTTTTTCCGCGTAGAATCTCGCCTCGCTCGGCACGAGTTGACTAACGCTGGTCGAACGGCGCAGAGACGACGGGCTTCACGCTGCGGCCGGTGGCCGGCTACCTGTCACCCCGCGACTTCCTGGCGGGACTGGCCTTCCGCGTGTTCCACTGCACGCAGTACATCAGGCACGCCTCGGACCCCTTCTACACGCCCGAACCGTAGGTGGCGCGGGTGGTCCACGGTGGCTCGCGCCGAGGACGCGCGGGCCTGACCTCGCTTCTGTTCGCAGAGACTGCTGCCACGAGATCCTGGGCCACATGCCGCTGCTGGCCAACCCCAGCTTCGCGCAGTTCTCGCAGGAGCTCGGGCTGGCCTCGCTCGGCGCTACGGACGAGGACGTGGACAAGCTGGCCACGGTAAGCTGGACAAGCGCCACTGCCGAGCCGCCGCCAGCCCGGCCTGCTGACGCTCGCGCCCGCGCGCCTTGCTTCCAGCTCTACTTCTTCACGGTGGAGTTCGGGCTGTGCAAGCAGGATGGCCAGCTGCGCGTCTACGGGGCCGGGCTGCTGTCCTCGATAGCCGAGCTGAAGCACGCGGTGTCCGCGCCCGAGAAGACCTTCCGGTTCGAGCCGGAGCTGACGGTCAAGCAGGAGTGCATAATCACGGCCTTCCAGAACGCCTACTATTACACCGACGGCATCGAGGAGGCCAAGGAGAAGATGAGGTAGGTTGGGCCCGCGAGCCGCTCGGCCACCCAGCTCACGCTCCCCTCCCTCCCGCAGGCACTTCGCCAGCCAGATCAAGAAGCCCTTCGGCCTGCGCTACAACCCCTACACGCAGTCGGTCGAGGTGCTCACGGACGCGCAGAAGATCACGGCAGTGGTGAGCGAGCTCAGGGGCGACCTGTGCATCGTGTCCAACGCGCTGCGCAAGATCCACGAGCAGGACGACAGCGTCAACGTGGAGCGCATCACCAGCATGCTCACCCACGGCATCGACCTGCCCCTCGACGCCGCCGCCGCCTCCGCCTCCTCCTCCTCCTCCTCCTCGGGCAGCGAGGAGGACGACAAGAGCCCCAACCGGGAGATCCAGCCCGCTACCTAATCCTCCTGTTCGCTCGCTCTCCGCCAGTCCCATTCGTCGTTGCTCTCTTTCCCGTTCCACTTCGCTGTTTGACTTTCAGAAAAACCACCGTTTTCCTGTTTGCGATCAAGATTCAACGTTACTCGTTCGGTTTCTTTAGATTCACTCAACTATGTACATTGTTCAATGTTCCGAATAAATCAAGTGGTCTAATACTTCCGTGCGCTCGTCTTAATTTTCGAACCTTTTCGTGTACCCCATCATTCATTAATACAGACGATTGAGTCGTCGGAACTACTTGAATTATTCGGCGGAGACAATGGGTCAGTTTGAGCTTTTTGCGTATCATTCGGTCTCTTTCGTTGTTTCTATCGAGAAAAGAAAGAATGCAATTGGACATAGATTATTCCGAGCTTTTCAGTTTCTCTGGTATCGCTTACTTCGAGAGGCACCAACGTCATTTAAAACCGAACTGCCACGAGCGTCGAATGAACTCTCAACGACGCGAACGCGAGCGCCGACAGTCCGTTGCCTCCAACCTTTCCTTCGACAGATTTTAATTGGTAGCGAGTTCCAGTTTCGAAACCGACTAAAATGTGCTACTAATCGCGACACTAAGCTCCCATAGATCGATCAATTTGAATACACAGATTGGTATCAACATGGTGTGTTCCACGCGATCAATCCAAATTTCTCTTTTTCCGGTCCGTCAAATTCATGAATCGCCGGTGCCAGCTGTCATCTTGAAACAGACAAATGATCTAGACTGTTCCAGTCTCGAACGAATAGAACGTTGCCATGAAAAATAAGCAGTCTGTTAACGCTCGCTGCAGTCCGAATGTAAACCGTATAGAGTATGGTTTCGTTAGAACAGAGACGTGTAAGGCGCGTGCGTTGAAATTCGCGGCAAGAATCGGCAAAGCTGATAAGAATCAGCGTGTACGCGCGTGCAATCCGAGTCGCAGGCCTAGCGCGGCACGTATCAGCGATCAGCGCAAATGAGTAAGCGAGTCTCGCGCGGTCTCGCATAAATTAGCCACTCGTTCGGAAAACCGTAAAACGAGCAGACAGTGAGCGAGAGAGAGAGAGGGAGAGCAGCGCCTGTACCCAGAAGAGCAGCTACTGCCGTTGCTGCAAACGTTGGTTGCACGCGGGAATCGCTGGATGCAGCAGCAGCCGCACCTCCGACGCGTACGCTGGCCGCCAAGAGTCAGTCTCGGCGCGCGGGAGAGATACGCGATGTCGCTGGAACGCTCGGTCGCTGCCCGCGCCTTCAACCACCTGTGAGATTGCCGCTGCCATGCTCTAGGCCGATTTGGTAAGTGGTCGGGCGATTTTTCGCGCTCGTTGCACACCTCGCTTGCACAATCGGCCTCCACGCGCTTCCGGACGCGCTCGCCTAGGCTTATGCCCGCGCTGCTCGCAGGTAAACAACCTTTGTTTACGCCTGTGCTGCTGCTGCATGCACCTCGCTACACTTTTAAAAAATCACGAGTATCTTTTTGGCGCGAGCCGACGGACTGGTCTGCTGCTCTCTAGTCTGACGCTTGAATTTTATTTCAGATACAATGGCCCAGCTTGCAAAATCCAGCATTGATGGGCTACCAAAGCAATTTGTGTCCGCTATGCGGACTCTCTTTGACATCATGGATGATCAAAATACAGGTAAATTTTTTATTTAGCCATGCCATGGTTCAAGGCAAAATTGTCTTTTTGTATAATTATATATTAATTCTAAGAAATTGACCATAGGTTATGTCAGTTATGCTGATATAGAGGCAAGATGGAGAGATGATGGTACATCGGACTTACCAAAGGGAGTTTTAGACGGGTTAAAGAAAGTTACTCCACCAAATGGTCTGCTGTCTTTTGAAAGATTCTGTGCCGGTCTAAAAATATGTCTACTACATGCACAGGCTAACAGTGAGTCTAAAAAACTTGATGGTAGTCAGCCAAAGAGGCCTCCTTCTGCTCCAGTCTTGGACAATCAATCAAAGCCAGTTTGGACCTCTCCTAATACTGCTGCCATTAGACCAAATAATGTAATTTCACAGCAGAGAACACTTAGTATGCCACAATTGCCTGCCAGGAAAGAGACCAATCCACCTTTTGATATGGACTCCAGAATTTGTTCAGACTCCAAGCTCAGAAAAGGTACTGCAATTTATTCGACACCACTTGTTTTCATTTAATGATTTATCAGTATGCGTATTTATTGATTTTGCTTTATTTCTGAAACAGTTTATGGTCCACCAAAGCCCCCGCGTACCGGTGCAGCTCTAGACAGTAGAGTTTTAAATGCAGATAGGAATTTTGACAAATCAGAAATTAGAACAGCCTTGCAAAATTGGCAAATGAATATGATGATGAGTAGGGACAAAGGTATTGACAAACGACAAATACCTGGTGTTAAATATCCACCTGATCCAAATCCATTTTTACATCCAGCCAGAATTTTAGGTGATGGCAAAGCTGTAGATATTCAGAATGCTCAGCAATTAGCTCTACAAACACAAAAGTCGCAACATCGGCGTCGAGAACCAAGAAGACATACTTTGCAGAATGGCATTGATTATAATATGGTAAATTTGCTTGTTTCATTTGAACAACGAATTAAATTTTATTTTATTATTTCCATATTGACAAGAGGATTTATTTTCTATAGATGAAAAGAATGAAACAAATAGAACAAGAAAAAGACGTCTTGCTTCAGGGGCTTTCGGCCGTTGAAAAAGCGAGAGATTGGTATTTAAAACAAATTTCTATTACTCAAGAAAAGATAAAAAATTTAGGAACAATGCGTTCACACGTGGTGAGTCAAAAGTATACTCAATGTCGAAATTTAAACTTTACAAGTTTAGTAAAGTACATCGAAATTTACAGGAGCAATGGACTGAGGCACAACAAGAGCGATTAGAGTTGCAGAGAGCAAGGGTACTTGAAGTCAACAGGCATCTTGCAGCTTTAATTAGTAGTTGGGAACGGGGTGGTTTGCCATTACACATGAATTTAGCTTTTCTGAGCACCCCTACATCAGCTCAGTTACAGCAAGATATGCTTTCGAGGCTGAGACAACAAAATCTCAGGTTAACAGAGGTATGACTTTTCTTATAGAGTATTAATTTTAACTTCGATTGTGAATATTTATCTTTTTACGTATTTTATAGGAAGTCAGTAAAAAAAGCCATAAAATAGCGCTATTGGAGCAAGAAAAAGATGGTCTCGTACGAGAGTTATATGATCGTCAAACGGGAATCGTTCAGTCCAGATCTACGATGATTCACGAGCAACATGATCAAACTTTCATGTAAATTTCTGTCAAAGTACCTAAGCTTCTACAATTTACTAGAGCGCTTATATTTAAATATCATACAGTTGCCAAAGTAGTACATAAATATTTTGTTTTCAGAATTTGATGCATTTAAAAAAAAGGCGCCTTTACAGAAATTTCTATCTGGAAATTTCTTCGAGATGAAAAGTGTAAAAAGACGTCTCTTGGTCAATCAAAGTCAAATATTTGGCGCCATTGATTTTTTCAATTTTTACATTAATGGATATATTGTAAAATATATTGTTATTACGGTTTACAACCGCATTTTGATGCAATTTTATACTTTTAAGATTTAATATGTGTAATATTTTATAAGTGTTTTAACAAGCTGATGAACTTTTAAAAGTCGCGAGCCAATTAACAAGAGCTGTGAACTCAGTTCTTTCAACTAACTAATAACAAAGCAATATATATATATATATATATATATATTATAAATACAAGAAAAATTAATCGTTGCATCGATGTTTTTCAATAAATTATTGACGTTTTATTCTAAACGAAGTGTCTATCATTTGTCGAATCTTTGATCGCTGTAATCTAGTTTCAGACCGGAAGAATAATCGTGAGTGAGAGGTCGAAAGAAATCAGATAATCAAAGCCGCTCATCGCAATTGTGCTAAATGTCAAATGTTATCGCGAACGCCGCATTGATAATGGAATTGTATTACATGACGAGTAATAGAGCCAGTTTTATTTCCAATGATCAAATATAAAATTGAAGCACGGCGCGCGAGAGATAAAACAGCCGAGTTGAACGGCACAAAAGAAAAGCATTCTTTGTGCGCGTGCATCATATCGAGCGGAGCGAGAGATCGGGATTGAGAAGCGATGCAACGCGGGCACGCATGTATACGCGGAGGAGTGCGGCAAGCGCGGAGAGCGTGCGGCGTTTATAAATGAGCAGTGAGAGAGCGTCGATGAGCGCGGCGGGGAGAGAGACGACGCACGAAAATAAAGAAGGAATTCAAGTGGCGAAGATTAAGACGGAAATGCGTGCAGATGCGTCGGCGGACCAGAGAGAAAGAAAGTCGGACGCGTGCATGCCTTATCTGCGACGCGAGCGAGCGCGTATATGTGTTCAGCTGAGGCGGCCGAGTCGCCGCACCCCACGCACGGCTCGCCGAGGCCGACGATCTGCTTCTTCCTTTTGCCCTCGCCGCCACTTCAGTTCGTTGTTTCGCTTTGCGCGCTGCGCTTACTCCCTCGCTTCTTGTAGCTGACGACACTACCAACTTACGCTTTTCTCAGATCGCACGCGAGACCTCTCACGCTTTCATTCGTTCTGCTGCTGCGAAACAACCTTGGCGCTGTTCATCGATGAGACGTTGATTTTCATTAAGCAATTGTCAAGGTGAGTCTGAGATTCCCTTTGTTTTAAAGCAGCACCAATGCGCTCTAGCTTCTCTTACTAGATTACCTCGATCTGTCGATTTTTGAGTCAGCGAAGTCCCGCTTCAATAGCTTGTTGTATAAATTACTTTCCACTGAAATTCAACGCTGATCGGAAGACTTTACCGATTAGTATTCGGTATTTGTCATCGATTAATATTCAGTATTGGTCAGTTGTTTTATTCACTTTTCGTAAACAAGTTTTTCAATTCCTCGTTGATCCTCGTGCTCCTTTTTACAATGAACCTTATTCACGAGTCAATGAAACAATTTCGAATAGTATCCGCTCAACTCAAGGTGTAGATTTTTTTTGGACCTATTGGAACGCCAGTCTTGTCATTTCGAAGAGATACGGACACGCATGAGCTTCTCTCGGTAAATCCAAATTTTCGTAGTGCCCGGAGGGAGCGACGCGTTCGGGCTTTTCACAATGGGGAACCGAGAGCTGAGATAACGAAGAGTTTGAGTATATAGCCATAAAAAGAGAGCTGGAGCGATAGAAGGGTTTTTGTCGACCATTGGTATGGTCGTAAAGCTGCGACCTATGACCCCGTATTAACTTATCGTTTACATATATATCCTATTTATTTCAGATCGCCAGGTTCGTCGATCTTTCTTATCTGTCTTGCGTAAATTTTGCGGCACCCACGCACAGCCATGCGGACCGGACTCACGCTGCCAATTGTCCTCGTTATCTTCGCCACGCTAGGTATTCACTCAGCTCGTCGTTGTTCCAACTACATGCACTCCTCGACGTGCGACTTTTATCTCACTACAATGTTTCCGAAGTTCCATTATCGTTTGTTTATGAATTGGCGTAAATGGTTTTTTTTCTCGCGCAAGATAATGTTTCAATTGAGATTCGTCGATCGGCGCTCGCAATGTTTTCATTGATGAAAAATACGACGCGATTCGTTGAACTCGCGATGGCTGACAGATCGACCGAGGATTGGTAAGCTCGATCGAATGTCAGTCAATAGTAGAGCATTGGTAATCGGCGCCCTAGCTCGACTTACGACAGAAGCGAGTCTAGTGAAATCGTTTTATCGGAAAATTACGAAAAGACGTAAAATTACGTCGGTTCCGTGACAGTCGGGAAAATTGAGACAGTGCGCGAAGATAAAGTTAATCCGAAAATGCTATCTGGAAGTCAAAGTTGAATTATCAGAGCGGCTGGGCGCGGGAAGCGAGAGAGCGCAGCGCGTCGTCGCATCCGGGACCCGATTATGAGCTGCACCCTTCCTTATCGTTTTCTCCTATGCGTATCTTTTAGGGCGCCCGATACAGCGAGCGCGTCCGAGCGATAAGCCAAGCCGCGCGATAAGCTCGCCCGCAGTTGCAGAATCGTTTTCGTATTCCGAATCGCTCTCATTCTTTCCACAGCCTCCTTGCTCGCGGACTCGCGCGCCTGCGAAATAGATAAAATGGGGCACGGATGCCGGATAAACAAGGCTCAGTGCTCCTGCGGATACGGATGCAAGGCCGAGTACAGATACAAGGACATGGAAGAGTGCAATCACGCTTTGACCGGTAAGACGCAGCTTGGCCCGTGCCGGTACGATCGGCAGCGAGCTTGACGTTTCTTCGAATCGCTTGCAGGAAAACGTCACAACGCCTGCCACAGCGCCAACAGGTGCTTGCACGGTGGCAGTTGCTTGCAGATCACCTCGCAGCCTGGCTTCAAGTGCTTGTGCGAGGGCACCGGCTTCTTTGGCTATCGCTGCGAAAAACGTAAGATACCTCCGGCGATACCTTCACGCGTAGTGTCTGCTCGTTCAGTAATTACCAATGATGTATTTTTGCAGCGTGCCCTGGCCCGGAAAATCCACATCACCGTGGACCCTTTCCCTACGAATGCGTTGTCATTTAAATGCCGCACCACCTTTACCATGGCGCTCGGTGTTTGAATTAACCTATTTACATATATCAATTAGAATTAACAATTTTGTACATAACAATTGTATTAAACAAAAATATATATTAAAAATCACACTCAAAACACGAGCTTTGTAAATAGATAGCGTTCAAGTTTTGTGTAAACCAAATTATTTCAGCGCTTGGCACAACAAAATTATAGTGAGTTATCGGATCTTACTAATGACACCTTTTTTATCATGTTCATTCTGTTGCTTCCAATGTTTATTTACCAAAGGATGATTTACAGTACTTCGTGGTATGCATTTTTCCGAATCTATAAGACACAATATGATGGTGTACACTTGATTTTATGTATTTGCTTTGTTTCATTTGCTTTTGCTTGTTCATTCCTCCCATTTTGTTCCTTTCTAACACTATTTTTTTCTTTTGAGACTAAAGAAATATCACCATCGTTTTCTTTACACTTGGTTTTTCACTTTTTTTTAGATATTTTTTCTATTACTTTATTTCTTCTTCGTCAGTAATAAACGATGATCAAATTTCATTTTAAAATACAATGATTAAACGTAATTTTTTCATTTGTTTCATTTTATTTGTTGTTATTGATCCTGTCTTTTCGATATTAACCTGATTACCCGGTTACTTTCATATGCGTAACTAAAAGTTCAAAATAACTTGTTTGATTTTATTACACGAGTTGCAGATCGGGAACTCAAACGACAAACTCGTGCAGGTGCGTATACGAGCATTTTCATAGACATTCTGATATTGCGTTGTCATCGTAGGTTATTAGCATGGCGCAAATAATAATAATAATAATAATAATAATAGAAAAACAAAATTACTCGTGCGCGCACCTTTTTATTCAATATACTCTCTAGGACAACATTTTGTCCAGTATTAATGTTTTTTTACACATTTTTCATTAAAGACACCATACACACCAACGGAGCCGTCAACACTTTTTTTCTTAGAGATTCTACTTCCTCTTACTCGTTTCGTTTTGCATTATTATCATTTGGAGTTTCGTTTGATTCATTGAGAATTTCTTCAAAAACCTGAATTCTTGCGCGACTTGTCTTTATTTGTCCTTCAGAATACTTTTTTTCTCTTGGTTAAAAAAAATCATGGTTCGAAGAAAACATAACGTAAAAAATAGCATCAACATGTACGTATATTTTTATAAAGACAGACAGGACAAATTTCATTGTCGCAAAAATTACAAAAACAGACGCAAAACGCTCTGCTTGTTCTTTTTCTTAAATATGTTTTAAATTTTTTTGTTGAACGTTAAAGCCCGTACCTATACTTTCTCATACTTTTTGATGATTCTCACTGTTAATAGGTATACATACACTTATCATTCCGTCTGCTCACTGTCCGTTTTTGTTCTTTATTATAATTTTTTTATTTTCTTGACTTAAAATACTAAAACGTTTTCGAAATCTTCAAAAACCCGCTTACGTATGACAATTTCTTTTGACAAATAATAACAACGATCGGCGATCAATTCGCGCATTCAATTAATTTAATAACTAATGTCGTTTGCGTGCATTATCCATTCTGTTTTATATGTATGAGACGAGGTAGTAAAAAAGCATTACCTCCTCGAATAAAAATAAAGAATAAAAAAAATATAGACTCGTTGTCCAAATCATCGCCGCCGACTATGCGCGTTGTCTTGTTATACATTTTTTCAGTGTTTGCTTTACAGTAAAGTATCTTAGATTTGGCAAATGATGTTGGTTTCGCGTTCATTCTTTACCTTAAACAATAAAAATCATAATGACAAAATTTATTACAATAATCTCGGCGCCATTGCTTGCGTGAAAGAAAAGAAAAGGTAAAGTAGGTATATCGCGATCCGAGGCTATGCGTTCGTTAATTTTCTTCCGAGTCCATTCTATTAGGTACAGCGGATTAATATTACTCTTCGATGGCACCTGGCAAGCGTTGGATTCTCTCTTGACTGAAGCCCTTCGTTCCGTCGGGGCCCTTTGGCTGCCTGACTACGGTCAATTTCGGGCCGTTGTCCTCCAGAGAAGTCGTGCGTAGTCTAACTATCAATCTTTCAGGGCGTTGTTGCACGGCATCACTGTAATGAAATAGAAAAAATGTTTTTGCCCTCTACATTCTTTTTACAAAAAAAACTCTGTATACCTTTTCAGAAAGATTACCTTATACGAACGACGTTGCAGGCCGATGATTTGCCGGAACGCTGGTTCGTTACCAATACAAACTCAACTTGATCTCCAGGCTGTAACTTAACATTGTCGCAGACCTCGCTCATGTGGAAGAAGAGCTTCTTACCCTCGTCAATTTCATAAGCTAAAAATCCAAAAGGTCCTTTGACGGCGTCAACAGTGGCTCGGCGCTTTTTCCTCACAGCCACGATGTTCGTAGCTTGACGATCAGAATCGAGTTGGAACTGCACAGGATCGCCGGTCTGCAGGAGCTCGCGTTTATTTGCCAGGCCCATAATGCCGAACTCATATTCGGGAGTCTCCTCGTCCTCGGAGCTCGGATTAACTTTGATTAGTCCGGCGTACTCGGCTTGTTCGGGGTTTGCGCTTCGTAGTGGACGGATCACGGTGCCGTCCAGGACTTCGCCGTTGACCTCGGGTCTTGGGATGCTACCTTTTGGCAACAGCCGAACGCTCTCTGCCGCAGTGCAGCCACCTGCTCCACCTCGACTGTTTCCCATGCCGACTGTACATTCCACATCCGCGCCCAATTCCAGTGTGCTTGCGTCTCCGTCGAAATTACTATGGATCACATAAGTAAATTAATGCAAATTAAATGCGATCACATTAAACAATACTTACCTAAAGTGAAAAAATATTTCTTTATCGTGATTTATTGTTTCAATAAAACCAAAACCGTCTTTAAGGGCAGCAATGAAGCCTTGGATAATTTGACCTCCAGACTTTTTGTTTCCATTATGAATCTTTTCTCCGCTGGGACTGAGTAGTGAAATGTCTACGGCAACTAGCTCCTTATTTCGTTTTACTTGACAGATACTAAATTGAACCTGCAAAAATAGAACGTCGTAGTGATGGCTAACACAGGGGTAAATAGTTTTACTCACTTTGTCATTAAGTTTTGGAATAGTTTTAGAATTGCAGTCCTTATTGAAGAAAATTATACTTTTCTCTTGTTCATCCTTGACGTAGCCTATCAATCCAGGCTCATTACCATTGGTATCTTCAATGATATTACCTAATACATTGGCTTCAATAATAGTTTCAAATTGAACACTTCCTGTCGGTAAGTGTTTTAATCTTATTGCGCTTTGTCTTGTATTAGAAAATGATGAAGAAGGATCCTGAAAAATCAATCGTTTCTTCATATTCCAAAAATGGCCTACAAAAAAATGAATACGACTAGCAAAAATTAATAGATTACCTGTACAACAGTGAACTCTACTTCGTCGCCGACACTTATCTCCCTATCAACATCTAGTACTTCATTGAAATGAAAGAAGAGCCTAGCATCGCGGTCGACACAGCGTATGAAACCAAAGCCATCTTTTAAAGCTGCAATCATACCCTGTTCACGGCGTTCTCCAGATACGTCGAATGACTCTGGCAAGAGCGCTATTTCTGTAGCTCTTTTTAATTGATCTCTGGTGTCTGTCGCGATTCGAAACTGAACCCAGTCTCCATGTCTGCGGAACAAAACAGATATATGTAATGGTATGGTCTTCCCCGTTTTTGTTTACAATGATATAAAAAGTGTCAAACTACATACCTCAACGTAAAATCTCCTTTTTGATCTTTATCGCCAAAAGGCACTTCGACTTCCGAGTGATCGGGTGCTCTATAACGAATGCGCCCCGGCAGAGGATCGTTTTGGTGTCTAGCTGAATTACCTCTCTCGAGTGGCTTCAAAACTTGCCCTTTGATAACTTCATCACTGATTTCTTCAAAAATAATAGATCCTGGTGGCAACTTTGTTATATTACATGCTACTTCTTTTCCCTGAAAGTGAAACAAATGAGATATTAATTACTGGAGATAACGCACAATCGAAGCGAACATTAGTCATTAAATCAAGTTTTACATTTCGTGTTTGTATAATAAATTCAACGTCGTCACCCAACCTCAATTCTTCCTTCATAGACTTAGCTTCACTAAAGTGGAAGAATATTTCTTTAACAACATCTGCGCGCTCAATGAAACCAAAACTCTCTTTCATCGAGCAGACGACTCCGCGATAACGAACAGGGTGAGCTGGATTCTCTAGTCTAATGTGGCATGCTCCCAAGTTTCCACTGAAATATAAAAGAATAAATAAGACCGGTTGCGAATGATGTTGACGTTTCAATGAATGGGTTGATAGTAAAAATGACTATTCGTGTTTACCGTTGATTCGTAGCAATTTGAAATGACACTTTGTCGCCGTTTCGCAGAGTCACGTTCCCCTCGACATCATCTTTGGTATACGGTAGAAAAAAACATTCGCCTCTATTTTCATAACTGATTCGACCCTGAGAATCACCATTTGCTTGCAATTCTGTTGTAACATTACCCGTAACTCGTTCTTCGCTTAGTACCTGTAAAAAATATCAGAAAAAAGCCTCGGATTAATACACCCGCACATCAAACTTCGTCTTGTGTTCGCACTTACCACTTCAGGAGCAATTTTACTGACAATGCTTGCAATCGGCTTGCCAGTTCTACGATCATACGTCATTTCAAATTCCACTGGATCTCCAATTTTGAGATGTTCAATGTTACCGCTGAATTGGCTAAAGTGAAAAAACAACCGTGCTTGTCGTTCACAGCATTGAATAAATCCATACGAGTGCTGTAAAATAAAATAATAAAAATGAGAAAAGTCAATGGAGGCTGGTGTGACGAGGCATCGAAAAAGACTTACTAAGAGTTTTTCAATGATGCCAGTTTCTCGGGTTCCTTGATTAGCAGTTTGATCAGATTGGTAAGAGGAGTTATTAGTCGCTGGCTCTCCGGAATAGTTGACGGTTCCTTCTAGACCGGTAAATGTACCAATGGGAAATCTCGCCGTTCCATTTCGAGGAGAAGTTTGTGCGCCTGAATAATTATTGAACATTGTCGAATTTTTCCCACTAGCAGGAGGCGAGTCCATGTATTCACTGTTGTAGTTGGTGCCATTGCGATAACTGTTCGTCTGATGATTGCCACTGATAGCCTTAGGACTTGGAATGGCCATAGACTTGTACTCTAATATAGCTGGGTCAGAGTTCATGATTGGCGGCTGGAAGGTTTTCCACTGAGGATTGTTGGACATGTCTCAAATACTTTACTTTTTTTAACGCTTATCACTCTCGCTTGCTCTCTTATTTCTCTTCTTTTTTATTATTATTCTGTTTTCTATTCGTCCGTCTCTTTGTCTTCTCTCGTTGCAAGTGATGGAAATGATCAGTCGAACTTTTTATATTCCGCCCGTATAGCGCTTTATGGCCTCGTTAGCCACTCACGATATTATATACTTATACTTAGAAATTTTAGTCTTCTCAATTATTTAAGTGTTAACATAGATATCACAGAATGTTTCTTGGTACCTTATATTTTCGTTTTATTATTTTTTCTTTTATTTATTTATTTACGACTTCACGAGAACTCCACAAAGAGGAAGAAGGCTCCTTAAAATGCCGCCGAAGGACTGTTGCAACCTTCCTTATTTTTGTTTATTCAATGACAGGAAGGAAGGCGATGGTCTTGTCGCTGCTATTTGGTAGCTACCTTATACTTTTTACGTATCATCGATACCGTTCATTGAGAAAGCACCGATCTTTAAGGCGAGCAACTTATGATTCGTTGGCACTTTCCACAATGTTACAGACGCGCAAATTTTCCTTATATGCTTTCGTTCCAGGCCCACAACTCTTTTTAATTAACTGTTATTTATGAATGAATAGTGCGCTAGCTTTATTGAATGTTAACTTCTTATCATATATTACCAATTTTCTAATAGCGTATAAAATTATTAGCACAATATTCATGTGTGTCAACGATGATACTTTCCATTCGCAAGCATACGAGATTTTGTTCATAGGTTGAAAATTCTTCTCAATGATGCAGTTTTGATACGATTCTCCAAATCAAAAATACTCAAGTTACAATTGAAAAAACAGAGAGGAAAGAGAAATTGTGTTTTCTCTTAAACACCAGTCATCCCTTGGAAATGATACAAATCATAAAACGTTAAAGATTTAAAGGATAAAAGTTGACTTGAAAATCCTCAGATGTCTTCAATGCGTGCTGGGTGTGATTGTGTTGTCTTAAAAGTTTTTATATTGTCTTTTTCTTGTTCTTCGGCTTTTGAAAGTTGAATTTGTAATGAACAGTGTTTTTCAAAAATGTTCTAAACTAACAATTACACAAGCTGAAAAATAAAAAATAAGAGGTTATATAGTTGCAGGCTCATTGATCTCTCTGTGTAAAGTAAAATACATTGAACACAAGCTTCAAGCACACTTATTTGTTAGGAGAAAAATAGTCAAAAAAGCATATACAACTGTACTGCCTAAATAACAATCTACATTTTGGTCAGCTCGATCACTTTTGAACAAACTATTCTTCAGGCACTATTTTATGATCAAATTAATTTGGAGCACAGTTCACAGCAAAAGTACTTGAAACTTTGTAGTAATAAATTATGCAATAATTTGCAGTGATCAATGGACAATTTCATTCAACTGGGAGAAATTTTATAATAAAAAAAAAAGTGAATCATAAAAACAGCTTTTATTAATCAATTCACGTCCAATCTGGATCAGTTGACTCACACAAGACGGCCAAACCGTTGGACGAACAAGAAAGAAGAGTGGGAAAATCTGGCGTGAGAGACTAGCGAAATTGCCGATGGTCATTCAATAATTCATCGTAAAAGTTTAATTGACAGTCGAAATCGGATGAGAGATCGATGCTACACCGCGAGCACTTGGGAGAGAAAAGAATTTTTGTCTGGCGAGTAGGGGAAGGAGTGATAGTAATGGCACGACGCGCGTGTTGTCCATTAAATCTGTTTGATTGACGAATCTTTGTAGGCCTTGGCTTTTACTGAGGTAAATATGATTTTTACTCGTTCTAGCATGATATGATATGGTCAAAGCTCGCAAGAATACGTGATGTTAAAGGCTGACAAAACTCACCACGACACAGCACAGCACTGACGACATGCCGCCATGTTGAATGTCAACATTCAGCATTCGCACACTAGTTTTGTCTCCCTCCATAGCCGGTTTAGCAACGTTGCCATGTGTTTTTTCTCAATCGCGCCAGTTAAATGAACGGTCTAGCCAATCAGAAACTTATTTCCGAAGATCTACACTTGCGCAATACGTTTCATTTTCAAATTTGTTTGTCATTACTGCATTTTACCAAATTAAGCAGCTTTACTTGGTTGCAACTATTTGCAAATGAATTGCAAATGATAGTAATGACTTCATTATTCAGATTACCAATAATCTTCTAAGTCATAATTGTCGAGCATAAGTTGAATGGCAACAATGGAGATATTCAAAATATGGACAAAATAGGATATTGTATGGACTGGTATAATTTTCAGGTGATTAACTGAATGATATATGAGTTGATGAGGATTGGAGGATAGGTATAAAGTGATAAATATGAGAGAAAAACATTTTGTAGTTGTACAATTCGGTATAAATTATTTAAATTAATGCTGTACATACTTTAGAAAAGTATAAATTATTTAAAGATAAATGCTTTCAATGGACAAGCGCACATACAAATAATTTGTGAAATATTTATAAAAATGCAAATTTCTTTTCATCAAAATTTAATATTTGATGTCTTCTATCAATTGTTAATACCTTAGTAGTTCTAATTTTTAATCTGTGAACAGTGCTTACACAATGCCCCAAATACTTCTTTAGACAACTGTACAATATTTTATTGAGCTTCTGTTGATTCTTGCTGCTCAAACTTTGGGTATTTTTGTTCAACTTCAGACCAGCTTATTTTTCCTAATGATAAATTCCTTACGATTTCCGGCAATTCGTTGATCTAAAAATACCGATAATAATCAATTTACATAATCTATATCTCTACGTAATATATTTACGCTTGAACATTTACTCACGTTTATCCTAACTTGACTCATGCTATCTCTTTCTCGTAGTGTAGCACTGTGTGGTTTCTTCAAAGTGTCAAAGTCAATTGTAATGCCAAAGGGTATTGCAATTTCATCAGTTCTTGCATATCGACGGCCTATACTACCGGAAGAATCATCAACTTTGTGCGATACGTCATGTCTGGTTAGTTCTTGGGCTAAAACATTGAACAAATGTCAGATATAATATATATTAAGATATAAAAATATCAACTACCAAGGATTTCATGTTGTAGTATACTTACATAACTTTTTGACAAATGGAACAAATTCAACATTTCCACTGAGAGGTAATACAGAGCATTTCAAAGGTGCTACAATTGGTGGCAAACTAAAGTATCTTCTTTGTTCATCTCCATCCCTCATTTTGAAATTATGTTCAAAAACTGAGTACATAATTCTACCTATACCAAATGATGGTTCAATAACCGAGGGAACAAATTCTTCAACATGAACAGTCTTTTGATATTTCTTAATTGCTACCATGTCTTTAGTGATTTTAAAAGATGCCTCAGATGTTTGTAATTCATATTCTCCTTTGTCATTGAAATATTTTTCCATAGCATCAATGTCATTTTCTTCCAAAGCAGCTAGTGCATCTAAAATGGCCTTGGCTTCCTTACGGAATGTTTTTCCAATGACACCTCTATTAGGCGCTGCTTCACAAACATTGATGGTTTTTGGCTGAGCTAATTTTTTCTCAGCAACTAATTTGACACCTGTGGCTTTAGTATGTTGAGTCAAATCATAAGCTGATCTGAAATTAATAATCAAATGGTAAAATTTTGATATTCTCCATTTCATTCAAAAGATCATTTTCTATATACAAAATACTTTACCTGTCAGCACATCCAACACATTCCACCCAACCATAAGAAGTCAATAGTTCAGCATCCCAACAGTCACAAGCATAATGAGCCATTTCATTTCCCATATGTTGTCTAAATCTCAACTTTTGAGGATCCACACCAACTTTAATTAAAAATTGCTGAATTCTAGCCATGAAGTATCCTAAAGTTTCATTAGCCACTAAACCACTGCCAACAGCTTTACCAATGGAAAGTACCTCAGCACTTTTTCCATCCATTTGGTTGCAAGCTGAATAGAGAAGCAAAACTGTATTCTTCACTGATTCAAATTTAGAGTGATTTTTGTCATTAGGATCACAAAAATGCTCAATCTCTGCCATGGTAAACTCTCTCACCCTGATCAAGCCAGATCTTGGAGAAATTTCATTCCTGAAAGAGTTACCAATCTGAGCAGCAGCAAATGGCAATTTATCTTGATTGAATTCCAACAATCGCTTAAAATTTACAAAAATGCCTTGAGCAGTTTCTGGCCTCAAGAATCCTTTAATCAAACCAGTTGGTCCAATCTGGGTACCAAACATGAGATTAAATTCAATAGGTTCTGTTAAGTCATTGCCACTTATTGGAGATTTGATGTTATACTTTTTCAATACATTTCCCATTTCTTCTTTATTCATACCATCTAGTCTTATTACAATGTCTTGGCATTCTTTCTTGGTTTCTTCAGAAGTTTTTTTGTCAGAGCACAATTTTTCCATGTGAGCTTTGATCAAATGATCAAGTCTAAAGCACTCTCCATTTTTAAGATCTTTAACCATCAAATCAGCAAACCGTTCAACATGGCCAGAAGCTTTAAGTACTGGTTCTGGAGTTAAAATAGAACAATCTACTTCTAGCATTTGCTCTTCAAGGACAAAAAAGTTTCTCCAGGCATTTAAAAGATTGGCTTTGAAAGCACAACCCATCGGGCCAAAATCATACTGTCCTGTAATTCCTCCATAGATAGCAAAAGATTGGTCATAGAAAAATCTACGCTTTAGTAGATCTTCCATTCTGGCTCTGTCAAAGGTTGCTGAATCAGGAATAAGCGACAGTTCTTTATCTTCCAATAGCTTTTTGCGCTGTTTCAATTCTGCCACTGCTTTCTTAATGTCAATTTCTGGAGCATCATCAGCTTTGAGTTTTCTAACTAAATCACCCTAAAATAACTCAATATGAATGTAACCATATTTCTATTAAAATTGAAGAAATTTTAATAAAATCACTAAAATATAAATACATTTGATAATATGGCATTGAAATAATAAAAGAAAATAAATTTGCAGCTTTAAGTCATAATAGCAAAGGTTGAATCATGCAAGCACATGGAACATTTAGAAAGAACGATGTAGCAATTCCATATGGCACGTGCTAACCTGCTCTTTGACATTAGCCCTCAACGGGGCGAGTTCACTTTCAATTTTGGGATCAGTCATATCCGGGGTGAAATTGAGCTTGACCTTGCGATGTTTCTTCTTGCTGCCCCAAATCAGCGGAGCGGTTTCAACGACAGCGGCGTTACTTTTTAACCTCACGATCGGTGAGGCTACGACAGCGAGCAGCGTCTGCTGTTGTGCAGCGACGCACACAAATGAGCGCCCGAGGCGCCAGCTGGAATTTACGAGCATTCGCATTCGCGACGGCGATTTACTTTCTAATATTGCGATTATTCACCTTTCGCATGAATAGGATCAAACTTTCACTACTCGTCGTAGATTGTATACAATACACGCTAGCAGAAGAGTCACTACTTGTAATGTGTAGTTAAATTGGAATTTGAAAAATTTTATTGTTCTTGCCGGGGGCATGTATTTGACAGGGTTCGGTAGTGATGTCATATGCTCGTTAGGTAAGGTCGGTAAGGAAGTATTCAGCTGCATTCATTAATGAAAAACCGATCTAAAAACGTCGTGTTTGGAAAAAGTTCCCTTTTCTTTGCCCCATCGGATTGTCATCACTGGCTGCATTCGCTTTACAAAAAATAATTTAATTTTTAGAATGATAAAATAAGTAATTACTGCTATTCAAATTATATAAAGCAAACAGATTAAAACGTCATGTTTATTTTGAAAAAAACTATTTTCTTAGAAGCAATAGAGATCTTGATTTCTAAGAGAAATCCGAATCCAATTTGTAAACGTATTTGTCAAGATAGAAGGTCGTATGTAGGAAAAACAATTTAGTTATTTTTACAAAATGCTGACGTTGCAACTTATCGTGGATTTGATTGGGGAGCAGCATCACAAAATTCCAGAAGCCAAACAAGCTTGGCGGTTAGTGGCGCTGTTTCTCCCCTCTCTCTTTCTCTTTTATCCTGTATGCACGTATTCAGTTCGGTCTCGTTGCCCTCGTTGGCTGGCTGGGCTGGACCGTGTCGACGTCTGACGGAAAAAAACGACTAAACGATAATAACGGAGCACAAAGTTACTCAGTTTATAGTTACTTAGCAACAGACCAGATAATCGGGAGAAAATGTCACACCAGACTGGAATTAAAGGCAAGTACAAAGTTTTTTTTCATTACGAGTAAATTGTTTTTCCGTCAATGCGGAAATAACATTCGCGTTCTTTTGAGATTCGCTTTGACATCGGATGTTCTATGTTGATTCTAGCCAACGAAGCGCTCAAGAAGATTTTCGCCAAGTGTAGGGATGGAAAGATTCGCGTACTGAAAGTTTCTATTGAAAATGGTGAGTATTTTTTGGCACGCTTTGTTACGTTTCTTTTATCAATGATTCACTTGACTCCAAATGAAACTGAATTGCAAGATATTGTGAATGAATGCTGGAGTGATTTTGTAATAATTTTTTGAATCATATTTTTTGAATAGGGTTCTATTAATATTCCTGGCAAAGACGATGAACTTGTTGTATAGTATAATACTTATTTTCATTTTAACTTACAGAGGAACTGGCTCCATCTGCTTCCTCTAAACCTGTGGGAAAATGGCAGAATGATTACGACAAAATGATAAAGCCACTGATAGAAGAAAATCAGCCGGCATATCTACTTTATCGTCTAGATACTAAATCAGCAGACTCAGGGTATGATTGGCTTTTGATCTCCTGGTCTCCAGACACTGCTCCAGTGAGGCAAAAAATGTTGTATGCCTCGACAAAAGCAACATTAAAACAAGAATTTGGGACAGCATCGATCAAGGAGGAGCTACATGGAACTGTTGCAGAAGATGTTACCTTGGAAGGGTATCACAAACACAAAAGAAATGATGCTGCTCCTGCACCATTGACTACTGCCGAAGAAGAACTCGCTGAAATGAAGAAAACAACTGTACATACAGACTACAATATTGAAACAAGACACCAAACGCTAAGTGGAGTTGCATTTCCCGTGACAGATGAAGCTAAACAAGCAATAACTGATTTAGGACAGGGTGTTCATGAATATGTACAATTGAAAATTGATTTAGAAGAAGAAAAAATTCATCTTGTTACAGCTGGTGAAGTTTCTTTGGATAAATTACCAACAAAAATACCTTCTGACTCAGCTAGATATCATTTATACAATTTTAAACATACTCATGAAGGAGACTATATGGAAGCTATAGGTAACAGTTGAAAATTTTTATTTTTGATTTATTATTACTATATTGCCATTGAAACTTGTTTTCAGTTTTTATATACAGTATGCCTGGGTATAGCTGTAGTATTAAAGAGAGGATGTTATACTCATCATGCAAGGCACCTCTACTTGAGCTTATCCAATCTCTGGAAGTAGAAATTGTGAAAAAGGTGAGTACTGTAAAATTTATTACTAAAATCTGTTTGCTTTGATGTGGTGGCTGAATAATTGCATGGATAATGGGACTCAAACGTGGGAATCTTGAAAATAATTTCTGTTTGATAATAAGAACGATATAACGTACATGATTAACAAGTAAAAAAGTCCTAAAAGTAATCCCTGTGAATAATCTATATAGAACTGATTCACTGTCTTGGCCAAACGATAAGAATAACGCAAAACAAAAATCGTTTTTCAAGATTTTCAGATGAGTGTTCTTTTCAAAGCTCATTGTGTGTTCAACAACTGTTAGCCCTCAAAAGCCAAGCGTATGTATACTTCGATGTAAAATTAAATGAATTTTCGTTTAAGAGTGGAGCTTACTAATAGAACTGATAAGATAAGATAAGAATGACAAAAAAAAACAAATTCTAAAATTTTCTTTTACGAAATGGGGTTGTTGATGGCAGTTTGAAGTGACGAGCGGTGAAGAATTGGCGGAGATGTTGGAAGAGCCGCCAGTGAAAAAGGGTACGGGCACGTCGACGCCGGCGACTCCGGCCACTCCGTCGACGCCTTGCGCTCCTCCGTCAAACTCAATTATCCAAAAGAAATCCAAGCCGAAGCGATCCTGTGTTATAAGTTAACAGGCCTATGATATTTTTGTGCCGATATATAATAGCATCTCTTGTTGATCTGAGCAGAGATTTAACTGCTTAGATTCTCTAATCTAAGCAATTATATCGATGTATTTTTCGAGTGCAGGAAATCGTCCAGTAGTAGTTGGATCGATTGTGATATTGCGCGAATCTATCTTGGATATATTTAATGGCAACTAATAGATATCGTATTTTTCTGGAGTTTTAAAAATTCTCGAAACTTAGGAAAGTGATACGTATTACAATACGTAATTTAAAGTAATAACGAAATAGAGATCTATTATGGCAATGTATTTTTCTAAATTACAAACGGTCTATTCAAAATCTGGGATATGTCGTTTCAAAGAACGCCGAATGATATATGCAGAAGTATATATTAATAATCGTAGAGATATTTTTGCTCAAGGAAGGATAAAAAAAAAGAAAGAGATAGCTGGACTGAGAGCACAAAGAGATGATGACTAAAAAGATTTTATTTTTAAGACAACGCGTAACGAGATGCCATACATTCATTCTTAGTCTTTTTCATTTTTTAGAGTTTTCGTGCAGACATATTATAAAAAGTTAAGCCAATTTATCGCAGATTTGTTTAGTGTTGAATTTTGAAAAATTCTTAATAATAATACCGTGATATTACACTGAGATCCTATATTTTTTGCTTAAAAATAATAAAAATAGCAGTCTGTTTCACTTTGTTGTTACGAGATAAGCAAGTTTCATTTGAAATATCTGACTCATATCTCGAGCTTAAGTCTTTTGCATAAGTTGTTTAATGGTAGGTTATTGTCATTTTAGTCTTGTCTGTCATTTATTTATTATAACCCTACTAACAGCATAACAAAATATTTCTCTTTTTCATAAAAAACCCTTCATCACATTTGCTTTTTGCAGTTGCACAAAAATCTTACAAATGGCCAAAACAAAATAATGCGATATCTTTGAACGATAAATTTAAAGACCAGTGCACTGCCTGTATAATTAGTTCCTAGTCTTGAAACAAGTGATATATTTATAAGTTACGTGTGCATTATGCAGTTTTTTCATAATTTCGCCAAACAAAAGCTTAAATCGAGTCTGATGTCAAGGGCTGATATATGTTGGAATTTGCTTGGAACATTAAAAATAGCAGTATTCATTGAAGCATGGAATACATATTTTTAGGTTTTTAAATTACTCGTATTGTGCGAGATCAAATTGTAATGCTTTCATGAACCAGTGATCCCACGAGATTTTTCGATAAAATATACCTTGAGATTGTAGAATAATTTTTCGTTAATGAAAATTAACTTGATAATAAACTTAATAATGGATGGATTTACGACTTATGTGATGAAAGAAAATAAAGAAAAAAGACTAGGATTTTATGTGAAAACTTCAATTATAATTAACAGCACTTGCCTAAATTCTGTATATAATAATGTTAAAAGAAATTATTCTAGATTATACAGAAATTCTATGCCGGAAAGAAACATTTTATGAATATTTTTCGACACATCATTTTCTCAAATGACCAATATAAATTGATTGAGAAAGATAATTAAAATGTGTATAAATTTAAGTTATATTTTTTGAATGGATAAATAAGCGGAAACTTATTGATCTGAAAAATAATTCCAAAAAGAACTAAGTCTTCGGATATACTCTTCCAAATTTTTTTCATCGTGAGCGCTACTGTTGTCGATGCTTCAAGCGTTACGTCGAAAATATAATATATCAAAAGCCAGTGCTAGTATTATATTTGTATATGTGTCAAAGAAAAATTGTATTTTCTCAAGACTGATTTTGCAAATTTTCCAACTACTTCAAACTTTTATTATTTCAATCCAAGTTATCTCAACTTTTTCCTCAAACTTGAAAAATGTTACATTCCAAAATAGAAAATAATAGAAGCAAGGACGAGTAGAAAAAGATCACGCTTTGATAGTTGAAAGTTTGAAGCAAGTGGAATACTCTAAAAACCGCCAATTATCGAATGTGAATTTAAAAAGCTTCCGTTTTAATGTGATCTTTATTAATTGTAATGACGTTTTACGTGATTCTGAGCTTTGAGTAATAAATCTTTCTTTATATTAATAGGAATAATTTTCAAGCGTCTACGTCTATAACGCACAATCACTATGGTTTTTAGAAATATGACTTTTGCAAACAATTATTCGCAGCAAAACTCATGAATGTGTAAGTCGTTCACACATGAGCTTGCCTGGGGCTGGATAATTAAAATTTTTAGTGGCTACACACTTGCTCCAGGCCTATTATGTAACGGATATTTTTACTTGTTTATTTAATAACTGTTATTGATTAATGAAAGTGTCAGCAGAATTTCACGTAGCTATATACTATGACTACAGCATGTGTAAAGGCGTGTGAATATCGTTGTATGTCTTGCCAATGGTACACTCAGTATCAAAAGTACAATAAAATTATATGCCATATAAATGTCTACTTGTCTTGAAATTATTTTCATTGTTCAACTCCATCATAATTTTCATCTCTTTTTTCTATACTGACTCTAGAAGATAAGTTGAGAAATTTCTAAGTTAGAAGTTAAAATAATCTCATATAGTAACTTACAAAATAGGCCTGAAGTCAATCTTACAAAAAAATTATACGTTTTTAAAACAAATACTAAATAACCAGTAAACAATAATCCATATTTTTACTTTTTCTTTTATTTTATTTAGCTTGAAATAGATGATGGGAAGGAACTAACAGAGGCCTATCTTCAAGATGAATTACATCCCAAAGTAAACTTGCACAGACCAAAGTTTGCAAAACCTAAAGGGCCACCTAATAGGGGTGGTAAACGCATAACGAAAGTCCAGGAAACTGAATCTTCAGAGTGAAATCAAGACTATCATGTGTAGAAAACAAAAAAACATTGCTTCACAATAATCAAGGCTTAAGGCTGTTCGATTACTGATTAGTTTAATTACAACATATGATATTTTGCTGTGTTATTCTACTTCAGAATACACTGAGTGGAATTTTTATTTTATAATCATATTTGAATGAATTTAAAGAGAATCACAAATTGTATTTTAAATAATATGTACGTTGTTTGATAAAAGTCAGGCCTATTTTATAAAGGTGATATGATTCAATTGTATAATAAGATTATATTATTGATCATGATGGAATTATAATTTAGTTAAATTTGCTTTAATGCTAGTTTATACATCAATCATTACATATATACACATGAAGACAATGAATATAATCAGACCAAAACGTATGACATTACAAGGGAAATTGTATTATGTGTTTTTTAAAATTATATGTATAAAATAAAATTTCTAAACAAGCAATCTGTATATCACATTAAATGTAATAGTATTTATTGAGTAAATGGATAAACTGCAATGGCGAATAAAAATAAATGTTAATAAAAAAGTAAATTATTATTGTAATTTACCTACTTGAAGAAACAAGGAGAGTAAGATATGAAACAAAATCTTGTTCAAAACTAATTACATTTTTATTTACAGATAACTTATAAACAGAGGATATAAATGGTATTATGATGAATCTATGTGTCCTTTTGGATTCATCATAGCTTGTTCAAGTTCTTTTTCTATTTGCTTGGTATCCCTTGATTTTATCCATTTCCAATCAAAGCTTTAAAAAGTAAAAATATTATAGAAGCATTTACAGAATAATATGATAATAAATACTTACTCATGCTTCATATCTACTAAATTTTGTTTATACTCCAGTAGATCTTCTTCGCTTATATTTGTCAATTTTAATAAGATAACTTTGATAGATCCATACAATGTTCCAAAAAGACCACCAAAAATTGCTCCTGATACCATTCCTTTAGGACCCAGTTGAAATTTATATAATGACCCTGCAGTTGCACCACCAACTGAGTAATGCCAGAAAGCATATTTATTTTGGTATACTGAAAGGGTTTGTTGTACAAATCTGTAAAAAACTAATTACAGATAAGATATTGCACATACTAGTTATTTAAAATAGCTAAGTAACAAATATAAACGTACGTGAATGTTGTAACAAAAAAACCAATTTTGATACCCCATTGACCAAATCCTTTCAAATAACTTGCAAACATCGCATCGGACAATTTACGCTTGGCATCCAAGTGGTTACGAAATTGAGTGGCTTCGTTTGTCTCTATAAATTTTATAAATGCGGCTCTTGAATGAATCAAAGCTCCATATACGCCTCCGAAAATGAAACCCCCCATTGCGGTTTGTATTGTATCTGTAACTACTGGATGCACAATATCGTCATCACTAAAAAATGTTCACTATCTTAATTTTATAAATATTTCACATAAAATATTTTATTGAAAAAATAAAAATACTCACTGCTTTTTAAAAAGATTCTTTAACCTTTGCCATCCACTAATATTATCTGCCTCCTTTGAGCTATAAACTTGATCTACCCTATCACCTTTGATTCTATCATTTTCATTATCGAAAATTCCATCGATGAATGGAGTAATAGCATATAAGCGTTTATATTTTACGAATTTGAACATGTTTGTTAAAAATTCGAAAGTATTCTGATTTCTGCTAGGCTCAAAGCATGTTAGCGCCTGGCATCCACACTTCAATGTTCAATCAGCTGATTGACTCTATCGGTAATTGTGCATTATTTACCATTGAATTGAACAGTAGAACAGTCGACATGCAGACGCCTCAGTGAGACGCCTGTTGTCAGATCAGTCATGATTATCAACAAGCACAATTAATTCATTCCATGGTCTGCAATTGTAACGTGATTTTTTTTTAATCAAATTTATTTACGGATATTTTGAGAAAATTCAACTTGTTTGAGTGGTTAAAGCTTACGTGAGTCAAGACCCGTCTCGTAAAAGCGTAAGTAACTATTGTTCATATTATAACCTATTAACAAATTTTAGCTATTAAATATCAACATATTTCTACGTGCTTATTTTTATGGAAATTTCAACAATAATATAATTTCTATTGAACAAATTATTTACAGCAAAATGGGAGAACGCAAAGGTCAAAATCTGTATTATCCCCCTGATTATGATCCCAAATTTGGGGGAATCAATAAATTCCAAGGAACACATGCTTTAAGAGAAAGAGCTCGAAAACTCCATATGGGTATCTTAATTATCAGATTTGAAATGCCATTTAATATTTGGTGTGATGGATGTGGTAATCATATCGGAATGGGAGTGAGATATAATGCAGAAAAGAAGAAAGTTGGCATGTATTATAGTACTCCTGTTTACCAGTTTAGAATGAAATGCCATCTATGCGACAATCACTTTGAAATAAAGACTGATCCAGGGGTTTGTTTTCACTTTTAGTAATTAGTTTCTTCTAATTGTAAACTTGAATCAAAATACGTTGCTTTTTAATTACAGAATTTAAATTATGAAGTTATAAGTGGAGCTCGTCGTCAAGAAAATCGTTGGGATCCTACAGAGAACGAGCAAGTTGTTCCAGAAACAAAAGAAGTTTCCAGAAGATTATACGATGATGCTATGTACAAATTAGAACATAATTTAGAAGACAAAAAGGTTGCTAAAACAAGATCAAATGCATTGGATAATACTATGGCTTTGAATGAGGTTTTATGGAAAGATGATTATAGTTCTAATTGTGCTCTCAGATCAATATTTAGGGTAAATTAAATAATGATTAACAACCTCATTTTCAGATTAGAAAATAATAGACTTTTCTAATTTAGGCCAAGAAAAAGGAGTTACAAAATAAAGCTGCAATAGATCAAGCATTTCTAAAAAAAAAAGGAATAAATATTGACTTAGTTAATGAGCATGAAGATGATATTCGATTGGCAAAGCTATTAGCGCAAAATAAACAACGTAATATTATTTAGAATTTATTTTATCTCTATAGTACAATACTAAGCTGTTAGACTAACTTGGTACAATTTTTTCAGAACCAAAAATAAAATCATTGCCTTTAAAACGACTTGTAGCTGTTGCTGAATCAAGAAATAAATCAAAAAATCAATTGGCAGCAATAGGAAATGTAAAAATTAAATCAAACACACTATCCTTACCTTCCACTTCTGAAAATGTTACTTTAATGCCGAGTTCTAGTGTTGGAATTAAAAGCGAAACTAAAACCAGCTCTGCTTTAGTTCACTATGATAACACAAGCTCAGAAAGTGATTGATAGTGATTGAGCCCTTTGATCGTATTTTGTATATATGTAAATAAAAGAATTCTTAACGATTGAACACTTTTATTAATTGATCAATATTAAAACATTACTTTTATTTAATATGCTTAAAACTAGTTACAAAATATTTACCACGTAAACAAACAAATTTATAATATCTTGTTTATTCTAATTATGTAAGCAAAATTTAAGTCAATATCACAATTATTTGATTTCTTCTTATAGTTACTAAATATCAATCAATGATTGATTTGTAGCTGAATTTGAAGTAGGCAACAACTTCTTTTTGATCACATGAATTTTTTTGTTTGATAAGCAAATAATGTAGCAGTGATCATCATAAACAATTGAAATGTTCTCAAAACCTTCATTTGATGAGAAAGCTTTTGAATCAATTTTGTCAGTTAAAGAAACTAGATTCATAATGATATTTGCCATTCTTTCATCATTTTCAAGTTCACCACCTGACTGTAAAACGATTAAAATTATATTTAATAATATTCCGTATTCTTTGTCATAGTGAAAAATGATCTGTTAGTTACATACAGTCAATACTGCTCCATCTTCTGTTAATACGAGGTATCCAATTTGATCTGGAAATCTTTCCATTGAAAGCATTTTCTGAAACTTGTTGGATTATTTTTTATTTTTATTCAATACAAGTTAATAATTATGTTAAATTAATAAAAAAATAACAATTAATGGAACTTAAGAGGTTATCTTATCACTGTCAATGACTTCTCTTTTTGTATTTACAAACTCTAATTTAAAAATTAGCCAAAAGGTGGCGACTAAGTGAATAGAACTGATCTATAAATTGTTTTGTCGCCATTTTAGATTTATTGGTCCGCCATTTTTTGGCGCGAGATTTCGATTCTTAAAAAATTAAACGGCTATTCAACGTTTAAATTGACTATTACAAAAAAGAAAAAGCATTAACTTGAAAACAAGAGTAATTACAAAAGCGGTAATTACGATGAGACTATTTATAAGGTGTGAATCTATCAAAGAATTCAACGTCAACGCTCTGAATTTCCAAATATTACAGTATTTCCTTTCCGTCATATAATACGTAGTTCATCTAATTAAAATATCCCTCAAATAGATGAGTTGTCAATACAAATCTAGACGTGATATAGAATCGGATGAGATTATCAAATGCATTAATAATCTTGATTGGTTGATAATTTTGATTTGTCAATCCTATATCCATTCGTCATGGTTGAAGTTATTGGATAAGAGTGTAAGGACAATGCAAGATATGATAAATCATACTATAGGGAATAAAAGTATATAATGCTAGAGTGATATATTCCTGGACTTGTTTGTTTCATTTAACTGAATCATTATTGAGAGTTGAATAAGACAAGTTAACCATTGATAATTATATTTGCGGTCGGTTATAACATTTGTTACGGATCGGTGATATTCTAAGGGAGCGCTTTCGTGAAAATCACTTCGATTATGACGTGCTTAGTATGTAAAACGAAAAACAATTAGTGGCAAGGGCACTAATGGTTGTAGTATAAATCACTGCTGAGGAAGTAAGCGGACAGCGCCTTGCCTTGCTTATAGCAATGTCTCGCCCAATTGCAGCGCCAAAGAATGAAATTGAGCTTTCGGTCATTGCGGTAAAGCATTTTATGCCAAACTTTCTTTCATCTTAGTCGTCTTACAGAGTAAAATCGGCAAACTGATCGACGAAATATGCCGGGAGAAAAGAAATATATCTAGAACATTGCATGCTTCGTTAATATAGCGAACATCAGTTTCATTTGTGCGTTCAATGTGCGTTCATCGGTAATTTCATTCGGGAGTAGCAGAGCGTCCGCGCCTGTGTTCTCCAGCATTAAAAACGAGCCTTTCGCGATGCCAAAACCGTCGAACGAACGCTTTTTTATCGCGCCCGAAATATGGGCTTCGACCAGGGTATGACCTTTGCCAGCGTTCGTTTCGACTTTTAGATAAGAGTGCCAGTCGGAAACAAACGTTCAGCGCAGTACGAGATTCGTTTCCGAGTCAAGCGCCAACGACTTGGCAATGAGATGCGCTCAGCAGAGCTGCGCATTACAGTGCTCTGTTGTGACAGTGCACGAAGAACTGAACAACGGCGATCGGCTGGTGAAATTCATTCTGATCGATTTGAAAAGAGCTGCCGACGGACGGTCACTTGGTCTTTTCGGACTACAACTTTTACAAAGGCGTTTGCAAGTTGACGGTAATGACGGTGTTGACAGGTGGTGTCAGGTTTGGCGTAGACACTCCTGCGATTCGATTTACGTCGACTTCAAGCAGCGACATGCGCATCGAGCCGGCGCTAACTTATTGCAGTGGAAATCTACCGATGATCCGCGGCATTGACAATCGCGATACGTACAGAGCGTCGCTGTACTACATGACGAACAAACGTTCAGAGTCATGGCCCTGTCGGACGTTGCAGATATCCAAGTGGCGGCGTCGAACTTGGCGTCTTGCTATGGGTATCCCAAGCCGACGTGGACGATCGCTTGGTGTCAAAGCGGACTATGATCTACGACGAGCGACGAGCTCGTGCAGCGACAGCCCGGTGTTGTCTAGGGCACAACAGTACGACGTTGGATGGTGTCCCGCTGAAATCGCGATGTTTCGGAGACACGGTGTCGGTTGGCAGCCTCGGATGAAACGCTTTACACTCGGCGGCACGTTATGCACAGAATCAGTTGCAGATACGTTCGTGGTCACGGCTATCAGTTCACTTGCGGCACTTGGAAGAACGAGAAATACCGCGTGGCTCCAAGGTTCTATTAGAAATGTGCTTTTCTCGCAAGATATTTCTGATTTCGTGCATCGATAAACCCATTCCGCAGGAGCGCGTTGCTTCGTTGTTTCGCATTCAGATATTCTTTACGAGTGTTCTTGCGCGGCTAGACAAATCGCGGAGCCAAACTCATCCCAGCAGAAAGTATCCGCGTGCGAGCGAGATCCGGATTTCTCGCGATAAAAATAGCGCAGACACGACGTGCGAGCGAAGGAGCGGCAGTTCGGCACTGCTGCGGGCGTACGCGCGCGTTATATCCGCGGAGCGCGCGGACGTTTTTAAAGCAGAGGGGATCCTGGCGATAGAGATCGCATCGAAATATCCAGCGACCCGCGTCAAGATTTAGCGCGCCGTGAACTTTCACCGAGAGCCTCGTGGCGCAGCGCCGCTCTTCCCACGATATATCTCGTCCTCGCTGCTTGCGTGCCGCACGGCAGCTACCGACGCGCGAGCTTGCCGCGTTGTCGCTCGGCCGCGCCGACCGGACGAGGCCCGCGCGCTCGGCCATCCTCGTTCGGGCCGCGTTCGCTTCTTCCCGATTAGAAGCAGCTTCAGTCCCCGGCGGAGTCTCGGATTCAACTCGCCAAGAGTCTCGCGGTTTCGAGAGGATCTTGGCGGAACGAACGCAGCCGGTTCGATCGTCCTCTCGTTCCGCGGCTATTATCCGGCGCCGAGTGCCCATCATTTTCGCGTACGTGCGCGCCTTTCGTTTTCCTCGCGCACGGTGCGCCTTCGCGGTGAGTGCGTTGCCGCTTTCACGCGAGGCCCCGCGGGCACTTTACGCGCACGTCAGCCTAAAACTGCGCGAACGGACCACGCACTCGGACGTTTATCCGAGCATTCGGAAGGACGAACCGGTTCTGACCGGACCAATTTGCATCAATTTCGAGTCGGACGAGCATTAGATTTCGCACGTTTCTTTTTCCTTATGATCGCGGTGAAATGCCGAGTCGCGATTTCTTCCGCGTTGAGCGCTGATCTACGGGCAATCTTCGAAAACTGCTAAAATATTCATTACGAGAGAGAGAGAGAGAGAGAGAGAGAGAGAGAGAGAGAGAGACGTGGATCCGTTATGCGTGGCCCGGTGAGCCCCCCTCCTCCTCTTCCATTTCGATTGCGAGCCGCGCGAGGTTGCTCGGCATTGTTTCTTGGCCGAATTGCGGGACGCGCGTTGCGCAAGGCGCACATATCGGCCATGCCGGTTTCGCCACGACAATTTCGCACAATTTGCCGGGCACTTAACCCACGGCCGCGCCGAATAATCGAAGGCGCTCGGGGCGCACTTTTGCCCGGGGATTATCGCGAGCCGCAGGGCTTGACGATCCACCCGTGTCGCAAGCGCTCGCCGAATCGCGGGGCCAGCGGACCGAGCGCCGCTTCGTCAGCGGGGCGCGCATCGGACTCGCCGACGCCTCCTCCGCGAGCTTCGCGTTCCGCGTCGAGCCGAGCCTTACGTAAGCCGCGTTGCATAAATGAGACCGCTGATGGTCGCGCGAGCGCAACTGCTCGCCTGCGCATCTGCCGCGGCGCGCGGGCTCGTTCGGGCGGCGATCGGCGCCGCGCTTTCCCGAGCGTCAGCGCGTGTAAACAATGATTAGGGCGAGCCGAGTTTCGGGAGCATGAATGTTATCCGCGGATCTCGGCGCTGTTGCGCGCCGCAACAGCGCGGTTACGTCGCGAACGGGCCAACACAATGCGTGCAATTCTCATAATTTCTCTCCGCGCGCTTCGCCAGCTGGCGCTCGCGGCGACCCGGCCGTTGGTCAACCCGTCTGCCGCCATCGAAGCTCGTTGCTGCGCGCGCCCGCCTCCCGACCGAAGGCCCGCTGGCCGCGCAATGGACCGCACTCGTGCGGCCTGGCCCGGCCGAAGGCAAGGAGAACTCAAACGGCGGCGAACCCTTTGCGCCGGCGAATCGTAAAGATCCGCGAGCGAGATATCCCCTGGGAACCTGTGCGCGCGCGATATATCTTCGGATTCGCGACTTTTGTAACTCTATTGCTTGGCTCCGCGAGGCGCACTTTCGACTGCGGTGTTCCGCGGCAAAACCGAACGGGAAGCCAATCGGACGGGCAGCGCCGCTAGATTCTGCTCGCTCGGGGTGAAAGCTCGCGCGCGCATCCTCGGCGCGATGCTCCAGTTTCGACATTGCCGGCGTGAACGGCTTCGCAACATCCTCGTTATGCCTCGCGTCGTCTAACGACTCCGTCAACGAGTCGAGTCGGCCGGCTACTCCTTCCCTCGTCGACCGCGGTCCGCTCGCGGTGGAGCCGCCGCGACGACCGCGAGCCCCTGCCTCGGCAACGCCGGGCAATCGACCGATGCCCGTTTCGCGGGTTGTCGCTCGTGGCGACTTTGACGACTTCGGGCAGCCTCGGAATCGCCGCGTCCGGCGTCACGTCGGAATCGACGAGCGGCGCTCGCCGGCGTACTCGTTGAACGCCAGCCGTGCTTGCGAAACCCTCGGGCGACAGGCGGTGCGCGCGAACGCTTCCCCGAGCGTAATTGTCGATACACGGAGAGAGCATTTTCCGCATTCCGGAAGAGCAGTTCGATCGGAGGAGAGACATAGCTTACGTAAAGCCGGCGCATCCTCCGCGCGGCGATGTGAGAGCAGACGCGCGCGCGCGCGTACGCCAGCCGCGAGACTTTGTTTTTCGAAGATTTAGAAACGCGGGAGAGGAGATCGATAACTGGTAAAAGTGGTCAATTGGATGCCCCGATCTGGCCAACGTACAAAATGCTAATGCGACTTTCACCGAATTCGGTCAGTGTGCGAATCGAATCGCGCTATATGCCCACAATGGACGAGCGCTGTTACGTCCGGTTATGGAAATTCAGCGCTGATGAACGCGCGTCTTCTTGATCCTCTCTCCACGGGCGTACGCCTGTGCCCGATTGTATTCTAATGCCTGCTCGAAGATGAAAAAAAGGAAGAAGTCCGGCGCGCATATAGTTTCTCTTTTT